AATGATTTAAAAATAAAGAAAAGTGAAATACATAATTTACAGAACCTTTTAAGCTCTAACAAAGAATAAGTTCTAGGCCACATCCAGCGCGGCCCTAGAACCACTCTTCCTGCTCTTGGGGGAACTTAGTGAGGTGAGCTCGGCCCGACAGGCTTGTGTGTTCATTGGCCACTGTGGGGAGTGCCTGGAGGGAAGCCTGGTCGGTTCCTACCTGAGTGTGGAGAGTCCCCCCAGAGCCCTGGAGCCCACCTTTGTCTCCAGCCTTCCTCTGGCCTGTTGCCCTGCACGGATTGGCTACACCAAGTCCCGCTTAGCAGCCCCTCGCTGCTACTGTGCACTTGTCCCTGAATGTGCATGGGGCACCTGTGTATGAGTACGAGACAGACAGTGCTTGCTCGGGCAAGGGCTCCCTGAGTGGCCCAGGAGGCCCATGTGACAAAGTGAATGGAGAAAATAGGACACTCAGGCCTTGGAGCCACAGTGAAGTGGGGGAGATTATGGAGTGGAGAGGTGGGGGGAGAGGATCCAAGCAGAACTTGGACCAGGACCAGCTGAGTGCCCCTTTCCTCCATCCATTCCATTATATATATGTGCATGCATACAACCAGCATCCCACTGTAACCATCCAACTCTCTATACATATATACATGCATGCACACACACACACACACACACACACACACACACACACACAAAACCATCCATCCCACTATATCACCACTCATTCACCCATACAAGCAATCATACATACATCTATATACATATATACAGCCATCAATCTCCCCATATATAAAACATCCACCCACTCATCCATCCACTCACACCATCTCTCCCACCACACGAACATGCAGATAGACTTCCAGCCATTCATCCATTCATTCCTTCACTCGCCCAACTGCCCCTCCCTCCATCAGCCAATTCCTCCATCCACACAGCCATCCACCTTGAACAAACAGCCCTCCACCCATACGACCCTCCGTCCAACATCCATCTATGCATTGAACAAGCCCACACGCTGCCCTACTGCCTTCTTATTCCCCCTTACACACTGCTCCTTTCCCCCATCTCCCAGCCTTCATGTGCTTATTTTTTCTGGACCCAGATTGCACCCCTTCACACACATACACACACTTACCAAACACATCCGCATTTATGGGTCCACCTCGCCCACCTCCTAGCCTGAAGTACCTTTTCGTGCTACTGCCTCTCAGGAAAGCACCCTGCTCCTGCTCCCAGCAGTGGTCACAGGTGTCACTGAGCATTTTCTTACTATGCCCAGCTCCCTGACCAGACTTTAAGCTCCATGAGAGCAGGGACCAGGTCTTTCTTCAGCACCCAATACAGACTCCACCTGACCCACAGTAAGGCTGTACAAGGAGCTGTGGAGCAATGGTGCTGGGTGAAGTTAGAGCTTGCTGTGTGCAGAGCATGACCCTGGTGTCCGGTAGGGATTTACTCATGAATGCACCAAAACAGAACCTCCTCACCAAGCTTATGGTCTAATGGGAGATAAGGAGAGTCCAGGGAGAGTTTTAATGTGGGCTAGGAGCCATGAAAGAGGCAGAGAGGGTGTGCAAAGGGAGGCTGAGCCAGGCCCGGCCCTAGCGCTTCACATTGGACAAGCCACTCTGTCTCCATGAGCCTTCATCTCCTCATCGACCAAATGGAGCTAATAAAAACAGGGAGCAGAAAGAAACACTATTACCACAAAATTGCTCTAAATTGTTTAAATATATCTTCTGAGTTCTGTGAAAAGTTTCTTAAAGAGATAAAATTATTGTAAGAACTGAAATCAATGTGATTTATTGATGTAATTTTTATAGACAGAGCCAAGTAATACAAATTAATAAACCACTAAAAACGAATCTTTATTAAAATTGAGTTTGTCATGTTATTGGGAGGATTAAATGAGATAATGCATGGAAAATGGACCCAGGAAGAAACTCAGCATGGGTTAGGTACTCGACAAGTCTGTTTTTTAATTCTATTTTGATGGTTTGGGGTAATCTTTATTGACAAGGTGATATTTAAACTAAACCATGAAAAATGTATAAGATTCCCATATCCTAATGCTGAAAGTATTAGATATCATTTTTAGCACTTTTACATACTCTTCTAGTTTCTATGTCTGGGTAACAAATCACCCCAGGATGCAATGGTGTACAGCAGTCATTAGTTATGCTCACAGATTCTGTGACTCGAATCTGGACAGGACACAGCAGGGACAGCTTGTCCCTGCTCTGTGATGACTGAGGTCTCAGCTGAGACATGAAGCCTGCAGGCTGAAGTCACCTGAGGCCTCACCTGTTTGTTCAGGTGTCTGGTGCTGATGCTGGCTTCCATTCCCCACCATGTGGTTTATTCCTGTGTCTCCTCAGGCTAGACTGAACTTCCACAGTACAGTGGCTTGATGCCAAGGACCACCAGGTAGAAGCTGCATCTCTTTGATGACCTAGCCTTGAAAATCACATAGCATCACTTCCAGCATGTTCTATAGGGTGAAGAGTCACAAGCTCCCAAGAAACAAGGGGAAGGTACATCAGCCACCCCTCCCAGTGGGAAGACTATCAGACTCGGTGTAAGGAAAACATTTGGAGAGGGGGATAAATATTGACGCATTTATCTTTAGAAAGATACAGCTTTGCACACACATGTTATCTTATGTGCGCCTTAGTTTAAGCCTTAAAGAAAGTACTCTTTAAGTTTTAATTTTATAGAAGAGGAAGCTAGAGCTTAACAAAGTCAAAAGTTTTTCCCAGTATCATAGCTAACAAATATCAGAGCTAGGATTTGAATTCCAGTCTCAAAGTTACCTAAGCCACTGCCATGAACATACTGCCTACCAAATTTAAAACACGGATGCCAATAGTATTTTTTATCCTTTGAAACACTAAATTGCCTATGTCATCTAGGATGCTGTAGATCTATGGCATGTCAGTGACTCATGGCCTATTCTAGTGGCATTTCAAGCAGGTGCTCAGCAAAAATAAAGGCCCTGAGGTGGGAGGTACAGTGTCTGTAATTCATGGTGGCAGGACGTGGTGTGGGCATTAAGTCAAAAGAGGTTGATTGAGATCCAACTAGGAGGAATCCTGAAACCAGGCAGGAGGAGGTAGACTTTCCAGGGTCAATGAAGAGATGCCAAAGGCTCCAAGCAGGGCAGCCATGTGGTCAGAAAATTAATCAGGAACTGTGTGTAGGAGGGAAGGGGACAGAGAAGACTATGCTAGGAGTCAGTGGTGGGAGCGAATGGCACAAGCTTGTTGGCAGGCCTGCGGGAGCCTGGGACCTTGGTTCACAAGCGTGATAGCCCAGAGGAGGAGCTGAGGACTCTGTGAGGACCAGGAAGGGAAGCACCACCAAAGACTTCAAGAGTTTGAGCTCATTTGGCTGGGGGAGGGTGGTGGTAATGGTCGAAACAATGGATAGAACCAAGAGTGCAAGAAGCAAGGCTTGTTGCGGGGGGGGGGGGGCGTTTAGGGGTTCTCCTGGTAAGAACACCCCCTAGACTGTTGGAAATTGCACCTTGGAGCTCAGGGAAGAGCCGGAGAGGAAACATGAGAGTCATGTGCAGAGAGGTTACGGTCAAGACCAAGGGAGCAATGTGGCCCCAAAGAGAATCAAGTCCAGGGCTTAAGGAAATGAGAGTACAGGCCAGGGGTCTCCAACCTGGGTGAGCAGTGGAATCAGCAAGGCAAGGATCAGTGACCCAGGCGTAGTGTGGTAGGGCTGTCCACGGCCCGGGGAGGGGGAAGAGGGGCATCTGGTGGGTGAGCCAAGCTCCTGGTGACTCTAATATGAGCCACATAGAAGAGCCCTGGGCTGCCTTCAGATGGAGTGGGGGACTGGTGCAAGGTGGTCCCTACATGGAATTCCCTTCCCTGCACCCTGTACCAGTGAAATCCTAAGCTTTGGGAGTGGAACCCCCAGCAGCATTGTTTAACTCTTCAGGTGTTTCTGGCATGGAGCCTGTCTGGGAAGCACAGCACATCTCACAGATGAACCTGGGCACCCTTCGAGGGCATCCTTCTAGATGGCTGGTTCTGACCCGGTGATCTGGGTGGGCTGAGACTCTGCATGTCTACTAGACACCTGGATGGTGCCCGTGCTGTGTGCTCACAGACCACACTTGTGTTAACAAGGATGCACACTGATTTTCAGAGGTGTGGTAGAATCTCAATGCCCCTTCCCAAAAGCCCCTGCCCAGGCCACTGCTGTGAGAATCCGTCCTTCCCACCCCAGCCCCAGCCCCAAAAGCAGGCAGGGAGCAGAGGAGCCTCCTGTGTGTCTCCTCTGCTCTCTGCTTCCCTCCTGGCTGACGGAACATCAGAGTCAGGATAAATGCTCTCCCCTTCTCTGCCAAGGAAGTAGGCATGCTTTGAAAAGAGCAATATGGTGTTTGTGTTTGCACATACATGTAGCTGCACACACGCACCCCCAGGCACCATAGGGGAATCCTCTCCACAGCACAGGCCTTTATGAGCACCCAAGACCCCAATCGCTCCAGCGTACCCACCCTGCCCTCCCCCCAAGGGCACAGGAGTCTGGCCCCAAGACCAGCCTCACACCTAAAGCCCCATGGTGCCCAAAGCAGCAGGGCAGAGGAGAAATGGCAGCCCAGCTCCAGAGTCTGAGATCCAAGTTCCTTCCTAGCTAGCTACATGACCTTGGACAAGTTAATTAACCAGAGCATTTTAGTGGGCTTTTCGGATATAAAAGGTGTGAAATAATGATCAGTCTCTCGTGGCTGTTGGACAAATCAATTGGTTCAAGGATATTTGGATCCACGTGGGTATAAATGGATATAAAACCCAAATTCACAAAGCAGGGTGTCACAGTGGTGGGTTAATGGGGAGGTGCTGTGACCATGTGCTGTCCTCTTCCAGTGCCATCTTGTCTCCCCTCATCATCCTGCTGCTGTAGATGCTGTCCCCAGGAACCCCAGCAGTCCCTGAGGCTGGCCTCAGCCTCTGATCCCTGTTTACCTTCTCCCACTGCAGACATGGGGAGCTTCGAGGAGGGCGAGAAGCACCAGAGCATTTCCCACGGAGAAGCTGCCGTCATCCGTGCCCCACGCATTGCCAGCTTCCCCCGGCCGCAGGTGACCTGGTTCCGTGATGGTCGCAAGATCCCACCCAGCAGCCGCATGTGAGGCCCTGCCCTGAGGGAACAATGAGGGAGGTTGGCCTTGGGGGAGAAGGGTTGGGGCCAGATCAAGTCCCCCAGATACTGAATAGTGACCTTCTGCAGAACTCCCTGTCTGGGACAGAAGTTTAGTTTACAAGGGACTTTCTTGGAACCTTCCTGTGAGGACTTGGGATTCCCTGGGAATCCCAGGGCATTGCCTTCATTCTTATCTGGAGAATAAGTCTCCAAGAGGACTTAAAACACCCAAATATACCCACACACACAGACCTAGATTTAGCCCAGCAGTGCTAGGGTGGTGGAGGGCTAGGCACTTCCACTGCAGTCAGTGGGTACGGTGTGTGTGCACTGGGGGCAAGGGCTCTGTGTGTTCTGGCTGTGAGAAATTGGTATGGCTGGAGGAGGTCTGGGAGAAAGATATGCAGTGCTTTCAGCATGCACAGAGACTCCTCTGTGTCCCTTGGCCTCAGCCCTGGCAGCCTGGCTTGTGGGCAGGAGTGGCAGAGCCAGCAGAAGGCGAGGAGCACAGCATTCCACCAGAAAACGCTGCCCTCAGCCTCCTGGTCCTGCTCAGGGTCATAAGCCAGCCCCCCATTTTCCTCTCTATGGCTCCAGCTCCCCCTGCTTGCAGAAAGACCTCCTCCTGATCTGTGGGGATGCCTTTTAGAGTGGGCAGAGCCCATCCTGTTCTGTAGGTACTTTTCTGGGATGAGCTGGATGGCCTCATGATAGATGACAGGTGACTTGCCTCTCCTATGCATGTCTCATCCTCCTGCCTCACACATTCTCAGCAATTACAGAGGAGCAGGACAAGAAGCAGAAACATAAATTTTGAGCTTTTACTAACATCCCACTGGCCAAAGCAAGGACATGGCAGAGCTCAGAATCAAGAGGTGCTCTGTATCCATCCCTCATGCTATGTGATGGAGGGAGAGGGCCACAGGCATGTGGCACAGAGGGTGATACAGAGTGAGGGGAAGGGCTGGAGCAGCATGACAGGTTAAAAGTGGACTCACACTGCAAGAGTCAACAGGGCTCCTTGGGCATAACTAGTGCTCAGTAAAGCCAGCAGAGTGGATGTTGAGATTATGCTGTAGAAGGAGAATGCTGTACCACACAGGTGCTGGTTAGGTGAGTCCCAGCTCATCCTAACTCCCTTTCTGAGGCTGCCCACCCATGTCAAAGATGGCATCCTGTAAGCCCATCAGTTGGTAATGGCTCCCTGGAACATTATATTGAAAGAGATTTGGAGGCCCCATCTAGACTCATGGGAAAGAGCTTCACAATCAATTAGCAATTTCTCCCCTGGCCGCACAGGGGCATCTTGGCACTTCCTCTACTACGTTTGCTGTGATAATGGACCCCTAGCTCCAGCCTTACTACCATCCTCTTTTTGCTCCCACCTTCCCTCCTTTTCTCATCCCCAGCCTCCTTCCTTACTCTGTATTCACCCAGGATAGAACCAATCTGGCCTGTGCACACACATGCACATTGCCTGGTCACCCATGTCTTCCCCTCACCCACTCTACCAAGCCCATGCTAGAAACCTGGGGCAGCTTTACCTTGCTGACTGCCAGAGACTAATACTCATCACTGAGCATGAAGGAGCCCTGGAGGCAGGTTCCCCAGGGGCTGTGAGCCTGAGCTCTGACTCTGATGAGTGCTGTGAGCCAGAAGGGCTGCAGGCCAAGGGAAGTGCTGCTATCTGTAGAGGGCTAGGGACACCACCACCAGCAAGGGCAGGGATTAGTGCCACCTCACAAGCCCCAGAGCTCACTATTGAAAAAGTAACGAGATTCCTAACAAAGCTTGGGGCTTTGGGCACATTCTAGAATGACTTATTTTAATCAAATGCTGGCTTGAGCAGAGAAAACGGGGATAGCCGCAGAGGAGTAGTTGGTGGAAGGTGGGCAGGGGCTGGTCTATCAGAGGAGCTAGAGAGGGCCTAAATACCTGAAGCTAGGGGTATAGCCAAAAAAGACAACCCACACTCCCAGAGTTGAGCTCGGCTGCCCATGCCCCTCAGACAGCACCCCCTACTTCTCTCAGTGTGGGTACATCTGGGAACAGCAGGCCCGATGCCTTCCCAAGGGCCACAAGCAGCTGTGTGCATGCTGGCAGTGAACCGTGGTGCTGCTCCTCGCCTGTGTATTAAGGCAACGGTCATCACGAAGATGGCTGTGAGCCCGAGGACTTCCTTGCCCTCCTGCTGCGGTCAGGGAGGCAAAAAAGGCTTCTGGGCCTTCTCTTTCACCCCATGCTCAGAGCTCAGACCCATCCCCTGCAGAGTCCAGGCCTGGCTGCTGCCCTGCAGTTACTGGGCAAGGCAATGCTAGCTGCTGTAACAGGAAGATCCCAGGCCCTGGGGACACAGAAATTAATGTCTGGCACAGGGAATGCCCTGCCTGGGTGAGGGGCAGGGGACTGTCCCCTCCACAGAGTTGGTCAGGGCGAAGGCTGCTGGGGCTCTGCTGTCATGAAAACCAGCCTTCCGGGTCTCCCCTGACAGAGGGGAGGGAGCAACAGAACAGTGCGGGGTTCCTATGGGCCACTCCGGAGCATGCGCACCCCTCCTCCATGCCACCCTGGACAGGACAGGAAGCTGGAGTCCAGCAGCCATAGTCCTCTCCAGGAGGGGAGCCTGGAACTGAGCTGGGTAGCTGGGCATCTCTGCCAGCTCAATGCCCACCCCACCTAGGACAGGCTGTCTCCATGGATTTGTCCATTTTCCGTTGTTAGGAGCACAATACCACAGGCCGGGTAGAGGGATGTGGTCTATGTTGGCCCGTGATTCTATAGGTCTGAGGTGAAGGGGCCATATCTGGTGCTGGGCTTCTTGCCTGGCAGGGTGGTGCCGGACATCACATTACGAGAGACCGGGAGTACACATGTGCGCACAAGTGTGTGTGTGTGTGTGTGTGTGTGTGTGTGTCTGGCCTCCCTCTTCTTATCAAGTTGCCAAGATGTATTCATGAGGCTCTACCTTGATGACTTTATCTAATCCTAATTGCCTCCCAAAGGCCCCATTTCTAAACACCATGGTTGGATTAAGTTTCCACACTCTTCATACCTCACAGTATAGGTTAAATTTGCAACACATGAACCCTTAGGGGACACATTCAAACCGCAACACATCCAAGCCACAGTACTCAACTGTGCCATCCAGGGACAGCCATTCTCCCAAGGGGGCTGACCTGTGCACCGGGGGCTCTTGCATAACAGTGTTCCTGGCTTCTGCCTCGAGCTTCGAGTAGCACCCCCATGGCTATGGCAACCAAAAGTCTAGACACTGTCAGTGTCGCCTGGAGGACAAAGTCATCCTTGACTGAGAACCACTGACCTAGAAAAATTTTCATGATATGGATAAAATATAGCTAAAGAAGAGGATGGGGCATGCGGAGGCTTCCTAGTCAAGAAGAAAAGAAATTAGAGGGAAGGGCTCCTTTGGAAGCCAAAGGGGGCTCAGGAGAGGTGGGTGAAGAGAGAGAGCCTGAAGGAGCCTCTGTCAAAGCCACCCCACAGTAGCCTGGCCATGGCTGTGGCTGGACACAGGACCTTTGGGATGCCAGCATCTCACAAAATTTCCTCCATTCAGAAGCCAAACTGGACCAGGTGAGAGCTACAGATCGGGGACAGCCAGTGGGCTGCTGGGTTTTCCTGGGCCAGATAAGAAATAAACAGAAACAGCAATGGGAAGCAGCATCCCTCAGTCTTGGCCTGGAGGAAATCCTAGCAAACACTCACTCCCACAGAGATGAGGTGCCAGGCCCAGCAAGGAGGAGCTATGTGCCCTCAGAAGCTGGGACCTGAGCTCTGAGCTCACCCCCTGCCCAGCAACCTTGTGCCCGGTAACCCACAGCCCAGACTCCCTGCCCCAGCCTTTGGCTACCTCTGTGCTACACCTAAGGACAAAGATCCCTGCAGGAGGCTCACAGTGGGGAGATGGTCACCATCCTGGTCCTGTGTTGTCACCTTTAAAACATTTTAGCCTGGCTCTGTTCCCATTTCCTACCATCGCATTAACTGGGAGTAAAAAGAGCTTTCCGGGAAAAGAAGAAAACAAAAATGAGCATCGTTGGGGCCTCTAAGCAGGGTGGGGGGCGCCTCCCTACTGCCCAGAGCTCCACAGATAGGACGGGTCTTTGTAGGTAAAGCCCCCAAATCAGGAGGAGGACATAGCACACTCAAGCTGGAGGAGAACCGGGCCAGAGAGGCATTAGAAGGGATGTTTACTTGAGAGCCTGCTTAAAACTCTGTAATATTCACCTAATGGGAAAATCTGAAAAGAATTCAACTGGATTTGTCCTTGTTAAACTAACATTAAGGATGTTTAGCAGCTGTCTCAGGCACATCGCATTACAATCCGGAGATAGACTTGGCAAACTAATGGTTCTGTTGTCAATGGGAGAATGGGCAAAAGGCGTGGGCAGAGTGGGGCGGCAGCACTCCCCACACCACTGCATCCGTTAAGGGGGCCCCCAGTTTCTCTGTCTGGGGGCCCGGCATACTGAGGGGCTGCATGATGGGAACCCAGAAAAGGGAACTGGCCCGGGGACAAGCGGCCCATCTCAGAACCCATAGCACAACCCACCCTTCCTTTATCCTGTTGTCCAGCTCCACCGGTCCCCTGCATGTTCTCCAGCTTCCGGAAGGGGGAAACTGATCCCCAGGGAGGGGACTGGGGGGAGATAGGGCTCTAGAAGTCTGTTTCACACAATCTGTGGTTTTTGAGTCGGCCTAAAAAAGGTAGGATTGGGGCTCCGGCAGCAATCTTGGAATGGTCCTGCTCATCATTTACTCATTCGTTCTATGGACGTTTCTTTGGTGCCTGGATGCTTATGTGAAGACAGCCTCACAAAGTCGTCCAGGCTGTGTCATGGGAAAGGACAGAATTCCATGGGGGATTGGGGAGAAGGCCCCAAGCCCACCCTTGGAGTGGGGCTGGGAAGTTTTCGTGCGGTCGGCCTCAGCCTCTGAGTGTCAGTGTGCTGTATTTCAGTCTGATCCCCAACACCGAGAGATTGTTGGGGTTCTCTGCATACTAAACTCGGGTGGAGTTTGGACAGCAAGTGGCTGGGGTGGGGGTGCCCTACCTCTCCTCTTTCCAGCTGGGCTGGGGAGAGTCCGTCAGGCCACCAGGCTCAGGTCCTGGCTCCCACTCCCAGGAGGCTCCAAGCCCTCCAGCCCTTGTCAAGGAATCCTTTTCCTCTCCCCAGAGCCATCACACTGGAGAACACCCTTGTCATCCTGTCAACGGTGGCTCCCGATGCAGGCCGCTACTATGTGCAGGCTGTTAATGACAAGAACGGAGATAACAAGACCAGCCAGCCCATCACTCTTGCGGTGGAGAGTAAGCAAGCACAGGGCCCGGACTGTCTGGGGCGGGTCATTAAATTTTGGGAATAGTGCTCCAGGGGGTCATTGGGAAGATGGAATGGAGGGCCCGGGCTGGGCGTGGTAGCAGGGAGCCCTCCCAGGGCTAGGAGAGCTGGGCTAGGTGTCTTTCCCTTGTGTGAGCATAAAAAGAGGAGGGAGCTGAGCTGGGAAGCTGGCCGAGACCCTGCATCAGGAGATGGGACACTTGCCCAGGCTGTTCGCAGGGCCACTGAGGCCCAGCACGGGGAGGAACAGGGCAGGAGAGAGTGTGCATGTTCGGATCACAGCCATCATGGGCTCAGGTGCTGACCGAGAAATCACCCCAGGAGATCAGAAGCTCGTTTTTTAAAAATTACACTAACTGCCTCTGCTCAGCAGGCAAAGTGCTGTTTTTGCTTGGAGCCAGGCAGCTCCCACCAACAGGAACACGGGCTGCCCCCCACCTCCTTCCTAAATGTGCCACTGCGCCTATCCTCCGATGCCCCAGGGCCGAGAGAAAAGCCCAGTGAGAAGCACCTAAAGGGAAACTCCTCGAGTGACCTTTGGCAGAGATCTGTCCAGCCGAGACTGGAGCCGGGGATGTCATCCCAGGCCTGGCTCTCCTCCACCAGACTAGGCGCCCCCTCCAGGCCCCATCCCAGGACGAGAGAAGGGAACTGGGTGGCTGGGGTAGTGACCCGGGCAGGGAATCTGGGAATTGCAGAGACCACATGCAAGTACAGGGGGCGATATTAGCACTTCCTGCAGCAGCCAAACGCCACACAAGCTGGGGGGAGCCAGATGTTCACGTCCCTTCACATCTGTACCACTCCCGTTCCCAAAGCAACCTCATTTATCATCCATGGTCGCACCGGTGTGCACCCACGAGCAGCAAGACGAGGGTACAGCACCCTTCTGGTACCTTTCCCCGATCCCAGCCTCTGTCTGCCAGTGCCTCTGTTGCCCACAACGTTCCCAGCCCCTGTTAGTCCTATTCCTGGGCCTCCCGAGCTCCAACAGGACCCCTCCCCAAATTCCCAGTTATCTCCTTTCTCCATCCCAGGTTCCAGCCTGCCTGGAAAGACACAGGGTAGATCTCTCACGTTGGCCTGAGCCAGGCTCTCAGCTGAGTCCATAGCTTGAGCCCCGAGCATGCATGACCTGGGGCTGTTGTTTCTATGGGAAAAAGAAACTGAGTCACAAAGGAAGAGCTTCTTCCCATATATTTCCCAAGGACCCTAACACCCAGCATCTCATGGAACCCAGCAACTTGGTAAGAGGCAATGCCACAGATGCGGAGTGGTTTGTGGTCCATGTCAAAGCCAGGCAGCTTTCTGGGTGACTCAGTTTACCCTAGGTTGGGGGGCCTTTGCGCTGTCTTCCTCCTCCTCTGCCTAGATCCTCATAGGAGTCAGGGCTGACTGTGGGGTCACTCATTCTCCGGTCCATTGCAAACCACCCCAGCCCTACAGGGTAGGTGGCCCAGGGTAGGTTGCAGGGCCCCTCCACCCACCCCCCGTCTACCAGCACCTCGGCCAACTGTCTGCTTCCCCAACCCATCACCCCTCAGCTCCTGCTTCTGTGTGGTGATTTGTGCTAGATTGAGAGCAGAATCAGCTGCTGTTTAGCTAATTTCCCCTCCCACGAGTGATTACACTTCAAAACCCTGTTCCTCACGCTGACACAAATTCCCCAGCCTGCCTGCCTGCCTGCCAACCGATCTGTGAGGAGCAATTGCCACCTTGCCTGACACCAGCTCCGGCTCCCCTCGGTTACCTCTCTAGGTTCTGGCCCCCTCCCCTTCCTTCATCCTACTCTACTCTGATCACGCAGGGATTCTCTTAGCAGCCTTCTGAGAGCCCTTGCTCCTTGGAAATGGGGAAAGAAAGAAGAAGACTGGGTTTCCCGGGCATTGACCCTGGCCAGAGTAATCCAGGTGACGTCACGTGGACCATCACCACTGGCCCCACACCTGGGAATCACAACTGCACTGCCCCATAGAAATGCAATTTAAAAGTTTTCAGTAGCCCCGTTTTTTATAAAGTAAAAAGAAATAGGTGGAATTCATTTTATGAATATATTTTATTTAACCAAGTATATCCAAAATATCCTCTTTTACACCATCAGTGCAGAAAATATTAGTGGGGTATTTTCCACTGGGTTTTCTGCATACTAAGTCTTTGAAATCTGTGTGTATTTTACACTTCCAGCACATCTCAATTTGGAATGCTAAATTTCCATCTGAAATACGTGATCTGTATTTCGATTTCATGAAATTTACAGCTGAAAAGGTAGAGTCTTATGCCCAAGTTGCTCCACACATACTTAAAAGTGTTCTAATAACTGAATTGGGGATCCGTTTTTAATTAAATGTAAATTAGTTAAAATTAAGTCACATTAAATCAAAGGGGCGTCAGCCCCATTTCAATTGCTGGGGAGGCACATGTGGCTCGTGGCTCTGTGTGGGATGGAGCGTAACTTAAGGCCTGAGTGCCCTGGTGCCCAGGGGTGGCTGCAGTTCAGGTGTCCCGGGAGCCTGCCCTGGAGAGGAACAGTGGGACAGCCCTCCCTCTGCCCACAGGACCTGTGGCCACCAAAGCCACGTAACCCCTGAGCCTCAGCTTTGTCATCTGTAAAGTGCTGCCCATGGCAGAGCTGGGAACCTTAAACGAGACGAACTGGGGAGAACGGATCACCCTAAAAGCCCCTTGGTGAGGCTGTCAGGAAATCATCCTGGGCTGCTGCCTCCAGCTTGACCTGGGGACCGCGGTCGGTGTCCTCTGGCCCCAGGGTCCCGGTCTATGGCAGGAGCTCATGCAGAAGACACCCTCTCCTCCTTGCTTGGCTTGCCTGTGCTTTTCATAGCTTAACATTTAGGACTCCCTTCATCCCACTATCCTCACCCCACCCTGGGCTGGAGCAGATTTCACTTAGAGTAAACCTCTGCCAGAACCACTGTGCTGACTTCAGCTGGCCTTGGCAGGGAGGGGCTGAGCCACCTACTCCCAGTGACACACAGACTCCATAGACCTGAGCTGGGAACAGCAGCACCCCCAAAGGTCGAGGGCTCTTGGCTTCTTGCTACCCTGTACCTCTGGGCTTGGAGATCTGTGCCCGCTTGAGCCCTGTCCGAGGCGTGAGTTTGACGAGGTGCACGTCCTTTGTCAGTGCCCACCCTGCCTGCTCCCCCGAGCTGGTCACAGGACACCTAGAGACAGGAGATGACTTCACATGCCCTGCCCAAGCACGGGGCGCCTGACAGCCAGGTGTGTCCCGCAGAGGGTGAGCCTCATGGCACCCTGCCCTCACCCCATTCTCCACACTCCAGTGCCGCTGAACCAGTTGTGGGAGGCAGGTGACAAGCGGTGATAACTACCCACAGTTTACAGATGAGCAGGGTGAGCACATCAACCCAGGGAGGTGATGGAACTCACTTTCCTCCGGCATTTGCTGGGAGCTGGCAAAAGCAGGCATGGGACCCAGGCCACCCTGACCCCACAACCTGCACCCCAACTACTACACCCTTTGTCTCGTGGGGCCGATCTCAGGAGGAAAACTAGTGTCCCTTGGATGGTGCTCCCCACAGAAAGGCTCCTGTTGTCTCCTTCCCCGACTTTGTAGGAAGCTGCTCCTTCTTTGCTGCCTCCCAGCCTGCATCCCCAGCCTGGCCCCTCTGGCACCTGCTCTCTGACTCTCAGCTCCACCTGTCCCTCCCATTGGGCAGGGGCACCCTATTCTCCGAGCTTCCACCACCTGCTGCCTGCTCTGCATCCCCCACCACTCTTCCTGCTCCATTACTTCTGCGCCCACCCCAGTGAGCCAGCCCGGCGTCCAGGGCTCGGCTGTGATCTTCCCACGCTCCGTGGCCCTGGCACCTCGATCTCACCTGGTGCTCCCGCACACATGGCCACCCATACCAATGTCTCTGCACCTGTCCATTCAGCTGTCCTACCACCATCCCAAAACCGTGTGGCAGGGCCCGGGATTTAGCTCAGTGGTTCTGCCTCCTGCCTTGCAAGCACAAGGTCCTGAGTGTTCCATCTCCGGTACCAAAAAAAAAACCTATGTGACAAAACCCAATCCCATCACCCTCTGAACTGCAGTCCCCACAGGCTTCCCCTTTGCTCAGTAGAGGGCTCGGTCCATCCCTGAGCAGCTGATCTCTAAACCACCATGGCCCTTCTATCTTCCTCCACCCTAGCCCTGTGGATTTGTCCTGTCTGTCCTCCCACAGAGCTCGCTGGGGGCTCCCTTCCAGCCCGGAGTCCAGCTTTAGATCTCCTGCCTTGGAGTCTCTATCTAACCTTTCCCAGCCAAATCTGCCTTCTCTCCCCCTAGTGGGCATGGGACGTGGATCTGCCATGCTAGCTCTGCCCTCTTGTTGCATTGGGTGGGTTAAGAAGGATTCTGTGACCACTGCTGGGCTCAGCTAGCAAAAGCACTGGAACCAATTAGCACTTTATCCTGCAGACAAAGGGTAGCAGCTTGGGATGGAGCAGCAAGCCCGGCAGAACCCAAGGTCTCTGCTCCATAGATGCAGTAGCTGCTCTCCTGCCTCTGGGTGCTCTTAGGGCCACTCTTCCTCACAGCACTCCCATTCTAGTGCCCCCTCCTTCCCACTCCCCTGCCGCTGTCTCCCTGCCTGGGGTCCTGAGCCTCTGCTTGCCCTCTGACATGCATGGCCCCCAAGGCTCTGTGACATCCACCTCTTTGTGGCCTCGAGATGTGTCACTAGATGGGGGGTGACGGGAGAGCTGTCTTCAGCAAAGGCAGGCAGATCCCCAGGAGTAGGGACTGTCATGCAGAGAGCACCTGCTGTGTGCCAGGTCACCCCAGACCAGCTGAGTCACCCCTCTGCCCGATCCCCCTTAGGGACAGACAGACCTTGGAGTCTGGCTCCCTGGATATCTGATTCCTGGCACCTTCCAGGCACTCACCGGCACAGACTCACTGAGCCGGGGGCTGGATTCACAGAGCCCTGAGCAGCAGTGAGTTCTAGCCCACTTTAGCCAGCAAGAAAACGGAACCGAATTGAGGTCACCCTCAGGACACTCAGGTCAGAGTGAGGCTTCGAACCCAGGCTCCCCCGGATGCTCCATCCCCGTGCCAGGGCTCCCCAGCCCAGTGGCTCCCTCCAACCCTGCACTCTTCTCTCCATCCTGCCCCAGCTGGAGAGCCCACTGAGGCCCTGGCAGCCCTCCTGTGCAACTTGCCTGCCACACCTCACCTTCCACCCGGGCCATCTGTTTGCCTGGCCGTGCTGCTGGTGCTCCGGCTCACCCTGTCTACCTCCTCCTTGTGCTCCATTAATCTGGGCTGTGGTACCTGCACGCCCCAGCATGTAATAAACAACTTAGAGCACACTTTTATGGATTCAGCTATATCAGCAGCTTTCAATCCGATCGCTCTTTATGGCACCTACATGAGGCTTTTATATTGTTGCAATTACTCTGTTTTATATGCTTCCTTTCTCGGCCCTTCATTTTACTTTATTTTTACATTTTATTCCCATTCTTCCTGAGCCTTTTCTAGCAAGGCCTGGAGTCGAGGTGGGAAAACCTGCCTGGGCCTGACTCGGGTGGCCCAGAGTAGCTTCTCCCTGCCCTCCTCCCACCCCACAAAGGGCACCCCATTGCTGTCCATCCTGGGCAGCACAGGCCAGTGTGGCTCCCTGGAAAGAGGCCAAGTGGATAGATTTGCCATGAGAGAAAGTCCTCAGAGGCTGCATTTTCTGGAGCCTTTGAGCAGGTATATGGAGACTATCGGAGATTCTGCCAATACTGGGCCTACGCTGAGCCATAAAGACAAAGGCCTGGCCATCTCCTGAAGAATTCAAAGTCTGAACAAAGGAGATGCTACCACTGTCGTGAGAATGGCATCATTTTTTTTTCAATGAAACCTGCTCACGGGAAGTTCTCTTTAATTTTAGTCATGGAGCCTAGGGGCTGAGGAATGAGAGCTTACGCTCCACTTGTGGCTCATAGAAGGTGTTGAGCACCTACTATGTGCTGGCCGTCACTCTGTGTGTGGTGGTAGCAGAGCTGTGAGCCAGCTCGGGCAGCCACAGTGAAGCCCCCAGCCTGGGCGTGAGATATAGGCAGTCACTGTCTCGGCTCTGGAGGCTGGAAGTCCGAGGTCAGGAAGCCAGTGTGGCAGGGTCTGGTGAGGGCTGTCTTTCTGGCCTGCACAAGGCCACCTTCTCTGGATGCCCTCTGCTTCGGAGAGAGTGACAGAGACACAGAGATGGAAAGGTGGCGCTCTCACAGGCCGTCCTCTTCTGCAAGGCCAGCAATCCTGTCAGGGGCCTCCTGCAAGCCTGCTCACCATTCCCAAAGGCCCCGCCTCCACATCCCATCACACTGGGGCTAGGGCTTCATCAGGTCAACACGCAGCAGACACAACTCCGTCCACATCAAGGACTCACAAGATTTCTGCCTCAAGGAGTCTCCCGTGGCCACCATATCAAAGCACCACCACCTGGGTGGCTTATTATAACAGAGATTTATTCTTCTCCAGTCTGGAGGCCGGGGTATGAAATCAAGGTGTCCATGGGGCTATGCACCTTCTGAAGGATCCAGAGAGGAGTCTTTCTGCCCCTCAGCTTCTGGTGGCTTCTGGCAGCCCATGGCATTCAGTTCTTGGCTTGTAGACATGGCTCTCCCATCTCCACCTCTGCTTGTCCATGGCTTCTCCCTGTGTGTCTGTCTAAATGTCCCTCTCTTATAAATAAGGACAATGGTCACATTGTATCTGGAGCCTGCACTAATCCACTGTGGCCTCGTCTTTACCTTACATCTGTGAAGACCTTCTTTCCGAATAAGGTCATGTTCACAACTGCCCAGTAGCCATGAATGGTGGGGGCGCTCCTCAACTCAGCATGGAGAGTTTGCATTATGGTGCAGGAATCAGATAACTAATGTGAACCTACAAGGCAAACTGAGTCAGGGAGAAGGGTCACGAAGGCAGCAAGACTGGGCAAGGTGAAGAGGAAGGAGGCATGGGCGCCTTACAGGAGGGGTGGGGAAGGCCTGGCCAGGCAGGGTGGGGTACCTGACCTGTGCCCCAGCTCACACCTGGCCTCTCCCCAGATGTCGGGGGCCCCGCTGACCCCATTGCACCAACCATCATCGTCCCCCCCAAGAACACCAGTGTGGTGGCCGGGACCTCGGAGGTGACCATGGAGTGTGTGGCCAATGCCAGGTGGGTGCTGCTCCCTTGCTCTCTCCCTGTCCCTCCTAATGCCGTCTACCACTTCCAGGAGGACTGCTGAGATGCAGAAAGGTCTGGAAGCCGAGCTTGGTGGTGCACATCTGTAATCCCAACACTCAGAAGGCTGAGGCAGGAGGATCTCAAGTCCGAGGCCAGCCTTTGAAACTTAACAGGAGCCTGTCTCAGAATGAAAGGATTGTGTGTACAGGGCTGGGGATTTAGCTCAGTGGTGCTGGTGCCTGCCCCGAGTTCGATCCCCAGTTCGAAAAATAAAGAAATAAAAATCCTGCCCCGAAAGAATTGCGAGTGTAGCTCAGTGGTAGAGCCCTGCCTAGCGTGCAGGAGGTCCTGGGTTCTAGCTTCAGCACCATGAATAAGAGAGAGTGTGGACTTTAGAGGGGGGAACCTGGGCCAGGTGCCATCGTGGCCCCCCTGCCCCTCACCCGGGAAGCATCAAATTACCCCAAGCCTCATGCTGTGGAGGCAGTGTGCACGATGCTCCTCACACTACCTCCTTTCCCTCAACACCAGCTGCGCGGCACAGGTGTCAGGGCCCCGCAGCCCAGAGAGGCCAAGGCAACAGCCCGAGGTCACCCAGGCAGCTGTATGAAATACGACCTGTGCCCCAAGCCTGTGCTCGCCGCGGGTCTCCAGGTCTTCGGCCCTGGGAAGCGGGAGTGGCCCGCGCCTGCGCACAAGCCTCGCCATTAGGCTTAGGGAGAGAGGCCAGGCGGCTTGACCTGACCCCTCCTAATTGCTCCGGAAAGAAAACCTGCGGCGAGCGGCTCCGAGATCCAGGGCTGACCCGTCTCCCCGTGCCCGCAGGCCCCTGACCAAGCTGCACATCATCTGGAAGAAGGGTGGGGCGCAGGTCTCCAGTGGTCTCAGCGACTACAACCGCCGCCTGACCATCCCCAACCCCACGGTCGGCGACGCGGGCTACTACCAGTGCGAGGCTGTGCTGCGGAGCAGCAGCGTGGCCCCTGCCGTCCGGGGCGCCCACCTCTCCGTGCTGGGTGAGCTGGGCCGGCTGTCGGGGCCCCCAGAGGGCCGAAAGGACCACGCTCTGACTCCTCCCTGCCCTTCCGCCTGCAGAGCCGCCTCAGTTTGTCAAAGAGCCAGAGCGACACATCACAGCCGAGATGGAGAAGGTGGTGGACATCCCCTGTCGGGCCAAAGGTAACGGTGGCGCCAGGGCCAGGGGCCCAGGGCCTTCAGCCCTCCCACCCCTGCTGGGACCTTTCTAAAGCCTCCTCCTCAGAGCCGCGCCCCTGAGCACGGCCTTGGGATGGCTGGAAACAAGCAGGCAAACTACCTTAATCCCAGGCTTGAAGTCGGCCTTGTTACTGTACCTTGCACCCAAATCGCTGTCATTTCAGGACGAGTGACAGGCCCCAATTGCCCATAATCTGAGAGTTCCCGCCCTTGCCTTGATGGCAGAAAGGGCAGATGTGGGTGTGTCTCGCTGGGGCTGGGTCTGGGGCTCCCCACCTGTTTGCTGGGATGCTGCTTCCTCTCTCTCCCTCTATTCCTACTTAAACCCTTGTCACAGTCCCTGGAGGAATTCATCCTTGCCCTCCCTCCTTCTGGTTCCGCTGAGCGAAGAGAGAGCAAGGGCGGGGGTGGATTCCAGGTGATAGGGAGGAAGAGAGAGCCAGTAACACAGGAGGCTGAGGCAGGAGAGTGGCAGGTTCAAGGCCATCCTGGGCAATGTAGCAAGACCTTGTTTCAAAATAAAAACATAAAAAGGGCTGGAGATGTAGCAGAGGCCCTGGACTCAATGCCAAGTTCTGGGAGGGCAGGGGCAAATATGGAGCAAAGGGGCAAATGCAGCCGGGCAGGAGGGTGTGCCACAGGGGAGGGGCGTGAATAACAGCTCCCCCCTGAGCCTCCACACTGCAAGGCGATGATTGTTCAGGCAGCAGATACCTTTTGTGGGGTGACCCAGTGCCCGAGTTGTTGTCAGGGGAAGAGAGTCACAGAGTGCCCCTGGCAGCCCAACCCTGCTGGGGAGGAGCATTCATTCTTGCCAGAGGGATGAGCAAACCAATAAACAAATAAAGATGCCTGATTTCATCTCATCTCAAACGCCATGGGTTGTAAGACACCCCATTATTTTATGTACCACTAAGAAAGAAAAAAGGCTGCCAATTAAATCATGACACGCTGTCGATTGTAAGACACATCCTGGTCTCCGAGACATTGAAAAATGTGCACCGCGCGCTGGGAGAAGTGCAGCGGTGCTGACTCCAGGTGGAGGGGTGCAGAGAGGAAAAGCGGGCAGAGCTGGGGGTGTCCCCTTGGGAAGCCACATTTCCACAGAGACCCGGAAGGGTGGAGGGAGGAAGGGAGAGGGAGGCCCAAGAGATCCCTCGGAGAAGAGTGTGCGGGGCTCAGACCGAGAGGAAGGGGCTTCCAGGGGGCCTTCTGAAGAACCCGGCCCCCTCCATGCTATTCCACGACCATCTCCTGCCTGGGGGTTCCCGGAGCCCACAAAAGGCTGTGCTATATACTGCAACCGAAAAAAAATATCAGTTTGTCTACCCAAGCACTTGTAAGGTAAGTTGGTCTGGGATATTTTCATGTTCTTGAAATTCCTACCATATCCCGAATAATATGAGAATTGCTGCTCTAAGAACATCTTCCCTCTCTCCTCAAACCACAAGAGACAACGCTGAGAAGGTCCTTGGAGACTAAGACACAGCAGTGTCCCCCCTGCAGACTCCAGCCCCAGCTGTACCCCAGAATCCCTCCGAGGCACCTGGGGAGAGCGAGGGGAGGTGGGCTGATGCGGCCTCGCCCCACAGGTGTGCCGGCACCCTCCATCACCTGGTACAAGGACGCGGCTGTGGTGGAGGTGGAGAAGCTGGCCCGCTTCCGGCAGCGAGGTGACGGCGGCCTGCAGATCAGCGGCCTGGTGCCCGATGACACCGGCATGTTCCAGTGCTTCGCACGCAACTCGGCTGGCGAGGTGCAGACCTCCACCTACCTGGCTGTCACCAGTGAGTTGGCCTCCCCCGTCCCACCTCTGAGCACAGTGGGGCACAGTGTCCCCCACCAAGGGACGTAGTGAGGACGGCAGGTGCCATTGTGTAGCAGCAGCATCTTAGAGCTGCCCGGCACAGCGCCTGCAGCCTTCGAGCTCCACAGGGCATCAAGGGCCCCCATGTCCTCCCTAGTGTCCTGGAGCCGAGGGTGGTGCAGCAGCTCTTTAAGGAGAAACCCAGTTCCTGCTGGGCATGGGTCCCTGCGGGGCTGAGGGACCCCAGGCCTGGAGACAGGGCCTGGCAGGCCTCTAGGAGAACCAATGCTACTTCAGTGTTCAGCTGACTTTAAAGAAGCTGGAGCCTCAGTCGAGTTCACAGAGGAGGAATCTGTCTACTTGGTGATGGAGGCCGTGCACTGACTTCTTGAGGATGAGGATCTGGGCAGGGTGGGGCTGGATCGCCTGGGCCTTCTGTATGGCAGGGGCTCCGGGGAGTCTGCACAGGCTCTCTGGGCTCCTTCCCAACACTGGGGCCTTGTCGGAGCACCTGCCAGGGGGCCCTGCAGCACCAGACCAGTGGGGTGGTGAGGACCCCTCCCTCTGGCAAGAGGCCCTTCCTTCCTGGAGCACCGCTAACAGACCCTGCTGCTTCTGTCTGCAGGCATCGCCCCCAACATCACCAGGGGTCCCCTGGACAGCACGGTGATTGACGGCACGTCAGTGGTATTGGCATGTGAGACCTCGGGCGCTCCCCGGCCAGCTATCACTTGGCAGAAAGGTAGATGGGACAGGCCTTCAGTGGTGATGGCCATGTGACAGCCTAGAACAGTCCTCAAAACTAGGTTCCGGGGTCGGCCAGACTGGATTCCCCACTTTCCAAAAGTTGTTCACTGCACAGCCCAGCAGAGCTGCCTCCTGACACCTAGAATAGAGCATGGCACGCAGCAGGCAGAATGAACATAGGCACAGGCAAGCATGTGCCGAGGTACAGCGGCAGTCACACCTGCTAGATGCAGGTGCGGGTGACACGCTTGGCCTGCAGGCTCACACAGAGACCCCTCCTACTGACAGGGAGTTCTTTAAAATAGAGCCAGCCACAGGAACTGCCTCAGCCCCTCCTACACACGCCTCTGTGTTCTCTTCCCTCTCTGACTGTCCCCCTGCCCAGGCAGGGCACTGGGCTGTCCATGCTTCCTGCAGAAGGTCCATCATGATGGACACCGGCAGGGGACTCGGTGCTTCTTTCTCCGCCCCTCTGCACTTCTTGCCCTCCCGCCCGCCGCTCTCCGCGGTCCCCTGAAGGTGACTGTCCGGACACATCCTGCAGCAGGACGCCCATCTGCCCGTCACCACCTTGTCAGCCTGACTCCCCCTCCCTCCCTGCCGAGGTGCCAGCAGCCTCTGAGGCTGTGCCTGGTTGCTGCCTGCCACTGTCAGGAGAATGCAGGGCAGGCAGTGTGGCAGGTGAAGGAGCCTCTGGAGGCCTGAGCCTCAGCTGCCCCAGCGACCCTGTGCCCGTCACCAAGCCTCCACCCAGCTGGGCCCAGCGCCCCTGGGGAGCTCCGTGCAAACCTGCCCATGTCGCCCTCAGGGGAGCGCATCCTGGCCAGCGGCTCGGTCCAGCTGCCCCGATTCACACTCCTGGAGTCCGGCAGCCTGCTCATCAGCCCCACCCATATCTCGGATGCTGGCAGCTACACCTGTCTGGCCACCAACTCCCGGGGGGTCGACGAGGCCTCGGCAGACCTGGTCGTGTGGGGTGAGTGGCTGTGGTAGGTGTGGAGTGGGGGACTCTACCCATCTGCAGGAGCCGGCCACCCTGGGAGCTGCCCACAACACAGCAACACCAGCAGGGACACACTCGAGGTGCTAGCATCTCCACGCCACGTCTATGTCTCCTTATCCAACAGACAGTGACAGATTAATCCCAAAGCCAGGGACCACGAGGCCTCCGGTGGAGAGTTCGTGCTGTGCTCGGCTGAGTGGAGACAGCTTTGAGGTGGCGGGAGAGAGCTGTCCTCAGATACGTCAGGGCAGAAATCAGGATGTTGTTTTCCATAAAGGGCCAAGTAGTAAATATTTTAGGATCTGTGGGCCAGACGGTGTCTGTCACAGCTACTCAGCCAACTTCTGCGATGTCCGGGAAGCAGCCAGGGGCCGATGGGACGTGATCTCATAGTCCTGGCTGTGCTGCAGTGAGTTTGGTCACTCAGACAGGCCACCTGCCACATGGGGCCCCAGACGGTGGTATGCCAGGCCCCTGGAAGAGGCTCGGTGTCCACACCAAAAACACCAAACTGGACATTGCAGGGCCCATTGAGACCCTGGCTGGGTCGCCCGCAGGCTGGGCAGATTGCTGTTGCCCCTCCCTCTATATGGATTTACAAGCACATGAAAGGAGCCCCACTATGGTTTGGTTTGGTTTTGGTTTGCTTGTTTGTTTGTGGTACTGGGGACTCAACCCAGAGCCTTCACGCTGAGTTCCATCCCCAGCCCTTTTCTGCTTTTTAATCTCGAGACAGGGTCTCCCCGAGTCCCTGAGTTGCCCAGGCTGGGCTAGAACCTGCGATCCTCCTGTCTCAGCCTCCCAGGGTCCCGGGATCACAGGTGTGAGCCATCGTTCTTTTTGACCCTCCCAGGACTTTGACTGTGGCAGGTCTGTGTGCACCAGCCACACTGCCTGAGCCTCCTCAGGCCCACGCTCGCACACCCCACTCAGCCCGGGGTTCTGGAGCTCCTGCCCTTCTCTCAAAACAGCCGTCTCTGCCATTTCTTTCAGCCCGGACCCGCATCACCAGGCCTCCCCAGGACCAGAGCGTCATCAAGGGCACGCAGGCCTCCATGGTGTGTGGAGTGGCCCACGACCCCCGTGTCACCATCAGGTACTCACTGTGCTGTGACCTGGACTCCAGGCCGGAGGGGAGGGAAGCCCTAGGGATGCACATGTAGCTGGGAGGTGCATGTGGTCTGCGGGGGCCCTGGAGAGGGCCATGCAGGGCTGAGATGCACAGGAAAAGAGAAAGGGGTGAAGGAGAAGGGAAGAAAGGATGAGAAAGAGACTCGAGTCTGGGGTGCTCTCTGTGACCCAGGCCCTCGCTGCTGGTGTTCCCAAGCTTTTGCCCCTCTTGCAAATTTCATGTGGACAAATTAACCCAAGTCCATTAGTGTCTTCACAGCAGAGAGGATAAGAGGATACAGGACCAGCCCCAGAGCTGTGACCCTCCAAGATGGGCATGCGAGGGGGAGGTGCCCAACCTGGGGTCATCCCCACCATGGCAGGGAACTCGGCCTCCAGGGATTCTCCAGCCACTCAAAAAGCTGGGAGGGGCTGCCGTGGACAGAAGCCACAAGAAAGATGTAGAAGCAGGGACCCCTCCCGAGCTTGGACCCAGGACACCCAAGCCATCCTCCGGGAAGCTTCAGGAACTAAAGCCAAGGGGGAAGTGATCCCCAGTCACTCCCAGGAGCGCCAGAACGCCGAAGAACTGATTCCTTGGAAGAGGAGATGGCCTGTGTGTGGCCACTGTCAGACAGCAGGCATGGAGGCTGCAGGGCCTGGTTTAGGCCTCCTGGAGAAATGGCCTCCCAGGGCTCCACATGGCAACTGCATCCTGTAGCGCCACCTGGTGGCCATTGGAAACAGCATGGCCTCACCCTCCACCCTGAGACCCCCGAGCCTAGTGCCATAGGAACTCCACGCAGTGGCAAAACATGAGGGCCCAGGCTGAGAAACACGTTGTCAAATGTTCAGCTTTGACCTTTTCGGACAGTCATCACACCAGCACAGAGCCCAACACTGGCCCTGAAATCATGTAGACGTAGTTGGAACCTTGTTGGCAGATTAACTAGGTTGTCCTCTTTTCTGCGTTGATTAGATTTTTATTTTAAAAATTAATCTACTGACTGTGAAAAAGTCCTCAGAGACAACCCGCATCGAGCACTTGTGGGAGTTTCAGTCCCAGATGTGATATAGTAGCCATACTTTTAGCATCCATTAATTGAAAAACTCTATAATCACAAAAGGCTCTATTAATTCAGTGACACTTTAAATTGGTGTTTTATTTATAAAACGTCACCTACCGCTATTTGGAAAACACTTGTGCATTTTATTCCTTCTCTAGGTAATTCTTGATGAACACAGGGACTCGGGGATCTTGCACTATTCCAGCAGACCCACTCTTAGAGCCCTGCCGCCTGCAGGTGGGAAGACCCTATTCCAGTTTGGGGGAGGGATCATCGCCCTAGCATAAAATTAGCCGGCTAGGACCATGTTTTTAAGATGGGAGGCGAGAGCCAAATTGATCCCTCAACCCCCTAGGTTGGCAGAGTCAATGCCGGAGGTAGCCCTGCATCTCCCGTCTCAGCCTGGCTTTCTTAGACAGTGGGAAACTCAGCGGCCTTCCACTTTCTTGAGCTAAATCAGAGGAGAGGTGCCCAGACCTCCACATTTTTAAAGCCCCTCATGTAATTCTAACATGTCTCCAGGATAGAACACTCTTTTTCAAGGAACTGGGCAGGAGAATGGTGCAAACTGTACCTGTAGCCCCAGCTACTTGGGAGGCTGAGGCAGGAGGATCCTTGAGCCCAAGAGCTTGAGGCCAGCCTGGACAGCACAGTGACTCTAAATAAATCAATCAATGACCCTGTCCTCAAGTGGGCACCATCCAGTTCTGAGCAACTAGATATTTTTACACACCTTTGATGCGCTGAGAACCATCTATTGTTACATAAAGCCAGCATGCCCCTGAAAATCCACTGGTCATAATTGTTACACAGCCAGTTAGAGAATTGCAAACTGTTCTGAAAAGTTTTTACCATGAGTATAATGGGCTGAAGATTGTTTTTCTTTTTTGCATTTTTTTCGTGAAAGGCAATGTTAAGAGTGTGTTCCATTTTATGAGAAACCACAGTCTGTGTCTTCCAAAAGTGTGGCGCTGATTTGCCCTCCCCCCCCCCCGGCAGAGAGGGAGAGAGAGCCCCGGCCACAGTGTTGGTGCCATGATGTCGATGTTGTGGACTGTGGCCTCCGATAGCTGTGTTGTCTGTTGTTTGCTTTTCCCAGAAGATTGTGACATGGAGCATCTTTTTTTTTTTTTTTTTTGGTACCGGGGATCGAACTTGGGACCTTGCACTTGTGAGGCAGGTGCCCAAACCACTGAGCTAAATCCCCAGCCCCTCATGGAGCATCTTTTATTGTCTCTTCTCTTTTTTTCTTGTTTAGTTTTTTTGAGACAGGGTCTCGCTATGTAGTTCAGGCTGGTCTTCAACTCACTCTGTAGCCCAGGCTGGCCTTGAACTCACAGCAATCCTCCTGCCTCAGCCTCCCGAGACGTGGGATTACAGGCATGGGCCACCACACTCGGCTGTGGATCATCTTTTCATATACATGTTTGCCTTCTGTGCATCTTGGTTGGGGAGGGTTTGCTTCTTCTCCTATGGTTGAGTTTTAAGAGTTCTCTTTATATTTGGGTTAATAGTCCTTTATCAGAAGTTTGTTGTCCACCTACATCCTCCTAGTCTGTGGCTTCTCTTTTATTCTCTTGATAGTATCTATTCAAAACCAGAAATTTTTAATTTTAATGAAGTCCAGTTTATCATTTCTTTCTTCCATGGATCATGCCTTTGGTGTTGTATCTGAAACATCAGTGCCTAAGTCCTTCTAGATTTTCTCTGCATTGCCTTCTAGGAGTTCTAGAGCTCTGCATCATATATTTAGGCCTGTGATCCTTTTTTTTTTTTTTGGTGGTGGTGGTCCTGGGGATTGAACTCAGGGCCTCCACACTGAGCCACACCCCACGCCGTTTTTTTGTTTTTTATTTTGAGGTAAGATTTTATTAAGTTGCAGAGTTGTCCAGGCTGGGCTACAATTTGTGATCCTCCTGCCATAGCTTCCCAGAGTGTTGGGATGTCAGGCATGCACCTCCATGCCATACTATTTTTAATTAATTTTGGGAAACAATGTGAGGTCTGTGACTAGTCATTTTCCACACATAGATGTCCAGTTGTTCCAGCACCATTCGTTGAGCGGGCTCCTTTATTTTCATTTTCATCTTTATTTTTTGCTTTTAGTTTTGTTTTGTATTCATGTAATTGATTTGTTGGAGAAACCAGGTTCTATAAGACAGAGAGGTCAGCACTGTTTCTGTAAAAGACCAGATAGTAAATATTTTAAGCTTATAAGAACTGTAGACTGTCATAATCACTCGACTCTGTAGCACAAAAGCAACCATAGGCAATATGTTAACAAGTGGTCATGTCTGTGTTGCACTAAAACTATTTATACAAACAAGCAGTCGGCCATGTTTGCTGACCCCACATAGAGTAACCCACATTCTGAATTTGGCTAGCTACTTTCTTCTGGGGTTAACTTGTTCTTCTAGCCCCTGTATTTCTTTCTTTCTTTTTTCTTTTCTTTTTTTTTTTTTTTTGGTACCGGGGATCGAATTCGGGACCTTGCACTTGCGGGGTAGGCAGCGGAACCACTGAGCTAAATCCCCAGCCCTAGCCCTTGTATTTCTAATTAGATCAAGTAATTAGATTTCAGCGGCTTTGGCACATGCATTTTGCAGGTTTCTCATGCTTTCTGAAGCAAAGAATGTCTGCTTGCCTTAGGGTGTTTTTAAAGCAGGAGTTACTCTTTGCCACTAGACTTGCTTTTAAGGACAATTTTGCCCATCCTCTGAATGTTGGCAAGGAGATGAGTGGAAGGTGATTATTGTTGTGGATTTGTTAAAATACATTGGAAAGGCCTTAAAAATTAACTCACCAATTTTACTGCTGATAATTTGTCCTTGAGACAGCAGCTGGGAAAGTGTGGAAGTATTTTGCCAAAAGGATGTTCAGCACAGCATTAGCTGTGATATCTGGAAAAAAAAAAGAAGCTAAACTGTACATCCAATATTAGGAAATCAGTTAAATGATTTCTCATTAAGACATCTTGCATCTGATTTAAAAAAAGAAACACGGTGTAGAAATGTCACAATAAAAAGAGTATATGAAGCCGGGCATGGTGGCACATGCCTGTAATCCCAGCACTTGGGAGTCTGAGGCAAGAGAACTGCTGTTTCAGACCAGCCTGGGCTCCATAGTGAGTTCAAGGATGGCCTGAATTATGTAGTGAGACTCTGGTTCAAAAAATTTATTTTTAATTTTAGAAGAGAGTACATGATATTTTGTTGAGTGGAAAAGATAACTTTAAAGACAGGATGGATGGAAGGAAGGAAGGAAGGATGGATGGATGGATGGATGGATGAGTTGATCCACCCATTGAGCAACTCAATCAATGGATAGATCTACCCATTGATCTACCCATCAATGGGTAGATCACTAGAAATCATTGATGTACATGTGCTATGTCAGTAAAAAGGTTGATAGCTAACCTCCGTTGACCATGGACCACATTTCAGGCACTACCCAAACACTTTAGCTCCACAATCCTTATAGTAACCTTATGAGTGGGTGGTATTGATTCCCTCGAGTTACAGATGAGAAACTGAGCCACAGCAAAATTACATCACCTAACCCAAGATCACAAAGCTAATACTTGGCAGAGGCAGCCTTTGAACTGGGAGTCTGACTACAAGCACAGCAGCGTCACCATCCACCACCTGTCCACGGGACGATCAGATTCACACACGTTCACCATGGTGCCCCAGTGCTGGAAAACTGCTGAGTTTTCTTTGTGCTTTTCCTTTTCCTTTTCTTTTTTTTTTAAGGTGGACTTTATTTTTCCTTGTTTTTTCCTTTTAAACTCAGCTGAACCATATTACAGACTCACTCTTGCTAACAATCTGACATCCTCTAACCCCAGGTAGTCCTAGGACCCTTGGCTCACAGCCCCGCCTGTCCTGCAGGTGACGGGGGTCTCAGTCATGACCCCGTTCCTCCGTCACCCTTGTGCTGAGAGCCCAGGCCACTCTCCAGGGAGGACAGCACAGACCCTCCCCGGGCAGGGCCAGGTCTCCGAGTGTGTGCATGACAATGATAATGGCTGTATTTCCTCCAGAACAATTCCAAAGGAGATATTTCTTATTGTCAGGCACTGGTGTGCGTGTAATTTTTCAAGTTCCCCTTTGTACTGACTGACCGAAGCTAAAGTGATTTTTTGGACACTAAAGTCAATTTGTCACAGTGATGCATTGATCTAATGATTTTCCTCATAAAACTAATTCCAAAATGTAGTCTATGCGGAAACTTTAATTCTTTTTCCATCCGTAATCTTTTCACCTCTTCGGGAGCACTCCCTTTGCTGGCTCTTTTATGCTGGCTGTTTTGCAGTGGCTTCTTGCCAAAAGCAACAATGCTTTGACCTGGGCCTGAACTGCAGGTGTAAACGACCGATAATGACTTAATGTGTGACCGCTCCTGCACTCCACACCCTCTGCAAAGATGATGGACTCCTAGGCTCCCACCCTCCGAGGCCTTCTCTCCAGGGCCCGTTTCCTACCCAGCCAGACAAGCCCCAGAGGAGCCACTGTGGCCTGGGACTGTCCCCTGCCTGTCTTTGGTGTGCTCTTTCCAGGAGGAGCTTTGGACATCCTCCTCAACTCTCTCTCTCTCTCCCCTAACTGGCACTTCCTGCTCCCCCTCTTAGGTACGTGTGGGAGAAGGATGGGGCCACCCTGACCATGGAGAGCAACCCGAGAATCCGCCTGGACAAAAACGGCTCCCTGCACATCACACAGACATGGTCAGGGGACATTGGCACGTACACCTGCCGGGTGCTCTCTGCCGGTGGCAATGACTCCCGCAGTGCCCACCTTCGAGTCAGGTAAGGGCAGCCAGCCCGCTCCCTCTGTCACAGCACAAGGGCCTGTGTGACGTGGGCCTGTCCAGGTCTCCTAGGTGGGGGTGGAGCTTTCTGTGTCTTCAGCTGCTCCCCATGCTGGTGTCCCTGCCTGAGCTCCGCCTCCTGTCAGATCAGGGGAAGCATTAGATTCTCACAGGAGCTTGGACCCTACTGTGAGCCGTGCAGATGTGGGATCTAGTTGTTCTTCTTATGAGAATCTAATCGTGAAACCATCGCCCCCACACATAGCCCAGCCTGGTCCCTGGAAAAATTGTCTTGCACAGAACCAGCCTCTGGTGCCATAAAAGGTTGGGGAGCACGGCTCTCATCCTAAGCATCCTTCTAGGCCCCTCCGTCAGCTCACAGAGACCCCCTGTCAGGAGCAGGGGCACCGAGTAGGGCTCAGACCCCTGAGTTCCGTTCCCAAGGGAGGGATCTGCAGGTGGGTGGCCGGGTGCCATATCCTGCATCTGTACCAACCGAGTCCTTGGTGTTGCTGTCACGTGACCACAGACCCCTGGGGCAGCTCCCCCATACTGATCTCTCCTCCAGGCAACTGCCCCACGCCCCTGAGCACCCGGTGGCCACACTCAGCACCGCAGAGAGACGGGCCATCAACTTGACATGGGCCAAGCCCTTTGATGGGAACAGCCCCCTGATCCGCTATGTCCTGGAGATGTCGGAGAACAGTAAGGTCCCTGGGGTCACAGGGACAAGGGGGTGGGTAGCAGCCTGGGCTGGGTCCCCACTCCCCACCTCCAGGCCTCTGAGCAGCCTGGGCTTCCTCAGCTGTAGAGGGAACAGTGGCCTCTGCCTGTCAGGTGGGTCCCTGTGACAGACAGCCCAAGAAGCAGTGTGCAGGAGGTGCTTAAAGCAGGGCTTGGCAGAGCACTGACCTCAGAGACAATGGTTATTATTTTTATTCTTATTTTTTATTTTTATTTCTCCGAGGGCCCAGGCTGTGAACTTCAGAATTAGCAGGTATAACCTGAATGGTGATTTTCATAGGTTTCCCTGTGCTCATCGGTTTCAGGGGAAAAGATGTAGGTCTTAGTTCCCATGAGCCCCTGCTTCCCCCGCAGGCCCTCCAGCCCTGGAAGTCACACGGGCTGGTGGGGCCCAGAGGAAATATGTGGTAGGGAGGCCCTCACTCTCCTGCCAGCCCAGAGGGTGCTGGACTCCTGCTGGGAGGGAAGGATGAGAGCACATCCTGTCCCCGCAGGACGCCCACCTCCGCCCCTCCCGCTGTCCCCGCAGATGCCCCCTGGACCACACTCCTGGCCAGTGTGGACCCGGAAGCCACCTCAGTGATGGTCAAGGGCTTGGTTCCCGCCCGCTCCTACCAGTTCCGTCTCTGTGCCGTCAACGATGTGGGCAAAGGACAGTTCAGCAAGGACACCGAGAGGTGAGGGGAGTGGCCACTCCTGCTGGGGCCACAGGGGCCCACCTGCTGCTGACCAGCGTGACAAGGGAATGGGGCCACAGGGCAAGTCTGGCTCAGTGTCTCTGCCCCTCCAGGCTTCAGTCTCCACCCCGTAGACTCCAGGCTCTTGCTCAGGGACAGCATGAGAAGGGAGACGGCATAGGAAGAGAGCGGTGGGCAGAACGTGGCACATGGTAACCCTAACCCCCGAGGAGAGTCGGCCTGTGACGGTGTGCCCTACGACCTCAGAACTTGCCTCTTCCTGCTCCACAGCTCCTTGTGCTGCCACCCTTGTCAAAGGACACGGAGCTGGGGGCGGGGTCTCGCGAGGGTCCATATCCAGTGCCACACATGATACCAGGCTCTGGGCGGGCGCTAGCAAACCGCTTACAAAACGGTGGACATTGAGTATCACAACAGGTAATCCACGTCCCAGTGCCACACCCGTTTAGCAGAAGGTGCATTCTGCCAGCCAGCCCTGTAGACCAAGCAGCCACCTCTGGCCGGAAGGAAAATGTCATCCAGGAGGTCAGAAAGGCTGTGCCAGAGGTCACGTGTGACCATAGCGCCCGTCCTTCACTATTTCTTGAGCACCTATGCGTGGCCCCCTGCAGGCGACACAGTGAACAACAGACCTAACCTGCCTGCTCCCAGCCCTTCCAGAGCCACAGAATCCCCACCAGGGGAACCTGTCTGGAAAGCCCAACACCTGCCTTCCCCAGCCCTGCGGCCTCGCTGTGCACCACTGGTTCCACTTTCTCTCAGGGCTGATCATCCTAGTCACCATGGGAAAGAATAAATCAGCCCGACTCTGGCCTTCCCGAAGACTGTTAGGAACGCTATCCATCAGGATGCAAACGCATCGGAATAAACAGAGGGAAAGGCATCCATCAGAAATAATTAACTTTTGTTTTTAATGGATAAGTGTCAGTGAGGTGAAAAATACACTTCAGGCGGAACACTGCATTCCCCAGCAGTGCCAGAGAGAGAAGCGCCGCTGGGCTCCAGGGCCCCACCTGTGATCCACCGCCCCACCTGCCGCTCAGCTGCTCAGTGAAGGAGGCCCAGTCAAGCACATCAGCAGCTGGCCAATGGGAAGCAACTACCTGAGACTCCTCTCTCCAAAATACCCCTGACCTCATCCACCCCAACTGTAGCTGCTTTGACAAATGGGAAACTGAGGACCATGTCCCTCAACTGCACCAAAAATACGCACATTCGGGGTTTTGTAGTGTTTTTAATACATACACAGATGATAGACAGATAGAGAGAGAGGCATTTGATACTCAACCAGTCCTGTAAGGCAGCCAATATACTTTTTTGTAAATAAACTCAGAGAGGTTAAGGGTCACACAGCCATAGTGCAGAATCATCCAGAGACAACAGGGCAGGGTTGCCCTCCTCCCTTCCTGTTAAATGCCTGTGTTGTCCCCAGAGAGTGAGTGAACGGTCCATTCACTCTATTTTCTGATTCAGGGTCTCCCTCCCCGAGGAGCCTCCCACGGCCCCTCCCCAGAATGTCATCGCCAGTGGACGAACCAACCAGTCCATCATGATCCAGTGGCAGCCACCTCCTGAGAGCCACCAGAACGGCATCCTCAAGGGCTACATCATCAGGTAGGCGTCCACCTGGGGACAGGAGGGCATCCTGACCCCAGGAGCAAGGAATGGCGGTAGGCACCGGAAGTGGGTGGCAAACTGCAAATGCACAGCGGGTCCTCTCCATCTAAAAAGGACCGGGCCACGAGAGTGCCCACACTGTGGCAGGAAGGACTTGGGCTAGACATCCAAAACCACTTCCTTCAGCGAGAGCCTTGGGAACCAGCAGCAGTGGTTGAGAAAGAACATGGTATAATCTCAAGGCTCAGTGGAAGCCAAGGCTGCTGTGCCAGGGCTGACGGGGGAGACAGGAGAGGGAAAAGGCCATTGTCCCAGGCGCCAGCGGCCTGGGGAACCCAGAATGTTCCGTCTCAACCAGACGCACAGCCTGTGAGTGCAGACACTAAGAGGGCAAGAATCGAATGAAAAGTGAAAGTCCTTTCTTTGGTCATTGCTGGAAAACAAGTCCAGTTCTGTAGACTTTTATTGTTTTATAGATAGATAGATGATAGAAAGATTTTTTTTTTGGTACTGGGGATTGAACTCAGGACCTTGCGCTTGCGAGGCAGGTGGTGGAACCACTGAGCTAAATCCATGGCTCTTTTATTGTTATATTTGACTGAGGATTACTATGCCAGTAACATAAAAGCTACAAAGGGTTACCTAAATGCAGTATTCATAAATAGCTCAACATCTGAAATTACTGAAAATGCTTACGCATGTTCTGAATCCTGGCTGGACACAGTGGTGGGCCACACCCTGGATCTCTTTCCTGCCTTGTGGGTGCTGGGATCCCCCAAAGTTGGAGGACACTATTGTTGGTCTGTCTGCTCCCTGATCAGTTAGTTTTGCTGTGAGTTTGTATTTAATCCTAAAATAAAGGGCTGTTGTTCTCAAAGCATGGTCCCTGGGCCAGCAGAATTTGTACCACCTGAGTGCCATTCAGAAATGTAAACTCTCCGATCCCATCCAAGACCTGCAGGGTAGGAAACGGGACAGGCCATAGGTCTGTTTTACTAAGACTTCAGATGGTTCCAGTGCACGCTGAGGTCTGGAGAGCCGGTGCTGTGGAGTGTTAGAAAGTACTGATGTGTTTGGGGCTCTAATTTGGCAATCATCAGACCCTGAGGCCTGTCTGCATTGTAGTTTTCCTGTAACTTATCTGTCCTCTGTGCATGACTCCTACATTTGCGTTTACAAACCCATCTCTCTGTCATCCCGAGTTGTTTTCCGGGAAAGTAGATGTGGTTAGTGCAGGCAGCTTTAGATATTTTCATTCCACCTCAGCAAGGGAGCCACTATCCTAGAGGGAGGAAGAGAAGGAGCCCAGCATTGGGAACCAGTCTCCTGCCAATGACCTTCAGACGCTGGGCCCTGGGAGACCTGAGCATCCCTGCTCAGCCATCCTAGTCACGTCCTCTCCCCCATTAAAAAGAAAAATCATTAGAGGTCCCAGTCAACCCAGCTATCCCCTTGCTGGGTATCTTCACAAAAGAATTAAAAGAATCTTACCACAGTGATATATGTGCACCCATGTTTTTAGCTGCACAGTTCATAATAGCTAAAGCTTGGAAAGAGCCCAAGTGCCCATCAACTGGAGACTGGATAAAGAAGATGTGGTTTTTTTAATAAAATGGAGTACTACTCAGCCATAAAGAACAAGAAACTAGAGACATTTATAGCTAAATGGATGAGTATTGAAGGCATCCTGTTAAGTGAAATAAATAGGACACACATGTGTAAATAGCAAATAGTTTCTGTAGTGTGAGAAACTGAAAGTGTAAATAAGGGTACACACGGATGAAATGGCCTAATAATATATTTCTCGGATTGTGTTTCCATCATGTGTCATATGACTGTATTGAAATTTAAATTAGGGAGAAGTTTGGTTTATGAGGAGTCTGCTAGCTAACTAGAGGTTTTTTCCAGATCATTATTTGTTCAGTGTTGGTTTTGGGGACCTTTCTGAAACAAATCACATCCTCTGGTGTCTTGTTGGTGCTTGAGATGCTTTTTTAAGTTATATGGAAAAATGTTTAAGTGTTTTTCAGGTTTTTTTTGGTTGAGTTCTACTGTATTTGGATATTATTGTAGTTTTTTTCCCTTGCATTGTTCTTCTTTGAATGGTTTTAATTTTTTGTATGTGTGTGTGTTTGATGATAAAGTTATTTAAAAAAAAAAAGAAAAGTCATGACACAGCCCTTAGGCCTACATCACCTGGGAAGGTACGGCACCAGTCACTTAGGGTGCTTTATACCAATTAGAAATACACCAGGGCCCAGGGGTTTAGCTCAGTGGTTTCGCCGCCTGCTGCCCAAGCGCAAGGACCTGAGTTCGATCCCCGGTACCAAAAAAAAAAGAAAAAGAAAAAGAAATACACCAGCATCCAGATCACTTCCTCAGCTGCACTAAGCACATCTTAGGTGCTCGACATCCCCCTGTGCTAGCAGCTCCCCTCTGGGGCAGCACAGATGTGCAGCACTCCCACCGCCACAGAACGTTCTAGTGGGCAGTGCCACTCTAGACCATTTCCTGGGCCCGACCCTCCCCTCTTCCCCTAGGTCAGTGGTGGCGAACCTAGGGCACGCATCCCACATGGGGCTGTTTACATCACTGAAACCTCTAAAAGGTTTGCCATCACTGCCCTAGGTACTGCCTGGCCGGGCTGCCTGTTGGGTACCAGTTTAAGAATATCACAGATGCTGACGTCAACAACCTGTTGCTAGAGGACCTCATCATCTGGACCAACTACGAGATCGAAGTGGCCGCCTACAATAGTGCCGGCCTGGGCGTCTACAGCAGCAAGGTCACCGAGTGGACGCTGCAGGGAGGTGGGTAGAGACTGTGGCCTTGAAGCAGCGGTGCGGCCCTTCCTCCAGGCCTAGTGCCTGCTACGTCTTCTGCCTGCCCCGTTCTCAGTGCCTACACTGAGTTGCTGGCTTTGTCTAAGCCCTTGATGTAATGCCTGGGTAGAATCTCCACCATGTGTGCAGCTCCCACGTGGTGGGGAGCAGAGGGGAAGAGGAAGAAGAGTCAGGGTGGGGTAGAAGATTCACATGAGGCCTGGGGATGTAGCTCAGTGGCACCACACCTACCTCGAAAGCACAAGGTCCTGAGTTCAATCCCTGGTACCAAAAATAAATAAATAAATAAATAAATAAATAAATAAATAAATACAGATTCACACGGATGGGATCACCACACCTTTGCCTTTTGTGTTCTGCCTGAGACCCACCCACCCCAGCAGGCCACATGATGTTTGCGTAGCCATCACTTTCTCAGTGCCCCAGGCAGTGAGCCAGGCCAGGTTTATTGAACCTGAACTGACCCACGATCTAGAAAAGGGCACCTCGAGTCTACATGGCAAGGAGCAGTTGCAGGGGGTGGCAAAGTGCAGTCTACAGGTCCCCGTCCCCGTGTTTGCTCTATTGAACTGGGCAAAGCAGACTGAGGGACCCCTCCCCCCACCCTGTCTCTTGATTTCCTCAAGTTCCCACGGTCCCGCCGGGCAACGTGCATGCCGAAGCCACCAATTCCACGGCCATCCGCTTCACCTGGAACGCCCCCAGCCCCCAGTTCATCAATGGCATCAACCAGGGCTACAAGGTATGTGGGGTCCCCATGCCCCAGAAGGAAGCCGTGAGGGTCTGGGGCATGCAGGGAAGGCACAGGAGGAGCAGGAGGGATCCCCTCTGTCTGAACTCCTGGGCTCAAGCCAAGCAGAGGGCACACACACTTTCTGCAAGGCCACACAAAGGCCTCAGGGAGTGTGGCCAGGGCCCAGCTGTGGCAATGCAAAAGGCCTCTGCAGTGACACTGAGCCCTAAACAAGCCAGGTTTACTTGGGCCCAGAACACCTGCTATAGCCAGGATCCAACGGGAAAACCCAACCTGCACTTCCTACACCACCCATAGCTCCCATGGGCACCCTACTGGGGCAGGTCCTCGGGCTGCATGTGGTAAAGGGTGCAAGACACAGGCAAACTTGGGCTAAAATCCTGGCTTCAGCTCAGCCTAGCTACCTGGGCAAGGTCTTTAACATGGCTGTGCTTCTCTTTCCACAAATATTTGTTGAGCATCTACTATACACACACAGCGGGCTGCTGGAGAACTAAAATTTGGTTTCCTCACTGAGGAATGGGAATGATATGAGGATTATATGAGATGATGTCTGTACTGTATTCAACGTTGTGTCGAATAGAGTACAAACACATAACAAGCACTCAGAAAATGATTTTGGCAGTAGCCGTGCATTTGTTTGCTCAACCTGCAGTGACAAAGTGGTGGCTTAAACAACAGAAGTAAATGTTCTCCCCGGAACTGAAGTCTAGGATCAAGGTGTCAACAGATTTGGCTTCTTGTGCGGCCTCTACCCTTGGCTCGTGGGTAGCCGCCTGCTCCCTTTGTGTTCCCTCGTGAGTGTCTGCAGCCTGATCACCACCTCTTCTGTAAAGACACTGGTCCTATTGGATTAGGGCCTGCCCTAGGGGCCTCATTAACTTTTATCGCCCCTCTAAGGGCCCTGTCTCCCAATATGGACGTCCTGAGGTGCTGGGGTTAGGATGTGAGGATGCAGATTCAGCCCATAACAACTGATACTATAGCAGTTGTCAGTAGAATAGTAAATGTGCCACAGTTGTGACTGCAACTCAGGGCTTCTCAACCACCCTTTCCTGGAACCCAACCCTGGCTGGGATCCCAGACCTGCATCTCGAACAAGAAGCCCCGTGTCCACCCTTCCCTGCGAGAACTGAAGGCACATCACACGTGCGTGGTCTATTCAATATTTCAAGGAGTAGTGCCTGCCCCCAGCAACTTGGTACAGTGCCAGTTGCTTCCTGCTCCCTCCGGATGTGGCGCTCCCTCTAAATAAGGGAATGGAGGCTGATTATTTGAGGGCTATGTGTAGCCCTGGAAAGCCAGGGAGGACTGGGAGAGAGTGCAGGCTCTGGGTTTGAGCCCAAGGACCTGATGACCTTGAGGTAACTGCAGTCACATCCTGAAGTCTCCTGTGCCCCTCTGCGCTGCTTGTACCACACGGGCTATCACCAAGATCAACCCTAAGACAAGCAGCCTTAGCCTTGATTACTGCAAGGCAGGGGAGGCTGGACAGAAAAGGAATGAGTTGCAGTGTCGAGTCCAATTTTCCGCTTATACTGCAAGCAAACAAGGGCAGGTCCAGAGCTGCGTGGACCCACCCCAGCCACAGCTCCCTCACTCCCAGGAAGGCAGCCAACCCAAGGCCACCGAGCTTCCCTGGGCCAGGTGCTGCAGCCCAGCGTGCCAGTGCTAGTTAGCTGGCACAGACTCCTAATTGGGACTTGAGGGAAGGCAGGGGAGGGAAGGAGGAGGCCAGAACAGCTAGAGCACGGGAACTGAGCTGGGAACCATTAGCCTCTCAAAGCCAAGTATAAGCACAAGTTTTATTGTACATATGGGAGTACTGAGCTACAAACTTCTAAGGCAAACAGCAAAGGCCAGGACAAGTAGAACAGTGGCCCATGGTGACCCACAGTGGGAGGAGACTGGATAAGTCCCCCCAACCCTCTGATTCCCAGGCCCGGTCAGTGCCTCACATTCAGTAGGTGCTCAGGGCAGACCAGTGGAAATGAGGTGTCCAATATTCCCAGCGCAGGAGCTGGAGGAAGAATAAGAGGAGGTCATACTTACGGGGTACCTCCCATGTGCCAGGCACATGCTATCTGCGGCACTGTTTTCTCTTGCATCCTGCGCAAGAATACTAAGATATAATAAGTATTATGATCATGCACTCAATTTTCCAGAGGAAGAATCTGAGGCACAAAAGGGAAGTCACTTGTCCAAGGACAATAAGTGCCAAAACTCAGATTCAAACCAGAGCTTGCGCTTTCTCATATTAAAAAGAAAACATGGGCGTGGTGGCAAACACCTGCATTCCCACCTACTTGGGAGGTTGAGGCAGGTAGATGACAAGTTCGAGGCCAGCCTGGGCAACGTAGGAAAATCCTGTCTCAAAAAATAAAGACTGGGCCGGCAATTTAGCTCAGTGGTTCAACCACCTGCCTCGAAAGCGCAAGGTCCGGAGTTCAATCCCTGGTACCAAAAGAAAAAAATAAAAATGGATGTCCCCCCACCCTTTTAATTCTGGAAATTGTCAAACATCTCAACATCTATCAAAGTAGAAGGAAAGCTCTTATAAACACCCTGATTCCCAGTCTGACTTTCGCAGCTAACAGCTTGCACCTGTTCCCTCCTCTCTGCCTCTCCCCTGGAATGGTTGGAGATAATCCCAGACAATGTATCATGTCATCCTTAAATGCTTCTGTAGAGAAAGATTACAGATAAAGTCTCTATTTAAAACAAAACCACAATAACCACATTATCATTAGCATGCCTAAAAATATCACCAGTCCCTTTAACGTCATTAGACATCCAGCCAGCCTTCAAATGTCTTTGCCACGTTATTTCTGCCGCTGGTTTGTTTATTTGCTCCGAGATCTAAATGAAGTCCACATGATTGCAATCGGTTGGGGTTTTTTTTTAAGGCCTCAGTTAATCTATAGATTCTCTCTCTCTCCTTCTCTCTCTCCCTCTCTCTCATCCCCTTTTCTCCCATTTTTCTTGTAATTTATTTAGTGAAGAAGCTTAGTCATTTGCCCCATAGAATTTTCCACAGCCTGGATTTTGCTGATTGCATCCCCACGGGGTCACTTAACACATTCCCCTGAACACCGTATTTGCGGTAAATTGGAATGTGGAGCAGGAGGCTGATCAGATTAAAGTTTGAGGATTTTTTAAAAATATTACTTCCTAGGGCCAGGGATTCAGCTCAGTGGTTTTGCCGCCTGCTGCACAGGCGCAAGGACCCGAGTTCAATCCCCAGTACCAAAATATATATATATATTGCTTCCTAGATGGTGGTTTGTATTTCCATGAGAAGGCACAAAATCTGGTTGTCTCTCTTATTGTGATATTGTGACATTGGTGGGCCTTGACAGTCCTTGTGTGGTCTTTTATTTCAATAGCTGCTGCAAAACAGAGACTGTCAAATATAATGTCTTTATTCATTAGCTGAAATGCTTTTTTAAAAAAATTTTGTGGTACTGGGGATTGAAGCCAGGATCTGCACTCTGAGCCACATGCCCAGCCCCCTTCCCTTTTTTTGAGACAGGGTCTTGTTAAGTTGCTGAATTATCCAGGTTAGCCTCAAAGCTGCAATCTTCCTGCCTCAGCCTCTGAGAATGCTAGGATTACAGGTGCGCATCACCACACCCAACTTGTAATGCCTTTTTGGAAAAAAAAAACAAAAAAACTATTCCCTTTATGAACCTTTTGGCTACCTGAATATTTGGTTCATTTAGGAAAACCATGATAAATGCTCCATTCTTTTCCATTATTTACCAATTTTCAATATGATGAATTAGTTTCTTAGTACATATCTTCTTGGGTGACAGGTAAATTTGGGTTGGAGGGAGGTGTTTTTTGGTTTTGTTTGCTTCTGCTAGTATTGTTATGACTTAAGAATTTTTTTAACCCATCTGGTATGGCAGTTTCAGTTTCACTGCCTGTGTTATTCTTAGTGATGCCAAATTAGCCCTTCACTGCCCCCTTCTAGTTGGCTCATGAGTCCTTTCTAACATGACTCCCGGGAGCCTTGAATAACTTTCTTGCTTCCTGATAAGACAAGGTGTTCTAAGATATGTAAATTCCCTTCATGGCCTGGGATCAGCCAGCTCTTCCAGGAGCTCTGGTTTGTTTTAGAAGGAAATGATAGTTAAGCTTGCTGAAATCCCAGCACTCTAAGAGGCTGAGGCAGGAGGACTGCAAATTCAACACAAGCCTAGATAATTTAGCAAGATCCTGTCTCAAATTTTAAAATAAAAATAAAAAAGAGGTGGGAGTGGAGATCAGTATGAAGACCCTGGGTTTAATCTGCAGTACTGTGAAAGAATGAATGAAAGAAAGAACAAAAGGAAGGAAGGAAGGAAAAAAAGAAAAGAGGGCTGGGATTTAGCTCAGCAGTTCTGCTGCCTGCCTCACAAGTGCAAGGTCCCGAGTATGATCCCCGGTACCAAAAAAAAAGAAAAGGAGTACTTGGAGTGGACTTGCAGTGCTCCAGGAATTGTTGCTCTTTCTAGACCCTGTTAATAGGTTGTTAGGAAGAAATTTTTCTTTTTTAAAGATAAAACACGTATTGAAACTCCCCATTCCATCTCAGGACTACAAGCTTTTTAATAATCTCATTGGATTTGTCTTTATTCTTTTCTCCATACTGAAAATCCAGTTCCTACACCAGCAGCATAATTACCCACCTACTTCATCCCACAGACACACACAAGTTTCAGAATAGTAATATGAACATGATAATTACTGAAAATAGTCTCAGATTATCTGCAGTCCTTTCCGTTCTCAGGATCTGTCCCAGGAGGGATATGCTTCACAGGGCTGTGCTACAATGTCTTTTGAAATAGTTTCTCTCGGTGTAATTTCGCTACAGCTCAATACCCTGTTAGGTTCATTTACTTCATTTTGTTTTCAATTTTGGGGGATTGATTTTTTAAATTTAATTTTGTTCTATAATTATGTAGAATATTTGCATGGATCCAAAAATCAAATCTGCAAAGCAAATTCCAGACCCTCTTGCTCCCCTAGAGGTTGAACTGCTTTTTGATGATTTGGCTTGGCCTTTTCTTTCCATTTCTTTAATATAAGCAGGTACGTGCATATATTTGTATCCCTTCCTCCTTAGATAAGTGACAGTGTATGTTCCATGCTTTCTCCATCTTGCTCTGTACTATTACTATCATCTGTAATATGTCCTGAAAGTCACTCCATGGGAGTACACTGTATGAAGAGCTCCCTTAGATTTTTTGCATCCATGTGTACTCCATCATGTAGTTTGGTCACCTGTACCCCAGTGATGACATTTTGGGTTTCGGTCTTTACCCGAACCAGTAGTGGTTGGCTTTGTGCACACATCTTTTTCTTCTTCACAGCATAGCCTTGAAATAGACTCCTGAAAATGAGATTGCTAGATTAAAGGGTAAATGCACATATCATTTTACTACTTTTGGAAAACAATCCCCATCCAATTTACTTTTCAAATTTTTTAGTTTACTTTTTTAAACAGGAAATATATTTGTATGATTCAAAAAATAAGCTTATAGCAGAAAGCATCCATCCCATCCCAATTCTCCATCTGCCTGGTTCAATTTCACCCAACCCCAGAGCTCTCCCCTCTTAAGTACCCACTGTTTCCTACTGGTTTGTTTTTTTTTTCATAACCTTTCACCATGTTTGATAGGATTTTTCATAACCTTCCACCATGTTTGATGGCATTCATGTGAATGCCAAGAGATAGAGGGGGAAAGAGAGACATTTCTCCCTACTCTTATTTCTTAAATAGCTAGAAGCTCTGTACACCATCAATTCCTAGACCCAGCAAGATGGCCAATATTCTTCCCTTTACTCTCCTGGGGCTCAGAGAAGACAAATGACTTTCCCAGGGTCACACAGTGAAGGACGGAGCTGGGCTCAGGTTCAGGTGCTCCAGTGCAGGATCATCCTTCCTCTCCACATTGACTGCACATTCTGTGTTCCACCCATATGTGCCCCACCAGCAACACTGCTCTCAGTTATAAGGTTCCCTCCCAAGCCTTCAATCTCTAAGGGGAGCTGCCTGTCTAGGGGACCTGGAGAATTTTATTGTCTTACAGTTCCACTTTGTTACCCCAGAGTCAGTATCCTGAAGCTGCCCAGGAGGCCGAAGCCCTGCTGGCCCCTTAAGCTCAGGTGTGTAACAGTAGGACCATTGAGTCAATATTGCTGGTCTTCAAAACTACATTTCCATTATCCTGTGTGCTTCCTATGGGTCATTTTTGTGGACAGGGCCCAGAATACTGTTTGAAGGAACCAGTAAAGACACTCTTTTTCCTTTATTTTTTTAAATGATAGAAATTGTATTTGTTGTAAGCCCAATAAAATAATATTTACCCAAATTTTACACTTGCTGTAGAACACACCATACAATTAATTCCAACAGCATAATTAATTCAAATTTACATTAATTAAATTAAATTGAAACATTAAGCTTATTTCATCATCTACTCCAAAGAAGTTCAGTAACTTAATTGCTATAAAACAAGATAACTAAAATAAAGAGGATATTTAACATACTTATTAAATGCCACTTAGTATTTCTGATTTGTATTTTTAGGGTCTAATTAGTGTCTAATTAACTTGCTATAGGCTATCTTTTCACAATACCAATTAAATTTCAAAACACCCTTTATAAACACACGGCCCTGAAAAGAAGATTAAGCATTGTCATAGGCATGAGTTAATTGGGAGACATTGGTGTGGTATTGTTTTATATCTATAAATACTCATGCTTATTAAAACTCATCATGTATAGCTTTTCACCATTAATTGCTATTTAATCAACTTCAAATAAATGAGGAAATCTCTGAAACCAGCTGTCATTATTGGAGACAGAAGAAGGACCCAGAAAACAAGAGCAGGAGGTGAGAGAGCAGGAGGCAGGAGGAGGAGGAGGAGGAGCAGCAGGAGGAGGCTTGAGGGGAGTTGGAAGGGGAGGGGGAGGATGGAGGAAGGGGGAGGGAAGAAAAAGAGGAGGGAGGGAGAAGGAGGGAGGAGCGCTCAGAGAGAAAGCAGTGGGTTTCCAGGTGGGGGGTGTCTTGCTGACCCCTCCCCTCTAAGTGATGTCTGAAATTGAAGTCCCAACTTGGAGCAAGTATATGGGAATAAGAATTACCCACAGACTAAAGTTCCTGGCTCTATGGGAAATGACCCTTGGAAAACTCCAAGGAGGAAGCTGCCCCAGCTCATAGGGAGAAAGGTGTAAGAGCCTAGGGTTGGAATCCAAGAGAGAACCTCAGCTTCCCCTAGCGGTGTGACATACTGCAAGTCACTCAGCCTCTCTGAGCCTCAGTTTCCTCATCTGTAAAATAAAGGGCTGGCCTCATGGGTGTGCAGTTGTGTGGTGGCCCAGGTCTCTGCACTTGAAAAGCCTCAACCTTGGTTAAATTCAGTGCTGCTGTCATCTTCAAATAAGTTTTGAACAAGGGGTCCCTTGGTTTTAGTTTTGTACTGGGCTGGCAAATAATGAAGTCAGTCCTGATAAATGCCTCCTCCTGGGGTGTGACAGACCCTTGGAGGATTTGCCGTGTCCTGGAGTCAGAGGCTCAAGAACGGGGCCGAACAGCGGAGCAGGTGTTAGCAGGCTCCACGGTCCTGTGTCTGCGGGCTCCTGCACTCTCTCCTGTCCCTGGGACGGGGACTGCTAGACCCAGGCTCCTGGAGACTGCAGATTGGCCTAGGCCATGGGTGACAGCTTGGCCTCTTCTGGAACCTCTTGCTGGCCTCTCCTCAGCTGATCGCCTGGGAGCCTGAGCAGGAAGAGGAGGTTACCATGGTGACCGCCAGGCCCAACTTCCAAGACAGCATCCATGTGGGCTTTGTGTCTGGCCTGAAGAAGTTCACCGAGTACTTCACCTCCGTGCTCTGCTTCACCACACCTGGGGATGGGCCCCGCAGCAGCCCCCAGCTGGTGCGCACCCACGAGGATGGTAGGTCCCACCAGCCCACTGCCTCGGCCCCACCTTCCCACCGGGGCACCCCGAGCTCTCTTGCAGGGAGTGGTCTCGCTCTGGCTCTAATTGACTCCGGATGTGTGGTCCTTTGGGGAACAGTGCCGGGGCCTGTGGGACACCTGAGCTTCAGTGACATCCTGGACACTTCACTGAAGGTCAGCTGGCAGGAGCCGGGAGAGAAGAATGGCATCCTCACAGGTAGGCAGCGCGGTGCTCCTGAAGGGGGTGGGGTGGGGAGGGTCAGCTGGGCCATCTCCCTCCCTTCCCTGCTGCTGGCTTTCCTCCAGGCCCACCCAGCCAGCCAAGCACTTTCTTTTTTTGTACTGAGGATTGAACCCAGAGCCTTTGCTACATCCCCAGCCCTTTTCAAATTTCTTTTATTTTGAAATAGGGTCTTACCAAGTCTCTAAGTTGCCCAGGCTAACTTGGATCCTCCTGCTTCAGCCTCCCATGGTGCTGGGATGACAAGCATGCACTACCAGGCCTGGCCCAGCTCAGTCTTTCTTAGCAACCACTCAGGAGGCTCTTGGTACCTTGGATTGTAACACCTCCCAGTACCTCTGGACCTGGGTCTTCAGGACTCAATGTCTTTGAGACCTCAAGGGGCTGGCTCAGCCTGCCCTTCTCCTTACGATCCCCCCATGGGGGCCTCCCAGTGTGCTTCACCTGAGAACCGGGCCTGGTGCCTGCAGCTCCCCCTCCCTGGGCCCCCCTCGCACCCCATGTGGACTGAACTGTTGAGCTGGGAAAGAAGTTCCGAGCGGAACCGGGGTCAAGGCCGCTGGCGGTCCTGGCCAGGCTCACGCCGCTGGGCTCTCTCCAGGGTACCGGATCTCCTGGGAAGAGTACAACCGAACCAACACCCGAGTGACCCACTACCTGCCCAACGTGACCCTGGAGTACCGCGTCACCGGGCTCACAGCGCTCACCACCTACACCATCGAGGTGGCCGCCATGACCGCCAAAGGCCAGGGCCAGGTGTCAGCCTCCACCATCTCCTCGGGAGTGCCTCCAGGTGGGCGCCCTCTGGTCAGGGAGGTGCTCTCTGTGGTCCCCCAGGGGACCCCGTCCAGAAGCCGCCCCTTCCTGTGAGGACACAGAGCTCCCGCTTCCCTTGGGCCTCCCCAGAGCGGGCAGAATCCAGTGACCCCAGGTCTCTGAAGGAGGCTCCGTGGGCTTGCAGCTGCCTCCCCCCACCCACGGGTCTGAGCGCAGCATGCCCCGGTGGAGGACTCCGCCCTCGTCCCGTCTGCTCCACTGCTCCCCTCCCATGCTCCCACCAGGCCATGGCATCTGTGATCCAAGGAGGAGTCCCCACTGAGGCCACCCAGAAAGTCCAGCTGGATTCCAGCCTGTTGCCTGAGATTGCAGCAAAAGCAACCTGGGCTGTCAGCTCTGCTTCTGTCAGTCTCTGTGACTCAGCTTCCCCTCCTGTATCCTGGGGATTTGGATGAGATAACCATGTGGTGGTGTCCAGATCAGTAAGGCTTGGACCTGGACCGAACCCCTCGACCTGTCCATTAGGCTGGCTCAGGTCCCTGAGTTTCTGTCACCCCTGGAATAGCTAACACTGATACCTGTGTCCTGCTCCCCAGCCTGGAGCCAAGTGCTTTATAGACATCAACTCCATAGATTCTCTCAGCAACCTGGAGGCAGAGGATATCATTCTCCATTTTACTGGGGCACAGAGCGGTCCCTGTCTAAAGACACACAGCCTAGAAGTGGTGGAGTTGGATTCCAACTCAGAGTCCAGCTCCAGACTTTGTGCTCTTTCTGTTCACCCTGACCCCCAAGAGCCCCAAGGTCCTGGTTGGGAGACAGCAGCCTCCCCCCTGCCCAAACCTGTTCCTGTGTCCTGCAGCCACAGTGGTGTGGAAGGACTGCGGTAGGGTGCAGATGGAAGGGGGCGTGGAAACTTTTGGTTTCTCTCTGCACCCAGCTTGGATTCGTGCAGCCTCTAGCTCCCTCCCGAGCCTTTCACTTGCACCCAGAACTGCCAAAGGCCCCTCAGTGCCCAGTCGGCCTCAGCCTCCTGGTGAGAACATGGTGCCCTGTAAGATTCAGTGATCCAGGCAGTGTTGGCAGATGAGATCTTGGCCACACTTCTCCCAAGACCTTTCCTAGGACAGCCCCCTCAACACCCCCAAAGTCCTGCTCCATGTGGAGGGACCCGCTCCCCTGATCTCCTGATCTCCTTTCCTGCCCTGTTTTCTCCTCCTGCAGAACTCCCTGGAGCCCCTACCAACCTGGGGATTTCCAATATCGGTCCCCGCTCAGTGACCTTACAGTTCAGACCGGGCTACGATGGGAAGACTTCCATCTCCCGCTGGCTGGTGGAGGCTCAGGTAAAGCCTGCCAGAGGGGAGCCGGGACCCCGACAGCTCCTCCACCCCAGCCCTGTGCTCCTGAATGCAAGATCATCCATGTATTCCAGTGTCACTTTTCACATGTGACTCTCATGGCCGCCACACACAGATGCTCTGGACTTAGGATGGGTTTGCATCCTGGTGAGCCCATCCTAAATTGAAAATACCACCAACCAAAAATGCATTTAATACACCTAACCCAGCCAAGCCTACCTTAAACGCACTCAGAGGACTGACGGTAGTAGCCTGCTGGTGGGCCCTGTGAGGCAAGGTTGGGCCATATATGGCCTGCCCAGGAAAAGAACAATGTTCAAAATTTCAAGTATGGCTTTTACTGAATGCATGTCGATCTCACATCATCCTAAAGTCAAAAAATTGTTAAGTCGAGCCATGGTAAGTTGGAGACCATATGCCAACCAAGCATGCCCCCAGCTCCCAAAACTGTCTCCTCCTCCGGCTCACCTGTGCATGTGAGAACACCTCGCATCCTACGCGCGCCCCTAGGGTGGGTAGTGACCAGCTGCTGAAAAATCCCATTGCTGCCTGCAGACCGTTAAACCCCAGAGTTCTCAGCCCTGGCTGCTCCCCGGAATCATCAAGAAACAGTCAGAATTTCAACACCAGTGTTACACACTCACACAAAGAAAGAGAAATTTAGGTTCAGATTTAACTGGTTTGAGAGACAGAGAAGTTTTTAGAAGCACCCCAGAGTGTCTAGGAGAAGCTCCTGGGGAATCTGGTAAAGGAACAGATTTCCGGCACTACCTCTCCCACGAATTCCGACTGGGTCTAAACAGCACCTAGGAATGGGTTTATAACCCATTCCCGAGTAGTTCTGATGCGGGGTGGTCTCAGACTTCCACCTCCCATCATGTCTAACAGCCTGGCAAGACGCTGGTGCCCTTTGGTGCCTCCAGGTGAGCCCTGGAACTGGACCAAAGCTTTCCCCCTAGGAGCCGGGCTGGTCTGAGGGTCCCCCTTTTCCAGGTGGGCGTGGTCGGGGAAGGAGAGGAGTGGCTGCTGCTTCACCAGCTCAGCAACGAGCCAGACGCCCGCTCCATGGAGGTCCCAGACCTCAACCCCTTCACGTACTACAGGTAAAGCCCCTGGTGGAGAGGAGGGCTGCCCGGAATGGAGCAGGGTTTAGCTCCGAGGTCCTGCTCTCACCATCTCACCCCTCCCCTCTGCCCCGCCCAGCTTCCGCATGCGTCAGGTGAACATCGTGGGCACCAGTCCACCCAGTCAGCCTTCTAGAAAGATCCAGACCCTCCAGGCACCTCCTGACATGGCCCCAGCCAACGTGACTCTGCGCACGGCTAGCGAGACCAGCCTGTGGCTCCGATGGATGGTGAGGCTCCCTCCAGGACTTCAGGGTGCGGTGTCCCCTTGACCATCCCCACCTGCAGAGCCGCCATGGCCTCTGATACTTATGCTCCTGTTGCTTTAGTTGCATTTTATTCTTTTAGAATTTTTCTTTTCTTCCATACTTACTTGGTGGATTAGGTTTCCCATTGCTGGACACAATACCTGACACCCACAACTTAAAGGAAGAGAGGCTCAACTTTTAAGGGGATTCAGTCCATGGTTGGCTGTTTCCATCATGGAGACCATCATGGCAGAAGAGCGTGGCGGAGCACAGCTTTGTAGTTCATGGCAACCGGAAGCAGAGCAGGGTAATGGCGCCAGAGAGGAAGGGTCCAGGGACCAGACATAGAGCCCAGGGTCACTCCTGCATCATCCACCCAGACACAGGAAGAAGCATCTTCCATAGATGCTCTGAGCAGACCCTCACACTGACTCTTCACCCTAACTGCCACACCTGATCAAGTGTTTGACAGTCTCAGCTGGAGGAACAAGTGCCTCCTATGAGAGGAAGGAGCTACAAAATGCTGTTTACTGAGCATTGCCAGGTGCCAAGCATTTTAAACTTCTTACCCCATTTAATCCTCCTAGGAATCTTGCAAAACACACATTTATCATCCCAATGTACAGCCAAGAAGAAGTGAGGCTCAGAGAGGTTAGGAACTTTCCCATGGCCACACAGCTCCCATGTGGAGGGCCTGATGCTCAGAGGCATCTGTGCGGCATTCTGTGCCCAAGAGAGGGCAGTCAGCTGAGGGGCATTGCCTCCGTGCAGGCAGCCTTGTAGGAGGTAGCAGTGCTGACAGCGCAGGCTTCCTCTCCTGCCGGGGCCCTAGCAGCACTTTATTCCATCAAGCTTCGACTTTCTCAACAGGCCTGTGATAGCCCACAGATCCTGGTCCCCATTTTGCTGAGGGAGAAACTGAGGCAGAGAAAGGTTAGACAACCTGCCCAGAACCCCATTATCCTCCCACATCCCCTAGTTAACAGCAGGGCTAGGACCCCAACCCAGGGAGTCTGTACCCCAAAATCCACAGCCCTAGCCTCAAGCACACTGCCAGCTCACCATTTGGGGACCTGAAGAAATTGTCTCTCCAGGCCCCACCCCAGCAGTTTCTCAGTGTGAGTCCCACAAGGCAGGAATCCCAAGAGGCATGGGAAGCAATAAGAACTCCTAGACACTCCCAGCTACTTAGAAGGCTGAGGCAGGAAGGTCAAAAGTTCCCGGCCATGAAGACTTTGTTTCAACACAAATAAGGGAGTGGGGGCTGGAGATGTCACTGGTCCCAGGATTAAATCCCTAGCACCACGAGAGAGAGAGAGAGAGAGAGAGAGAGAGAGAGAGAGAGAGAGAGGAAGAATTCTTAGGTAAGGCTCCTGAGAGAACTTGGGACTCTGGCATCAGAAAAGCTGGCTTGAAAGAGCTCCTGCACCCCTTTTGTCACCACAAGGGACCTCCTACTAGTTACAAGGGGACAAAAAGGCAGAGGCTGCACTGGGCAGGGCCAGCTCCTCTCAGGCCCGCGTACCTCGTGGCTGCTTCCTCTCCGTAGCTGGTGTGGGTGCCCTACTCCGGGCCCATGGATTGCCATCTTCATGGTCTCGGGCCTCTTTGCTGAGTGTCTGTGGAGAGCAGGGAGACCAGGCTGGAGCGGGGAACTGGATACAGTGGGTCAGGGTGTGGAGAGCATGGGCCTCCAGAGCCCCTGAGGAGGCAGATGGGAGACGGGTGAGCAGAGGCCGGTTCTCTGCCCACACCTGCCTCAGGCCTCAGCTCCCCACTGCTCCCCAGCCGTGCCTGGGTCCATCCCAGGGACCGGGACCGCGACTCCAGCCTGGCCCTAAGGCCGGGAAAGGAATCTGCCTTTCCCTTCTGCTGAGATGCAGACAAAAAGAGGAGAGGCTGGGAATGCAACCAGAAAATGAGGTTGGCTGGATAGCAGGGCTGCCTGGCAGGGACAGGGCCCAGCTGTGTGGGAGGCACATATGGGCCTTCTCCCCATGCGCAGGCCACTAGGGGAGCCTGAGTGAGGCAGGCGTCGGGCGGCTCAGGCCTGTGTGCGCTGCCCCTGAGTGGAGAGCTGAGTGGAGGAGGCAGAGAGCCCAGGGGGCTGTACTCATCGGCATGGTGACAGACGGCCTGCGAGTATCCTGAAAAGGATCAACTCAGACCAGGCAGGGTGGGGCAAGTCTGTAATCCCAGCACTCATGGAGGCTGAGGCAGGAAAATCTCACGTTCTAGCCCAGTGTGGGCCATCTTAACAAAATGCAATTTCAAAATAAAAAAATAAAAGGTGCTGGGGATATAGCTCAGCGGCAGAGTGAGTGCACATGGATTTGATCCCCAGTACCACAAAAAAACCCCAAAAAGCTGGGTCTGGTGGCTCATGTCTGTAATCACAGTGCCTCTGAGAAGCTGGGGCAGGAGGGTTACCAAGTCAAGTCCGATCTGGGCAATTTAGTGATTCAGTAAGACCTTTTCTCAGAATACAAAGGGCCAGGGATTCAATCCCCAGTATTGTTAAAGGGAAGAAAGGAGGAAAGAGGCCAATGAAAGGCAGAAGAGAAAGAAAGGAAAGGACAGGACAGGACCAGGTCCAGGCAGGCAGTAACAACGCACACAGTGGAGGATCCCGCTGCTTCTCCTAGGAGTGTGGGCTGGGCAGATGGGGCTTTTAGGGCAACAGAAATGACACATGCAGAGCCCAAGCCATGCCGGGGTGGGAGCACCTCTCAGGGTGGAAGAGGTGTGAGGGCTGCCACCCCTGCCAGGCGGTCCTCTGCCCGGGACGACCTCCCTCACACACGCTGCCCTCTGTGTGTGCCGCAGCCTCTCCCAGAGATGGAATACAATGGCAACCCTGAGTCAGTGGGCTACAAGATCAAGTACAGCAGGTCTGACGGCCACGGGAAGACCCTGAGCCACGTGGTGCCGGACCGCGTGGAGCGGGAGTATACCATTGAGGACCTGGAGGAGTGGACGGAGTACCGCGTGCAGGTCCAGGCCTTCAACGCCATTGGGAGTGGGCCCTGGAGCCCGGCGGTGCTCGGCAGGACCCGGGAGTCAGGTGCCATCTCTCCCCAGGGACACATGGGGCTGCGACTGTGGTCCAAGACAGCCTGAGGGGCTTGCTCTGTGCTCAGCCCAGTGCAGCGCATCCTGCACCCATGCGCGCCTTTCAGCGTCTGCCCATCCCTGTGCCCATCTCCGTGGGTGGCAAGGCACTCTGCCTACCTCCTGCCCTCGGCTTTAACCCTGAAGCCAGTGGTGCCCGAAGGAGGTAGAGACGAGCTTCAGGGGAAGGAATCGCTCTCGGAACATTCTGGAAACATAACAGTGGTTCCTAGGGGCCTGGCCCTCAGGCAGCCCTCATTTGTCCACACGTGGTTTGCAGTCCTGTGGCTTTTGCTGGCACCTTTTAAATTCAAGTGGCCTCCCTGGTTCCCCAGCCCCATTGGAGACCCCAAAGACGCTTTCTGCCATAGAGCAGGCAGCACTGGACTGGCTCCTGCCCAAGCCCTGCAGACTGCTACTCACTTCCGACCACTGCAGGGCCAGCTGTGGGTCCTCAGCTCCCCCTTCTCACCCCTTCTTCCCCCCGCAGTCCCATCCTCCGGCCCCACCAACGTGTCGGCACTGGCCACCACCTCCAGCAGCATGCTCGTGCGCTGGAATGAAATCCCTGAGGCTGACCGAAATGGGCTCATACTGGGCTATAAGGTGAGTCACTGGAGGAGGAGGGTAGGTCCCTGCACTGGCTCCCCCATTCAAAGTATCCGGTCCTTGTCACCCTCTGGGTTGCTTCCTCCTCCAATGGACATGGACACGGGGATCTTCCCAGCTTCCCATCCACCAGTCACCATGACAACCAGGGAGTCCGCCCTATGGGCAGGGAGGCATTCAGCGGAGTCCTGGATCTTTGGGGGCCCAGCCTCCCTCATAGCTCTGATGGGCCTGATTTTTGGTTTTGTATTAGTCAGCTTTCATTACCATAGTAAAATACCTGGGACTGGCTAACTTATAAAGTAAAGAGGTTTATGTAGCTCACAATGTAGTTATGAGGCTCACAGACACGGTGCCTGCACAGGCTCAGCTCTGGGGAATGTCATGGCAAATGACAGTGACAGCTTGTGTGGGAGAAGCGATCCCATTGCACTCACATCTGCATATAGGAAGCCAGCAAGCGCTGAGTGGGGCCTTTGTGACAACCCAGCCACCTCTTGGGAAATCCCCAGGAGTCAAATGAGATCTGTCTTAATCCCACCCAAGGCCAGGGCCCCCGTGACCTGAAGGGCTCTCACCAGGCCCCGCTTTTCAAGGTTGTGTCAGCTCCCACACCTGAGGACCAAGCTCCCCACACACGGACCCTTGGGAGAAAACCCAAATCCAGACCTTAGCAGTTTCCGTGCTCTTCTAGACCTGTGCTTAAATCTGCACCTTGACAACTGGTCCAGCCCTGGCCTGGAAGCTAGGAGATGTGGGTTGAGCTTGATCACTCCTAGCTGTGTGACCTTCAGCAAGGCACATTCCCTCTCTGAGCCGCTCTTCTCTGAAGGGGCTTCCAGCTCTACAGCTGGGTCCATCTTTGTCCCCAGCCCTCAGGGTACATTAGCTGCACAGCTACCCCATTCCCCCTTGAGACAAACCAGACCAGACTATCCAGGGCATGAGGCTCCGAAGAGTACTGTCATGGCCTGAGGCCTCTGCTGTGCTCACCCGGGCAGGTGAGATACAAGGAGAAGGACTCGGACTCCCAGCCCCGCTTCTGGCTGGTGGAAGGCAATGCGTCCCGCAGTGCACAGCTCACCGGCCTGGGGAAGTACGTGCTCTACGAGGTGCAGGTGCTGGCCTTCACGCGCATCGGCGACGGCAGCCCCAGCCAGCCCCCAATCCTGGAGCGCACACTGGACGATGGTGAGGCTGCATCCCAGGGGCCAGGGCAAGCAGAGGGCCCCCTGCCTCCTGCCCGGGGGGACGGGTCTCAGAGGCCACCAGCCCCACTGGACAACACCAGAGCATCTCTTGGTCTCTCTTCGGGACAAGGGTACAGAACAGGAACTTGGCCGGAGTTCTGGTTTCTTTCTCACCTGTTTGCTTTGGGTAAAGCCTGTGAAAAGGGAAAAGCCATGATTTCTTTTTCCTGGGCTTGAGCCTCTTGGTCCTGTTTGCACAATAGTGACACCGGGCAAGGCATGGTAGTGCAGGTGTGTAATCCCAGCGCTGTGGGGGGCTGAGGCAGGGGGATGGCAAGTTTGAGCTCAGCCTGGGTCACACAGTGACTTAGTGAGACCCTGACTCAATATAAAAAAGGACAGGAGGTGTATCTTAGTGTGAAAACCCCAGGTTCGATCCCCACTACCAGAAGAAAAAAACGCAGCTGCAGCCCAGCACCCGCATACATCCCTAGCAGAGCTTTGGGTCACAGCTGACTGCTAGATCCCTCACCCTCCCTTCCCCACTTCCCACTTCAGGCCCATCAGCCACATTTGCAGGGTCCAATTAGAGTGCAGGAAGAAGTCCAAATACCACATGTCTGTCTATTCTAAAATTATGAATCAAGCTAATGAACTGTTCAATGAAATATGTTCTATCCTCCTGTCTTGACGAATATACTCAGACAGTGACCTGGAAGGCCAAGTTCAGGCATAGGAATCTCAGACTTCTTGGCATTCTGTGCAGCAAGGAGCATCCCCACCAGGCCATTGGCACCCTCTCCTCTCATGCACACCGTTCAGTCTCTGTCCACCTCCCAGAACAGCCGCCCGAGCCATGCCTGGGTCCAAGGGCACACAGCCTGCCCGTGAGACGGGAATCTGGGGAATAGGCCCCTGCAGTCCCTGAGAGCACGCTTCTCCCATCTAGGCAGGGAGTCCAGGACCCCAGGATTCCAGAGCAAAGTCCAGAGGGAAGGGTCACAGGGGCTTGGGGTGGGGATAGCACTGCCCCGTGGTCATCTCTCACAGTGGGAGGGAGGAAGTCAGAGCAAGGCCTTCTAAACATGGACTCGGGGCAGGTCCCATTTACCAGGTTAACTAAAAATGGTTAATTTAAAAAAACCTATTTAGAGGGAACAAATCTCATTGATTTCATGTATGTATCCCTGGCCCCTAACCCAGTGCCAGGCATGGAGCAGCATGCCTCGAATATTCATTGAGGTGGAATAGGTCACCCTCCACCCCACAGGCTGCCCTGCTGGAGGGCATCAAGAGCACGATCAGCCTCTTTTCCTTTGTCCCCTCCAGTCCCTGGACCACCCATGGGCATCCTGTTCCCGGAAGTTAGGACCACGTCAGTGCGGCTGATCTGGCAGCCCCCTGCGTCCCCCAATGGCATCATCCTGGGTAAGCCCATGCCTTTCCTGGGCCCTGTCTGCAGGAAGGAGGGGGAGGCAGAAGCTATAAAGGGGCACAGTCAGAGCAGGCCCCAGAAGTGTCCACATTCCTTCAGATTGGGATCTGAGTCCTAGTCCTCCTGCTAGAAGTTCCACCTATCACATTATTTGCTGGAGGACAAGGTCTAGTTCAGATCCCTAAAGGACCCTTGGTTGGCTTCATGCCTCTGAATGCTCCGGTGCCCAGGCAGCTGCCATCCCATCAACCTCACTGCTGTCCCTAGCCAGCTCAGTATAGCCATGCTCACTGCCCAGAAACAGCTGCCACACAGGGAGGGGGGCTGAGGACCAGACGCTTCCAGCCCCCACAGACACACCCAGCCTGAAGGCAGCCAGTGCATGAAATTGAGCAAGTCTGCTTCCCCACACCTTCTGCCCCTCGCCTTCAACATGAAGGTGTGGCCAGGCACGCACTTCTTATTCCCAGCTACTCAGGAGGGAGAGGCAGGAACATCTTGGCACCCACAGCCTGGGCAACACAGTGAGACTCTATCTCACAAAATGTTTAGATAAAATAAAATAAAGAATACAGACAAATACACACACGTGGGCACGTGGGCACACACACACACACACACACACACACACACACACACACACACAAGGTGACTGGGATGACCTGCACCTATTCTGGCCACTTGGTCCATGCCGGCCCTGGGAAAATACTGCACCTTGGAAGACAGTCGGTGGGGGAAATCGTGTGCTTTAGATCAGAATGACCCGGGCTGGGATTCCTATCAGCTGGCCCGGCCTCTCCTAGCCTCCATCTCCCAACATTGGGCCAACATGGGGGCCCCCACCCTGCCCCTCAGGAGCCCACACTTCCCCAGGTGGCAGGTGAGGGTGTAGCAGTGACAAACTACAACCAAGGCAGGGGCGGCTTGCCCTGCGTTCCAGCTCTGTGCTTTCCCTTCCTGCCTCCCAGCCTACCAGATCACGCATCGGCTCAATGCCACCACGGCCAACACCGCTGCAGTGGAAGTGCTGGACCCGAGCGCGCGCCAGTTCACAGCCTCCGGCCTCAAGCCAGAATCTGTCTACCTGTTCCGCATCACGGCTCAGACCCGCAAAGGATGGGGAGAGGCCGCCGAGGCCTTAGTAGTGACCACCGAGAAGAGAGGTGACTGCCCGCGGGAGCTGGGGAGGGCTGGGGGGTCAGGGGAGGGGCCCCCCACCGATCCAGGTGCTCAGAGCCTCCTAGTGGGTGGCTGGTTATGAATCATGTTGCCCTGGTCTGGAGTGGAAAGTGGAAAGTGGGCTCTGATCTCTGGAGCCATGGTCAGCGACGGGTCTGTAGGCCCGAGACTGAGCTGGGAGTTCCCTTCCCTGGGATCTCATGCTGCTCTGGCTTTCTAAAGGGAGATCGGTGACACTTCCTACCCCTGGCTTTGTCCAGGTGGGTGAGGTCAGGGTGGCAGCGTGGGCTCTTGGCTGCCACTCCCTGCTAGTGCCCCATCTGAGCTGGAGTTCCACAGAGCAGCCCTGAGCCCCCTACTTGATGGGAAAGTGATTTGTTGGAAAACATTCCCGGGAAAAACCAGTGGGACCCTGGTTGTCAAAGCTTGGGGAAGATGCTACTGGGCCTGAGTAGGTAGAGGTTGGGCAGGTGCTAAACATCCTACCGTGCAAGGACGCCCTGGCTCCAAAGAACCATCCAGTCCAGGAGCCAGTCATGCTGAAGCTGAGCATCCCGTCATGCTGCAGCTGAGCATCCCTGCAGTGGGCATAGGAAAGGGAGGCTGGGGAGAGAGGAGGGCGCTCGAGGGTATGGCATGAAGTCAGTCCCACCCCCGCTCAGCCCCCCTCATCGGCCATTACAAGTTGTAGCAGCAGGAGCAAAGGCGCTGAGGCATTTAGAGCTCCTCACTGTGGTCCTTGGCGAGGGCTGCCTGGGGAGTCCTGGCCCCTGGGACACTGAGAGCCTCAGGGTCAGCAATCAGAGACCAGGAGACACAGCGCTGGCTGCTGGGAGTGAGACCAGCAAGGCCCCTGGTGCAGGGAAGTGGGGTGAGGAGGGGGTGCCATGCCTGGGCCCCTCTTTCCCGACCGAGAGACTCTAGCCCAGCCCAAGGTGTGCAGCTCACCCGCCCCTCCCTCCCCAGACCGCCCGCAGCCCCCCAGCAAGCCTGTGGTGCAGCAGGAAGATGTGAAGGCTCGAAGTGTGCTGCTGTCCTGGGAGCCGGGCAGCGATGGGCTGTCCCCGGTGCGCTACTACACCATCCAGACCCGCGAGCTGCCCGGCGGCAGGTGGGCGCTGCACTCGGCCTCTGTGAGCCACAACGCCTCCAGCTTCACTGTGGACAGGTGAGGCAGTGTCCCACCCTTGCCCCTGCCCGGGTGGGCACCAGCGGAGGTCCCCCCAGCCTGGCCCCAGCTCTTCCGAAGCTCCCCTGCAGCTCAGTCCTGGTCTCCCTCACTCCCCCTCTCCAGGAACCCCATTAGGGCTGCCTCTTAATTATTTCTGGAGCCTAGTGCTCCCCCTCTAGTGAAGCGCAGGCCATCCTTCATTAGTGATTCTCCCCAGCCAGCCGGCAGCTTCCTCCCGTCTTTAATAGGGGAGCAGAGCTTCCCTCGGAAACTCTGGCTTCAGTTTAATTCCTGGTGGTTGTATTTTTTACATTCCAGTTGACGTGACCGAAAGTTTGAGTAATCCTCTCCTGCCCACCTCCCCCACCCCCGTAAATCAAGAAGAAAGACACTTGCTGGGAGAGGAAAGGAAGCTGATAGAGAGGAGTCTGCTCCTCTCTTGGGAACTTCCACCCTCCTGAGTTCACTAAATTCAGGGAAGGAGGGGCAGCTTGCAGGGAAGAAGGGGAGACTCAGAGAGGAAAGTCTGGGTGCTTTTGTGACTGTTTGGCCTCTGAGGTAGGGCCGGGTCAACATTTCTCCCTGGGAATATGTGGCAGCTAAGGACACCCAGAGGCATGATCCAGGGCTCTGGCCTGGGGGCTCTGCTCTTTCTGAGTCTGAATGTCCCCATCTGCGTGGAAGGGCAGCACCTCTGCCTCCCTTTCCCCAAGCAAGAAGAGATCAGTGGGCAGAGGCATGGAGCAGGATCTTTTGGGACAACTGGTCATAGGACCCGCTTCCCTCCACAGGCTGAAGCCCTTCACATCCTACAAGTTCCGAGTGAAGGCGACCAACGACATTGGAGACAGCGAGTTCAGTGAGGACTCCGAGTCGCTGACCACACTGCAGGCTGGTCAGTGGCTTTCCCGCATGGGTCTCTGCCCGCTGGCTGGCTGCTTCCTGGGCACTGGGGATAGAGGCCTACAAACGAGAGGACCTTGGGCTACTGGGCCTTCCTCTCTGGGGCACAGTCCTCGGGAGGCTCAGGTCACAGGGGCCTCTCCAGGGACTCAGGAGCCCAGACCCAGCCTGGCATTCAAGTGCATTGCTTTTGCCTCTGGCTGGGACCATTGGGTTTGGCCGGGCCGGGTCTCTCCCTCCACCCGGCCCTTTGTTCTGTACAAGTTGGGTCGCTGAGCATACAGGGTGACATGAGAGGGAGCTGCCTGTCACCTCCAAGTCAGCAGGACCTGGTCCCATGGGCTCTGGGTGGGTCTGAATCTCCAGTGCCCAGGTGCCACCTGCCTGCCTCTCTCCACAGCCCCTGATGAAGCCCCCACCGTCCTCTCCGTGACACCCCACACCACCACCTCCGTGCTGATCCGATGGCAGGTAAGCCGGGCTGGCAGGATGGCCCCATCTCCCCCAAGGACACAGACAGGCTGTGCTGTGGGACCAGAAAGCCAACAGTCCCCAGTGGGGCTGCCTGGGCCCCCCTAGAGCACACATAAATGCATGAGAAATCCAGGGGTGTGCACATCAGGGGACATTCTGCGCAGTACACACAGCTGTTCTACTCCCCGGAGAATCAAATCTTCCAGGGGCCACCTGCCCTACTGCAGATGAGGACAGAGACGCAGGAGGGGATAGCATGGCCCCGGGTCACACAGCTCTGTGAGTGGCAGGGTCAAGTTTATGAACCGAGGACCACTGACTCCTCAGGGAAAAGAGTGCTTGGGAATCCAGAGTCCCCTGAGTCACTGTGAGACCCAGCCTCCGCCCACCACTGAGAGCGGGAACTCATCATTCAGGGAGAAAAATAAGCTCTTCCTTCTATCCTCCAGCTGCCCACTCTCTGGCAGGCACAGCCTACTCTGCCAGGGCCTGGGGAACGACCACCATAGGGAACGACCACCATAGGAAACCTCAGAGACCAGCCTCCTAGCTGCCCTGCCTTTAAGCCTCCTCCCATGCCCTCTGAGGCCCGGCCCGGGATCAGCAGGTTACCTCCAGCTGCTCCACAGCCATGGGTTCCTTCCCTGCTTCTCAGGATCAGCCTGCACCTACGTGCCACTGACATTCGGCTCCTGGAGAGAGGGGAGAGGACACCCCCTTAAGCAGAAATGCCCTGGTGCTGCTGCACAAGCCAGGGATGCTGGAGTCAACAGGCCTGACCTGGCGAGGGGGGCAGGGCAGTGCCCTCAGCAGCCAGGGAAGCAATTAAGGAACTAATAAAAGGCTGAACCATTTCTGCAGGTTTTTTTAAAGAGGCCTCATAAAAAGTAGTTCCCAGCTTCTCCCAAAGCCTGTCCTTCAACACAGCTGTGGACGGGAGCAGAAAGCAAAGGAGAAAGTGACAGGCAGGTAGCACAAGCAGATGCATTCGCCCAGTATATGCTGAAGAGTAAGTAAGGAGAGGGCTTAGCTTACAGAAAACGCCAGGCAGTGTGGGCCAGGTGGCGAGCAGGGATCAGCAGGCCGGGAGATGAGGTGGTGGGGTTGCTGAACAAAGCCCGGCTGGTGTGTCCAGAGTTGAGTGTCCAGGCCCCATCAGTGCTGTGTGACCAGGGCCAAGTGCCTTGCCATCTCTGAGCCTGCCTTCTGCTCTGTTGAGGATGATGGCATGGTGATTCCCGCCCTTTCCCACCTCCCAGGGAAGGCTACAGTGAGGCAGCAGCCTTATTGGAAAAGCTTTGTGAATTAAAAATGCTCCTGGTTTTCCTGGCTTCTTTTCCCGATGGCAGCTCAGGCCCTGCTCTGGGGCCACAGGAGGCCTGATGGGGGAAAGGGTAGAGTGGGGTGACAGTGGCCCGGGGCTGCTCCCCATATCTCAGGTATGTCTCACTGTTTCCCTGTAGCCACCAGCCGAGGACAAGGTCAACGGCATCCTCCTGGGCTTCCGAATCCGGTACAGGGAGCTGCTCTACGAAGGCCTGAGGGGCTTCACTCTTCGAGACATCAACAACCCTGGGGCTAAGTGGGCGGAGCTCACCTGTGAGTGGCACTCTCACTCCCCCCCCCCCCCCCCCCCAGCTTCCTGGAGTTCCCTAGCCTGCCTCCCTGCCTGCCTGCCTGCCTGCCTCACTGCTCATGCCTCTCCTGCCACTCATCTACTAGCTGAGTACTTACTGAGCACCTTCTGCACGCTCCCCGGGGGACACCAGTGATCGGGCAGGCAGGGCCCCTGCCGTCTTGGAGTAACCCCTGAAGCCATTGGCAGCCGGGGTGGGGTCCAGGACAGCCCAAAGCAGGGTCAGGGAAGCAGGAGAGCTCAGCATGTGAGAAGGAGCTGCCTGCCTTGGAGGGTCCAACAGCCTGAAAGGCCAGGATTCCCCAGGGAGCAGCATCTGAGGTTTCTTTTGCTCCTTGGAGCGCTCGCTCTCTGTCTGGGGCCTGGAAAGTCAGTCTGCCTCCGCAAGGAAGGAAAGCTCAGGGAGCCCCGAAAATCCAGGGAAGTCCCTGGTTGGACTTTGGGGTTAGGACACTTAGGTGGCCTGGGGGTGATGGCTTGGGTGAGGCCAGTAGGAGGCTGAGCTTGGGAGCAGGCTGGGGATGGAATTGAAGCCCGTTTGGGAGCGGACGCACTCTGGGCAGGGACTCCGAAAGGCTCCATGTTGGTTTCTGGAGGAGAAGGGAAACAGGCAGGAAAGAGGCGAGCGCAGAGGACTCAGGGGACCCCTCCCCACCACACTGTTGCTTCCCATCCTTCTCAGAAGGCTCTTGTGCCTTGTGTTCGGGCGAGTGTTAGCAGACAACAAAATGATTGAACGTGTAGCAAAGGTATGCGTTAATGGCAAAACTCAGAAGTACTTGATCCAACAGCGTGCATTATTTTCTAATTTTTTTTTTTTGGCCGACATGTGCTTGTGGTTGTGATTTTATATAGCCAGTGTGTAATACAGTCATATTTCCTGGTCGTAAAATTGTTTCTGGTTCATATGAGGAAATATATGACTCCAGTATTTCACGGTGGTTTTCCAAGGGCTTCACCTGGAGACAGGTAGTGATTTGGGACTAGAAGTTCTCTCAGAGCTGACCTCAGGCCTCCTGGGCTCCCAGGGCCTCCCTCTGACCTCAGCCTAGTGCGCATCTGGAGGGAGACAGTGGTGCCCTGCAACTGCCCCTTCCCCCCACCCCATCCTGGCCCCCAGTTCAACACCAGGAATCTGGAAACTCTCTCCCCTGCCTGCTCGGTCCCCAGCAATCCCCCCACACACACCCCTCCTTTCACACCCAGAGCGGGGCTTCTGTAGGGGGCTGTGTGTGCACTAACCGCCTCTGTCTGCTGTTTCCCTCTGGTGCCTCCCGCTCCCCCACCCCAGCCCTGTACTCCATGCGGAACCTGAGCCGGCCCAGCCTCACGCAGTACGAGCTGGAGAGTAAGTGCCCTTGCATGGTGTCCCTGCTGCAGCCCAAGCCTACTGGGGAACAGGAGTGGGTCGTTGGGGATACCTGTCCCCACCTCAGGGGTGCCCTTGACACAGGATGCAAACACACCAAGCAGGAGCAGCTTCCAGTGAGTCTCCTCCAAGTGTCCCCTTTGAGGGGTGTGTGCAGAAAGGGAGCCCACAGCCTTATTTGGGGTGCAGGGCGTGCAGTGACAGCTGGTCTATAATGGGAGCTGTTGGGCAGTACAGGTGGGCAGCCAGGCATCTAAATAGCTGCTGCCCATCTTGCCATACCAAAGGCCCAGTGCGGCCCAGCTGCACCTCCCTGTCCAAGGCCACTCCTGCAGTGAGCACTGGGCAGGTCTGCTGGACAGCCTGGTCTTCCAATAGTGCGTCCCTGTGCAGCTTACCCAGTCCCTGCTGTATTTCTGAAGCCCCAGTTGGTCCTCCCCACAGCCCAGTGCTCAGCTCAAAGGCCTCAGTGCAGGAAAAAGCCACATGAGTTCAAGTCTAAACTACCCACCTCCTCCCCTGCTCAGGTGGCACCCACAGGCTGCAAGGACAACCAGCTAGGGCAGCTCCCTCACTGTGTCCTGTCGGAGGCTAGAGCTTCCACCTGGGGAAGGAGGAGAGGGAACCAGGGAGAGAGGGACACAGAGGGTGGGGGACTCTGGACAGTCAAAATGGAAATATGCAGGGCTACAAGGTATAGTATGCTTTGCCAGAGCAAAGGGTGCAGAAGGGCAAGGGGCTGGGCTGGGGGTTGGATGATAGGAAAGGTTCAGGCCCTTGCTCCTTCCAGTCAGGTACTCATCCAGAGCGGGGACTGCATCTGCCACCTGGAGTGACTGGGTCCCTTTCTTGAGCAGCTTCCCTCTCCCAGCTTCTTCCAGGTGTCCTCACCCAAGTTTCCCAAACTCGCTGATGGACAGGGCATCCAAGAGTCCCTGGGTTCAATCTCCAGAACCAAAATAATTAAATTAAAAATTAAAAAATAGAAGCTGGTTAATGCGGACAGGCTGGAACAAGGCTGGGAACACTGGCATCCGCTTTGGTGGGAAGGAAGACAGGCAGGTAGGGCCTGATCGCCTGCCCTGGGAGCCCTAGGACAGATGGGTTCACACCAGTTGTCCCGGCATGAATGCTAGTAGTGCGCCTTCGGTCTCAAAAGGGTCCAGTTGGACAGGAAATCCTGTGGTCAGCCCAGGCCAGGGGCCACCCGGCAGCAGCGTCTCATGTGTGCAGGTTGGCGGAGGGGTGGGGCCAGGGCTGAGGATTCCTCCGGGCACCACTGTGACCTGGTTTCTGCTGACCCTTCACACGGGGGACTGGAGCTGCGGGGCCACCTTGCCCCTCTCTGCAGCCTCTGCTCTCCGCAGTGGGCTCCAACCGCAGGGCAGTGACCACTGTGCCCTCCTGCCCTGCTCTCGCCCACAGACCTGAACAAGCACAGGCGGTACGAGATCCGGATGAGCGTGTACAACGCTGTGGGCGAGGGGCCTCTGAGCTCCCCACAGGAGGTCTTCGTCGGGGAGGCCGGTGAGTGCTGCCCGGGCCCCACGAGGTCCACCTGGGGGAGACGGGAGGCTCAGGTCTCCATCCCACCCCAGCCATGGGAATCTGCTCACTCAGCACCCTCCACACCCCTCAGTGCCCACAGCAGCGCCCCGGAATGTGGCTGTCCACGGTGCCACAGCCACACAGCTGGACGTGACATGGGAGCCACCCCCTCTGGACAGCCAGAACGGAGACATCCAGGGCTACAAGGTACGGGGTCTCTGGCAGAGCAAAGGGTGCAGAGGGGCTGGACTGGGGTCGGTGGGGCGGGGTCCCAGGCTCTTCCTCCTGCTGGCCAGGCTGTCACCCAACAGGCTCTGCTGTGAGTCGCCACTCTGGGTCTGTACCCTGCTCACACTCCGGATAGTCTGGGCTCAGATGCCAGAAACCCTGCGTGCCTCGGCTCATAGCACCCCTAGCAGGACACACCCCGCCCCAGGAATGCCAGTGCCCTACGTAACTTGAGACCCCTCCAAGGGCGCCCCCTGGTTCCAATGCTGATGCTGTTTAGACAGCTGCCGAGCAAAGCACTGCCGTTGGAAATCTCTGCTTAAAATCATGTCTGGACTTTGAATGAAGTCAAGTATTATGACGGGGTACAGTTCAACTTTCATATTTACCCAGGCCAGGGATTTAGCTCAGTGGTTCCACCACTTGCTCGAAGCCGCAAGGTCCAGAGTTCGATCCCCGGTACCAAAACCAAAAAAAAAAAAGAGGGATACAGCCCAATGTGAAGATCCTGGGTTCAATTCCCAGTACTGCCAAACAATAAAATAAAACTTCCGTATTTACCCAACCCTCTAGAACTCTTCAATTCTTTTGAAAGCCATAGGGAGCTGTAGGTTATGGGCTTTAAGGCCCATTATAGAGATGAGGAAACTGAGGCCCAGCTCAAAATAGCAGGTAGCAGAGCCACAATCCAGACCTTCTGGCCAGGGGTGGGGAGGAGCTGAGCACACAGTCACTAGAGTAGTGTAGGAAGGAAGGAAGCTGGACTGGTGGCGCACACCTGCAATCCTAGCACTCTGGGAGACTGAGGCAGGAGGACTGTGAGTTCGAGCTCAGCCTGGGCAACTAGTGACCTCTCTAGACCCTGTCTCGAAATTTAAAAAATATTCAAGAGGGCTGGGGATGTAGCTTAGTTTGGAGGCCCTGGGCTCAACAATCCCCAGCACCGCAAGAAATAAAAAAGAAGAAAAGAGCTTGTCATGCTGGCTGGAGCACAGTTCTTAGCCGAAGCCAGTGTCCCCACGGCCAGACGTTATTCGGGAAGACAGACCCCGTACAGCGGCCTCAGGGCTGGGCTGTGGCGGCCCAAGGACCTGTGGGTTCTCAGCCAAGGCGAAGCGCATGCTCGGGGCACAGCCTGTTGGGACGGGCAGCCCGGAGAAGGGAGGACCCAGTCCGGGTGTCTCCTACATCCGGGGCTCGAGGGAGGGAAGGAGGAAGCGGCATCTTGCCAAGGAAGCTCTGAAGACGGATGGCACCCTCCAGGCTCTGCCCGGGAGCACCCGCTGGGAACACTAAATATTGCACCCTAGCATATGCCTCCCGAGGGAAGGAAGGCGCCGGGCGGAGTCTTCGATCGTTGGCACCCACCAGACTGTCGAAGTTTGAAAGTTGCGAGTTAATATACAGACCCAGGAAACGTGTGGGTGCATAGGCACCATACAGAACAGGGAGAGCTGCAGGGTCCAGAAAACGGCGCCCGTACAGAGCCGTGACTGCGGTGTGAACCGGGGAGGCGCATTCGCCCTGGTTAGCACACATGATATGTGCGCTGCCGCTGCCGAAGTGACCCCGCCTTGGGTCGGGCTGAGCTGGGACGAGCCCGGGGAGGCACCAGGCACAATCCAAGAGTCCCGCCCTCTCCGTTATTCAGTGACACGTGTTTATTGAGTAGTTATTTTGTGCCCTCCACTAGTTGCTGCGAGTAAAGCAGTGAGCAGAGAGACAGCATGAGCGGAAATTTTCGGGGGGAAATTAATTTACAGAGTACGTGATGCCACCAGATGGTGGGGTAAATGAAGCAGGTGAGCAGAGAGCTAGATGCAGGCTTGAAATTTTTTTTTAAATATATAACTTTATTATCAAGCACATACATATACAAAAATTAAAATTATACAAAGAAAAACAATGCAAGGGGAAAAAAACTATAATAATATTCAAATATAGTAGAACTCAACCAAAACAAAACTGAAAAGTACTTAAACATTCTTCCATATGATTTTCAAAACATCTCAAGCGTTAAGAAGACATCAGAGGATGTGATTTGTTTTAAAAAGATTTTCAATACTAATATTGAACAAATAGTGGTCTGGAAAAAAAGAATTCTAGTTAGCTAGTAGACTCCAGATAGGCCAAATTTTTTTGAATTTAAATTTCAATACAGCCATATGACACGTGATGGAAATATAATCTGAGAAATATGTTTTTAGGCAATTTCATCCGTGTGTATCACAAAATACCACACAGAGTGCCAACTTCTAAGTGCAAACTGAAAAGGTATACGTCAGTCATCTGTGATGCCCCCTTGGTGTTATCCAAATACGCAGTTAAGCACGAGATACGTGAGGCTACCACTGGCCTAGCAGCACACTGTTTTACAGTAAACTTTTATATAAGCAGGATTATGCTCTGAAGGATGAAAGGCACAGCATGTTATGATAAGGACCTAAAACAGTAACAGGCATTTATCACACTATCGAATGCAGTGTACTGTACATAGCTGAATGTGCTCCTTCTGGAAACACACCCTCCTCTCGTTTGATCTCAGTGACTCTTCCTTCCCAACCCACTGATGAGCGCCAGCCTAGTCTCTATCTACATCTCTTCCTGTAATTTTAGACACAATCTCTATATGGATTCTTTCCAGATTCACAGGCTTGAAATTTTAAAGAGTTGTTAGAAAACGCCTAAATGAGAAGGTGATATTTGAGCCAAAACCTATATAAATACAGGCCATCACATGGATCACATGGATCCAGAAGAACATTCCAGAAAGAGGGAAACGAAGAACCAAGGTCCTGGGGTAGGTCAGTGCTTTCGAGTGTAGACAAGCCAGCAAAATCTCACCCTGGGGAAGCGTGATGAGAAGGGCAGAGAGCGGCCAGAGCACTCAGGAGCTTTGGCTTCTACTCTGAGGGAGAACTTGAGGCGGAGGACTTGGGTTTCCACAGGCTCGCTCTGGTTGCTGTGCTGTGTTTAGTCTGAAATGGGGAAATCACAGAGAGCTGAGGCAGCTGACTCATACAGGTGTGACCTTAGCTGCGCAGAAGTGGTTCAAACAGCAGCGGAGAGAGGGAGTCGCATTCAGGGGACCGGTTAAGGGGCAACCGGAAGCGGTGCTGCCAGTCCTGCGGCAGGAAGAAGAGGAAACCCGAGCAGAGCTGACTCCACGTGGGGGCGCCCTAGAGCACAGAAGGAAGCTGGAGCTGCCGCGGGAGGTCAGGAGCGAAGCGCGGGACCAGGGCGGTGGACTGTGGAGTCCTCAGCTGTAGACGATGCCAAGAGGCGAGAGTGGACAGACAGGCAGCGGACAGAGTCTGAAACCTGAGCCTTGGGACCGAGACAGGTGCGCCATGACGATGACTCAGAGCCCCAGGGAAGACTGCTTCTGGAAGGAGGGAGAGTCGGACTGCCAGCTCCCAGGAGGGATGGAGCAGGATGAAGTCTGGGAAGCAGTTATGCCGGATGTTCAAAGAAACCTATGACTGGCTCGAGTTAAAATTCTAACGTCAAGACAAACAATTCACTTCAGCTGGGGATTGGCACACTGCCGCCCACTGAGCTAACTGGCCATGCATCTTTTTGAAAAGATGGGGACAAGCCCATGCATGTTTATGAGTTGTCCATGGCTGCTTTTGCACAAGGGTAGAGTTGAACCGGATGTGGTGCTGCACACCTGCAATCCCAGCTACTCAGGAGGCTGAGGCAGGAGGATCACAAGTTCAAGGTCAGCCTGGGCAACTTGGCAAGACCCTTGTCCCCAAAAAAAGGGCTGAGGATGTAGCTCAGTAGTAGAGTCCCCCAGGTTCAATCCCCAGTACCACACACAAACACACACTCACACACACACACACACACACACACACACACGGGACAGAGTTGAGTAGTTGCAACAAAGACTTACTGGCTGTCCTGCAAAGCCTAAGATTTGAACTGGAAGAAGTTTGCTGAGGCCTGGGTATTGCATTAGTAATGTAGAGTTTACAGGGCTCCATGGGAGCTGGGTACTGGGGAACACATGGGGCAGTTTCAAGAGGAAAGACGTGCGATCAACAGAGGGTGTTTTAGAATGGGAGAAATCACGATTTGTTTCTGCACTGATAGAAACAATACTTCATGGAAAGAAAGTTTGGGGATTTGGGGAAGAGAGGAAGCTACAGCGGGCAATAAGTTGGAGTAGGTGAGGGGAATATAATTTAGCACACAAATTCAGGGTGGCCTTAAAGGGAGTGAACGGTTCAGCCACAGTGGCAAGAACAAGGCAGCAGGTGTGGGCAGAGGGACAGGAGGTGACAGACTCAGTGATTGCTTCCCTTTCCCAGTGTAGGTCCTCGCTGGGAATGAGGTTGAGGGGAAAGGGAGAGGGGAGAGACTGTATCAAACAGCCACAAGTCCTCTTCTTATCTGCAGGTTCCTCATCCACATATTCAGCCAAGTGAGGATCAAAACTATTCACTGAAAAAAAATTGCATCTGTACTGAACATGTACATGCTTTGTTCTTGTTCTTATTCCTTACACAATACAGTGTGGCGGCTGTTTACACTGCATTTACACTGCATGAGTTACTATTAGTACTCAAGAGGTGATTTAACATATCTGGGAGGATTGCATAAATTCTGTGCAGATACTGCACCATTTGATATAGGGACCTGAGCATCCTTGGCTTTTGACAGCCATGGCGGTCTTGGACCCTGTCTCTGAAGGACACAGGAGGATGGCTGTGTACCGTTGTGCAGTACCTGGACAAGAGCCAAATATCCAAGTATCCTCCCACTCTGGGCTGTGCTCCTGAACTTGAAGTCTGATACTACTCCAGGCCAGTCAGCTGTGTTCAGTGTGGGCAGATTTCACCAACGCGAGAGCTCAGCCTGTTGTGTAAGATGGAGCAAGACAGGACAGGAACATAGCAAAGGGCACAGTCAACAGAGAGAGGTGACCGGCTACAGAACAGTAGGAAATATTTGCAAACTGTGCATCTGATAAAGAGTTAATTGCCAAAGAACACAGCAAGTTCATACAACTTGACAATGAGAAAACAACCCAATTTAAAAGCGGGACAAAGGACCCGAATGGACATTTCTCAAAAGAAAACGAATAAATGGCCATCAGGTAGTCAGTATCACTCATCAGGGAAATGCAAATCAAAACCACAGTGATGTATCGCCCCACACCTGTAAGGAAAGCTGTTACCAAAAATCCAAAAGACAATAAGTGATATGGAAAAACTGGAACCCTTGTATGCTTTGGCAGGAACATAGAATGGTACAGCCACTGTGGAAAACTGTGTGGAAGGTCCTCAAAACAATAAAAACAGAATTACCCTATGATCCAGCCTCCTCACTTCTGAGTGCTTATTCAGAAGTACTGAAATCGGGATCTGGAAACGTTTGCACTCTGGTGTTCGTTACAGCATAATCCATAATAGCCAAGATACAGAAGCAACTGGAATGTTTTGTTGGTGGATGAACAGATAAAGAAAATGTCAGGTGTAAAAAAATAAATTAATTAAATAAATTTAAAAAACAACAAAAAAAGAAAATTTCAGGTGTATGTGTATACTCAAGAGAATATTGTTTAGCCTTAAAAAAGAGGAAAATCCTGACATTCACAACAACCTGAGGCAGGAAGATGTCATGTTAAATGAAATAAGCCTCAGACAGAAAGACAAATACTGTGTGGTCTCATTTATACATAAAGTCTAGAACCATCACAATCAGTGAGGCAGGAAAAAAAGGAAAACAAAAAAATCAAACTCATAGAAGCAGAGAGTAGAGTGTGGCTGGGGAAAATGGGGACACTTGCTCAAAAGGAACAAAGTTTCAGTTACACAAGCCCAGTGAGTTTGGGGGTCTCATGTACAGCACAGTGACAGTAGGTGCCAATGCTGCTGTCCACTGAAACTAGCTGAGAGGATAAATCATCCATTCTTTCTCACCCCAAATACAGGGTAACTATACGGTGATCGATATGCCCATTATCTTGAGCATGGTGATCAATGTACACCGACTTGTATACCTTGAATATATGCAATTTTTGTCAGCTATGCCTCAGTAAAGCTATGATTTTTATTTGTTGATTATATCTGAGTAAAGCTAAAAAAGGGACAGGGAATTGAGAATAGTAGAAGAAAAGCAGTGATTGTAATCATACATTCCTACACCAGCCCGTCTACCTAAGGCATTCCCCCAGCACATGTTTAGTAAGCACCAAAAACATGCCATGCATGACTCTAGGTGCCTGGGACACAAGAGCACCAAACAGACCAGGATAAGTGAACATCCTGGGGGACACCTAGTTACCCATTGGTGAGCACTGTTACTTAGCTCTGAGCCCCTCTGTGTACTTTGCACAAGTCCCTCTTACTGTAAATTAGCCGCTAGCAAAAGTCTGCTGAGTTCCGTACACGAACTTGCCATAGGTGGCTTGATTGTATATGTGCCGCCCTTAGTCCTGCACCCCACCCCGACATACCCTGCCCAAGAGCATGGCTCTGGCCACTGACCATCTTTCCCCTGTATTGCCGCTTCCTCTCTAGTGACAGTCACCCACAGGCGTGGCATAAACATCCTAAACATTTTCCCTCTTTCAGTGCCTTTTCCTGACCTCACATTTTCTTTCAGTTGTGACCATTCCTTTTGGTTGACTCCTTTACAGCAGAGTTCCTCAAAAGAATTGCTGCCTCTTGCAGGCATAGTGCTACACATCTGTAATCCCAGCAGTCTGGGAGGCTGAGGCAGGAGGACTTTGAATTTGAGACCAGCCTAGGTGACTAAGTGTCTCAAAAATTTTAAAAGGGCTAGGGATGTAATTTCAGTGTGAAGAGCCTGGATTAAATTCTCAGTCCCAGGAAGAAAGGAAAAAAAAGAATCCTTCCCTCCAATTCCTCCCTTCTCATTCCATGCTAAACCTGCTTCAGGTAGGTTGCTGTCCCCAAAGGCGCTTCCTTCCAAGGGTACTGATAATTCCATCCCTGTTGGTTGGTGCTCAAATGGCAGGTCTTGCCCCAAAGCACTGGGCAAGGTGGCTCGCTCCCTCCCCCTGAAATGCTTTCTTCCCTCACTGCCCTGGCTTCCTGGGCCTTTCACTCTCCATTCTAGCTCCTTTCCAGCCATGGAAAGCCAGAGGCCCCCAAATCAATCCATGGCCTTTGTCTAAGAGAGCCCGTCGTCCTCCTGGTGCGTGCTCTCCCAGTACCACCTCTGTGCAGATGATTTGCTGACCTCTCACATGGCCCTGACCTTTCCCCTGAACGCCGACTGCAGCCCGAACCCTGTGGACCACTGCATCCCCGACCCTATGAATGGATGGGCGAGTGAATGAGTGGGTTTATGAATGATCACCTCAATGCTCATTCATCTGCCTTTCTGAGAACAATCTGCAAAAAAACTAAAAAGGAAAGCAAGGCTCTCATGATGACAAGATGTCCCAACTGCCATTCACATGGGAGAGGAAGGCACTTTTATGGGCTATTGCTCACTCTTAATGGCTTCCTCCAGAGAAACCCAGTAATGGGAAAGCCAACAGTTTACTGATAATTCTTTGGCCAGCAGGTGGCGCCAAATGACCTCCAATCCTCCATGTGCTTTGAGACTGACTTTCAGCTGCCAGGATGGCCCTAGTTCCAAGTCCTAAACTAGTTTAAGAATTTTTCATGTGTGAATAACAGGCAGTGTTAACCCCTGCTAGATATGAAATGCCTGTATTCACAGCGGAGCATCTGCTGCATCCCTGGCCTAAAATCTTTTGCAGGCACAACGTGCTTTGGGAAGCCAGCCAAGTCCTTGGGAGGAACCATGCCATACTCTCCTGTCCTTGTGTCCTCCCCGCCTCACTTTGACCTTGGGAAGTGGCTATCCTTCACCTACTGTGTACATAACAAAACTGCAGCTCCGGGAAGTCACCTGGCCATGTCACACTGCTGGTAAAGGATGCAGCCAGAAACCAGCCCCAGGCCTCCTGCCGTCTTAACCCAGGCCTTCCTCTGCAGTGGGCTTTGCCAGCGGTAGTGCGCATGTACATCACCAGAGGTCTTGTTAGCCTGCAGCTGCAGCAGGCCTGAGGGCTGAGACTCTGCCCCTCCCAGTTCGCAGGTGACACAACATAGCTGTTGCACTTCACCCCAGCTCAGATTCCCACAGGACAGAAACAGTCTATTCCTCCAGCATCTATCTCTGAGGCTGATGAGCCAGAACTGAAGCCCACAGGCACTGCAGCACACGGGGACACACGGGGTCCGTGCCCTGGTGGCATTTAGTCTCACTGAGGCTGGAGCTTTGGCTGTGAAAAGGAAGGTTCTGGAAGGGTTCCTAGAACAGCTCCTAAATACTTCTATACTGTTTCCTGTGTCTGGCAGGGGCAGGAGGAAAGCCCTGTGTCTTCATCCCCCTCATTCCCATAATACTCTTTGCCCATAGATTTATTTCTGGGAAGCCCAGCGGAAGAACCTCACTGAGCGAGTGAAGACTCTTTTCCTGGCTGAGAACGGTGTGAAGCTCAAGAACCTGACCGGCTACACTGCCTACATGGTCAGCGTGGCGGCCTTCAATGCCGCAGGAGACGGACCACGGAGCACCCCTGTCCGGGGCCAGACGCAGCAAGCAGGTGTGGAGGGGCAATTCTGCCTGCTGGGGGCAGGACCCTGCCTCTGGGGCGGTGGAGGGAGTGGAGGCAGCTGCTTTATCCCTCCAAGCACCTGGCCTTGGTGCTTGGGCCCCCATGAGACACTGGCAGAGTGGGAGCTGCAGCCCACAAGGAGGGGCCTAGACTGAAATGCTCAGAAAAAAGGAGCTATTCGAGTAGGCTGTGAGAAAGCCCCCAGATCTTGCTGGTCCCCTCCCGCTTGCCCCAGACAGCCACCACTCACTGCCTGCCTGGTCCCTGCTTCCTTTCTGCAGTCTCTCCAGGGTCCTTTGTTCATCCCACCATTATTTACTGTGCTTGATGCTGGGGACATAACACAGCCAGACCAATGTGGTCCCCCTCCCCTTGGGAAGGATGCAGATCACGAACCAGTAGAGACCTGTTAGCCGCGGTGATGCTGAGGGCAGTGATCTGAGGGTGGTGGCTGGAGGGCCTGAGGATCATGGCTTCGGACAGGCCTGCACAGAGGCCTCACAGACGGTGACATCTGAGCTGAATCTGAGGCCCGCAGCGCAGGAAGTTCCAGAGGCAGGGCAGGGAGCGGGTTCCGGGCTGAGAGCAGCAGGTGCAAGGCCTGGAGGCTGGGGGGATTAGAGGAACTAGAGAAAGCCAGGGACCCACGAGAAAATGGGGTGAAACTCAGGTCTCCAAGAGTCTGGAGGGTTGAGATTAATGTCAGATGACATGGGAAACCATTGCAGTGTTTAAGGAGTTGAGCAGCAGGATCTGGTTTATGTTTTGGAAAACAATTACTTTGAGAAATGAAGGGAAAGAGGCCAGGCTGGAGGCTGGGCAGGAGGGCAAGGCAAAGGTAAAGGCTCTGCCACCAGCCAGTGCAAAGCAAGCCCTGCAGCATGCCCAAGACCACTTCTTGGGCGGTGCCACACCGGGTCCACTGGTCATGCCCATTTCACAATAAGCAAGGGTCACCTGGGGAAGTGTGCTCCTTACTCAGAGTCCCCCACAGGTCACAGGAGTGCAGATGCTGGCACCCCGGATTTCTGAGACAAAAGACTAATCTCTTTGTATGTCTCTCTCTCTCTCTCTCTCTCTCTCTCAATGTGAATAGCTTGGCCCTTTGTATCTGGGTCCCACATCAGCAGATTCAACCAACTGTGCCTCAAAAATATTCCAGAAACATTGCAGCTATGTTCAACATGCAAACTTTTTTCTTTTCTTTTTGTTCACGGGCTTTTTTCTTGTCATTGTTTTCTAAATGAGGCAGTGTAACAACTATTGACCCCGAATTTCCATTGCATTAGATATCATAGGTAACCTCGAGGCGATGTGAAGCATACAGGAAGTCAAGTGCAAATACAGCTTTTACAGAGGGAACTTGAGCATGATGGGGTGTTGGCATCTGAGGGGATCCTGGGACCAGTGCCTGTGGACACAAAGGATAAGCACCCAGCCTCTGGCCTGCCTGCCCTGAGGCCTTTCCTACCTGCCGCCTCCCTTCGCGGCTCATGTGTGGCTCTTAAAGAGCTGCTCAGGAGCCAGTTTCTAATTGTGGTCCTCCCTGGGAACAAGCCCTGGCTCCAGGGAAACCTGTCCCTCCCATGGCTCCCCAGGGTCTGGCTGAGGCTGAGCTGATCCTGCACGTCTGAATGTGAGTCTGTCTGTCTGTCCTGACCACATTCTGTCCAGGTCATCAGCCAGATATGAGCCCCTGGGAGCCTGGAAGCTTCCGTCAGGGTGGCCATAGAACAGAGTGTTCTGTCCCACATCCCTCTAGCCAGGGAGGGAGGAAGGAAGGGGACCCTGAGCTCAGCTCCCTCCTTCAAAGACTGCTCACTGAAACAGCCTCCTGAAGTGGGGCCAGCAACGGGTCCAGATTAGCTCTGGCTCGGCGGGGAGGCTGTGCCAGACAATAATAGCTTGGCCAGCTCAGGGGCTGTGGAGGGGGATGCTTCCTGCCCTTCCCCTCTGTCCTCCACTGCCCCCACGTTTTCAGGGTCACTCCAGGGTTTTCAGCCCGTAAAAACTTCTCTTCCGGAGGCCCAGACTGCCCTTGGCTCTGGCCCCTCCCAACAGCATGCCATGATGACATCCACAGCAACATTGACATCCAAGGCCCAGAGACACCCCCCCCACCCTCTCCTCCAGGGGAGCAGACAAGAAAAACCCATCCCACAAACCAGGCCTTGTCCCATGGTGACTCTGGGGGTGTAATGGCTTGTCTCATGCTGGTAGCCAGGGCTCAGAGCCACGTCACAGGCTAAAGCCCAAACTCTCCCACTTCAGAGAAAAATTAAATTTCCTTTTTTCCCGGTTCCAAGGCCTCTGATATTGGAAAGTTGAGTGCTAAGGACGTCAAGGGAGGCGGGTAAGGGCTCCAAGGGCCTCCAGCAACCCCTCCTGCCTCCTTTGCTGAGCCCTGCCCTCCTGTTCTGCCCAGGCCCAGACCCAAATGCCCCTGTTGGTTTCTTGGAGCCAAACCCAAGGCTTTGAACTTTCATGGAAGGAGGAAACAAAAACCCTTTGCTGTCTCCCACAGCCCCCAGTGCTCCCAGCTCGGTCAAGTTCAGCGAGCTGACCACGACCTCGGTGAACGTGTCCTGGGAAGACCCACAGTTCCCCAATGGCATCCTGGAGGGCTACCGGCTGGTGTACGAGCCCTGCACCCCAGTGGATGGTGAGTGGCCCCCCTCTCTTGAGACCCAAGACCCTCACCTGGCAAGGGCTTGCTGTCTGCCGGAGTCCCTGAACATGACTCCCCAGGAAAAGTGAGGTCCAGACCAAAGAAGACACATTTCCAAGGCAAAACGACAGCAAGTTGAAGGGACGGTGGAGCAGCAACCTAGGTCTTCAGATGTCTAGGTGGAGAATTTTTACATATATTCTTCCCTTCTGTCAACAGGATCAGGGAAACCTGAGTGAAACGCAGCCCCCAGGATGGACAGGTCTCTGTGGGCATCCCTGACAGTCCCACCCAAACCTTAGAGGTGCTGGTCCCACTCCAGGCCAGTCCTTCTTTGCCCTTTGGCAGTCAGGGAGAATCTGAGAATCTGAGCAAAGCCTTGGAGCTGCTCCCCATGAAGATGTATACATCATGGGGTCACCGTACCCCTGTTGTCATCTGTGAACCTCAATCAAGATCCCGGCTCTGCCAGTGATGCCTCTTGCATGCTGAGCCCTGTTCACCCGAGCCATCTTCAGACCCTTATCACAACCCCTACCCCTCCAAGCCCTGGGAAGACCCTGCCCTAATTCTGGGTTGCCAGGTAGGGCCATGCTGACCCTAGCAGTAGACAGCAGACACTTGCCAGCTTTCTTCCCCAGAGGGATGCCTGGCCATGGGTGGTATGACCCAGCCCAGGGTGAGCAAAGTGCCCAAAAATCTCTGCCAGTGGGCCACCAACAGTCATCTTAAGAGGACAGGGGACTTAGAGACAGGAAGGAGGCTGGACTACTTACTGCCTGGGTCTGTTTCCAGCAAGATGCTGTTGTGTGACTGCCCTACCAGGGTGCCCTAGTGCCAGGAAGTGTGGTCACAAGAACAAGGGGCAGAGCACCGGAATGTCACCACAGCCAGCAGTTCTGGGTCAGCAGAGGGAACAATGGCCTTCAGTTTTTCCTGCCACCACCTGAGTGCTAGCAGCCCATCCTGCAAAGTGGAGCCGGGTGTTAGGACACCCAGGAAGGGATCTAGTCAGGTGCAGGATCAGAAATGGGGCCAGGACAGAGAGCTTGAAGACAGGGTGCAGGGGGGCTGGGTGAGCTCTCGCCACAATGGTCTCCACCTGGAAAAATGTGAGCACTTTGCCTCCCAGCTCCTTGGTCCAGCAGGATTGCAAACGCCCCTAGAGACTGCCATCCTCCTTGTAATACCCAGATAATAAGTGTGGATAATGCCCATCTTACCAGCAGGTGCTGCCCCAGCTCATGCCTCAGCCCTGGGTGCAGACCAGCTGCTCTGAAGCCCATGCAGATGAGGGTTGTTCAGCAGTGTCAAGCACCAGGCACCAAGGGCCCTGACTCCCAGTCCTTGGGGGTCATTTCATCCCCCAGCTCCCATCGCTCCATCCTCATTCTACCATTCATTTGTCCAATAGTAGATTGGGTGCCTACCCTGTTCCAGGTGCTCTGTCTTTGAATTTGAACTTCAGCATCCCTGTCTGAGATGCTCTTGATACCCTGGCTCAGTAGGAGAACTAACAGCAGGCTAAGGAAAGGGCCCGGAGAAACCCAGGGCCCGCACCAGTGTGGACCCAAGCATGGGAATGAAACCCAGTCCCAGCCCCTGGGGAGGCTGGTGGCCAGAGACTGGGTTTGTGAGGCACAGAGCACATACTCCACCCTCCAGAAAGTCTCAGGGGCCTGCCCTCTAGTTGCCATGATTTGGGCCACGAAGTGCTCTCATTTCTACCCTAAAAACCCAGGCAGAACAGGTGATGGTGCCCTGGGAGCTGAGCCCTCACTGGCAGCAGAGGAAAGAGGAGCCCAGAGGCTGGGCAGAGTTTGGGGGCCAAAGTAAAAGCTGGAGCTGGTCACCAGCATCCCCTCCAGCCCCAGACTTGAGGCATCTTTACGGAAGTACTTCCCAAAAGATTTGCCTAGAATTAGAGTTCTGCAGGACATCACACAAGGGAACCAAATGGGGGAAATGGATGTGGGTACAGTAGTGTGCACAGTAGGATGGTGAGTGCTTCTTCCTCCAGGAGTCAAAGGACCCTGTGGGTCTTCAGGAAACAGGCAGGACACAGCATTTCGCAAACTTCTTCAGCCACGGAGCCCTCTTCCTGTGAACACCTTGCAGAACCGTGAAACAGCATGGGAAACATGGCCTTGGGAGCTAGGTGAAGCCCCTGGCCCTCGTCCGGGACCTCAGGCCACTGCTGTTTCCCCTCACCCATGGCCTCCAGTGGCCTCAGAGCCCCTGCTCACTACATTTCTCCCCAGGGGTCAGCAAGATTGTGACAGTGGACGTGAAGGGGAACAGCCCCCTATGGCTAAAGGTGAAGGACCTGGCCGAGGGCATGACCTACAGGTTCCGCATCAAAGCCAAGACCTTCACCTATGGGCCAGAGATCGAAGCCAATGTCACCACAGGCCCTGGAGAAGGTAGGCGAGCAAGGCATTGCTGTACCAAGTCCTGCAGCCCCCATGCCAGAGGAGGCCCCGGGTATCAAGAGCTGTGCCGTCTCTGGAGACAGAGCGGACACCCTGACGCTTGCTCTCTCCCCATCCCCAGCACCCTCGCCCTGCTCCACAGTCTGCACTTGGTCAGTGGGATCCTCAGGCCACAAGGCCACGCCCTCCTCTCACCACTCAGCCCAGCACACATAGCCTGGCCCACATGGAACCCAGGGCCTTGCATATGCTGGGCAAGCGCTCAATCCAAGCCCCAACCTCCCTCCTTTCTCTCCCTCCCCACAGTGGTGCCAGCCCCCATCCCCTCCATCCAGGAAGGAGGCAATTGGTAGAACCCCACTTCTTCCCGGCCAGAGCCTTCTCCCCTTTGTCTTTGCTCTCAGAGCAGGGTACAGAAGAGTCACCCTTGGCTCTTGGGTGGATGCTCAGAGACCCTGGCTCGCTGGCAGACCCTGGTCCAGCAGCCTGCCCTGATCCCAAGGACCCTGGCACCTTCAGAAAGGCTTCAGTGGTGCTTTTGGATGGTGCGGTCAACTCTGTCACAGTCAGGGCCCCCTCGCCGCCCCCAGTGCCCACTCCTGTCCCTCCTCTGCAGCCCCCTTACAGGCAGAATGTCATTTTACATTGGCTCATGTCTCAGTGAACACCCACCCTTGAAGCCCTCCCTCCTGCACCACCCCAGGCACATGTGGCAGTCAAGATGTAGCCTCCAGAGTCCCTGCCACAGGTACAGGCTGTCTCATCCCAAACACAAAAGCCGTCTCCCAGGAAAAAGTGCTCAGCCCATCTCAAAAGTGCCCTGCAAGGCCACCTTCTTCCCCACCTGCCCCAGCAGCCAGGAGTGGACAAAGGCTCCTGTCTGCAGGAGGCTGGGCTGGCCAGGCTCTGGCAGGGGAAGGGGCCTGGAGAGCAGTAGACTCCTTGCCTCCCACCTGCCAGTGGGTTTGTGGGTGCCTGGCCACTCCTAGCTTTCCCTTCCTGGCCAGTTTCTTTTCCCCGTTCTTGTTCTACAAAGAAACTCACCTGATCCCAGCCACCCTGAGAACAGAGCCACAGGGCACAAAGACAGCCTGCCAGGAACTGGCCAGCTCTGCCCTTCCCCTGCCCAGCCCCACCCTGCCCCACTGCCTCTCACCTGAGACTTCCCTGGGAAACAAAAGCAGCAAGAGAGCTGGCAGGCTGAAGGAGGGCCATGGGGAGGCTTGGGGTCAGGAGAGGGCGGGCTGGGGGACGTACTGTTCCAACTTAAGGCTTAAAGTATTCCAGGCTCAGGGAGGGCAGGAAGCTGAAGGAGGGCTGCAGGGCACTCAGAAAGCACCAACCTCACCCTGACGCTGTGGCTGAGGAGGGGCCTGCAGGGGAGAACACAGAGTCAGGCATCCCTGCCCCTCCAAACAGGTGGATGCTGAGCCCCTCCCTCAGCTCTGAGCACTGTCCTGTGCAGAGCAAGAACCCCGGTCCCAGCCCCCTCTTTCAGGCCACAGCCCCTCCCTGGGGTTGCAGCCAGAATGCTCCTGGGGATGGAAGGAAGAAAGGAAAGAAAGAAATGCAGGGTCGCAGGGTCACAGGGTCACAGGGTCAGGCCTAGATGCAGGGCCCGAGGGTGGGCTGCCCAGCTGTGTGACGAGTCCCTGCCCCCTGTCCCAGCTGACCAGCTCTGCAGGGTCCAGAGGAGCTTCGGTGCAGTGATGGACTCTCTTGCCAGCTCGTTCCCCAGCAGGCATCCCCAAGGACTAGCCGCTCACTCATGCACTGGCTTGTTCCCTAGTCCCAAAGGCACACGGGAAGAACCTTCTTCGGGCTAGGCTCTGGGGATGCTGAGCTCCGTGTCCAGGGGAAAGCAGGCGTGGTGGGTGATAGCACACCAGGTGGAGGCCCAGGGATGGTGGGAGCCAGAGGACAGGCACCAGGCTTGCTTTGGCAGGGTGTTCTGCAGGGAAGGCGCCTCGGGCCCTCTGTAGACAGATACCTGGCTCCCTGCTCTGTCTACAGAAGCAACCTCCTGTCTCCTACTGTAGCTCCCTGCCTGGCTAACATCCCAGGCTGCTAGCTGAACATAGGAGAACCAGCAAGCAGCCAGTTCCTCCTCCCTCTCCCCCATCCCTTCCCCCTCTGCCATCCCGCTCCCTCCTTCCCTCCCTCTCCTTCCTCCTCTCACCACCAAGGCTTCTTAGAGCCTCCGCTCTCCTCCCCTAACCTAACAGCAAGTGGAGTCGGTGTGGGGAGAGTTCCAGCAGGAGATAGGCTGGTCATCACTATCTGTCACCATCGCCTGGAGATGTTAGGCAACTTTCAGGCTTCTCAGACCCCAGCACTTGCAGGGGGTCCTGGAGGCTCTTTGGCCTAAATTGGTTTTGTCACCCAGTCCCCATCCTTGAGCACCGTTTGGCAGGCTGGGTGGCCATTCTGGGTTCCTGCTTCCCCTGGCCCACTGTGTGTGGTGTTCGCAGGCGCGCCAGGACCGCCGGGGGTGCCAATCATCGTGCGGTACAGCTCTGCCATCGCCATCCACTGGTCCAGCGGAGACCCTGGCAAAGGGCCCATCACCCGCTACGTCATAGAGGCCCGGCCTTCAGGTGCGCCCCTGCCCCCTTTCTGAGTCCCTGCACTCAGGGCCCCAGAGAAGGGACTCTTGCTGCCAAGGTGGAGCTAGAGGCAGCCCTGTTGGGGAGTGGGAAACTGGAGGCGTGTCCGCTGAGCTGGACTCTTGCTTAAGGAACAGCCAAGAGGTGCCAAGAGGCCCCAAGAGAACAGAGCGGCTCTCAGCACCAGCTTGGGTGGAGGATCCTTCGAGAAGCCAGAGACGAGAGGCTTGGCTCTCACTGGTTAAACACCCATGTCCTCTGCTCGACCCGGCCGCCGTGGGCCGCATAACTAAGCTGCCTCTTCCAGCTCCATCCCTGCCTTTGCAGCGCTCACAGTTCTGTAATTGTACCAACCTCTCCTATCAAGCCTGCAATCGAATCACAAGAACTTTCAAAGCCATCAGGCAATGAGCGACTGATAAGTCGCCGGAGGGGGCTGCTCTTCGATCTTGTTTCAGGCATCCTGACACCTGCTTCCTGGGCTCCGTTTACCTGAAGGAGCCCCAGCTCCCCTGTTGCTAGGTTTCCCAGTTAATCAGAGGTGCCGGAGTCAAGCCAAGGGCTGCAGGCTTCTTTGTGTTCCATGGTTCTGTGATTAGGTGATTGAAGTTGAAAAAAGAAAAACAAGACTTGGTCACTATGACCCCAATAACAAATAATAATCATAATGAGATGTAGTGAAGCATATCAGTAGCTAATTCTCCTAACAGGGCATATTGAAACATCCCTGTGACAAACTGTTCATACCCTGAGTAGCCAGGTGCTAATCACACCAATAGCAAAGGGTGACTAATTCTAGGAGCTTCTGGAAACTGCCATGATTGCCGTAGTCTTCTGCTAATAATTGCATTTGCAAATAGCTAGTGCCTCTCGCAGCTCAGATCCACCGTGTTGCTCATGGTCCTGGCTCTGTCCCCACTCCAGATGGTCCCTCCCTGGCCCTCCAGTGCCGGCTGCCGAGTTGGCCAGGAGACCCCTGAATGTTTCTCCCAACCAGAGCCTGCGCCTCTTTCTTCCACCCAAGTTGGCTGACTCACAGGCAGGCTGTGGAATGTTGGAACAGGCCTTGGGCCTGTTGATTTTCCAGTGTTTGCTGGGAGGCCCAGCATGAGCCTCTGGTATTCCAAGTTTGGAGACCGTGACTTGGTCCACACAGGTGGACTCCAGGACTGAGCATAAAAGGAAGGGAAAAGGCAGCACTGGGAGCAGGGCCTGGCCTGAGCTGTGCAGAGAGCTGGCAGGGCCAAGGTCACCCAGACCCAGGAAGGGCCAGGGGCCATGAGGAGGGGGCAGGGGCAGGGAATGCTGTGCCTTCCTCTGAAACGGTTGGAGGGCGGGCTCCTGTTCTGGGAGAGGGGTCTCCTTTCCCCCGTGCCCCTTGCCCCTTCTTCCTGCTCCCTCCATGCTTACAGCGCCCCCCAGGACACAGTGGCCCTGTTGAACACTGCCCCTGTGTTGTTTATGCTTCATGCTGCCCAGAATAAGCTAAACATGCCCGATTCCTACAAGCCAGAGAGCTACCAGGCTCCACAGACCCAGCGAGGGATTCACTCTGGGATTTACAGGCCCCTGAAGCTGGCCCTGCATGTCAGCTGGCTCCCAGGGCTCAAGGCCAGGGACATCTCAGCAGGACATCTCAGGGGCTTCTGGCCTGGCCTCATTGCCTGGGCTCCCAGTTTGTCTCTGTGCGGTAGATGGAGGGGTGATAAACAGCAGGCAGGACAAGCCCCAGGTCCTGAGTTCGATCCCCGGTACCAAAAAAAAGAAAAAGAAAATCCCAGGAGAACAGCAAGCAGGAGGCCTCAGCTTCTGGAAGGCGGCAGCATGGTCCTGCATGAGCTGAGCCTGTCAGCAAACACCAGTTCACAGCTGATTGCACGCAGCACTGTCCTGGTTACTCAGATGAAGTTCAGTGGCAAGAGTCAGATGGCTCCGGGCAGAAACATACCTTGGAAAGATGAGTTAAGCCCTCTCTGAGTCTTGACTTTCTCATGGGTAAAAATGGGGACAGGAGTTCCTCCCCCTCACAATTACTGTAAACATGAGAAGTAAAGGAGATAGATCCAGGGTGCATGACAAGGAAATTAGTGTCCCCTGCCCTGTGATTATTGTACCCTCATGACAGTGAGCACTGAAAGCCACGTGAGGGACGTGGATCCCCACCCAGTGCATTTCAAGGCTCGAAGCACTGAAATTCGACACATGGTGCTATAGAAAGGACAGAGGAAAGGTCTCCATCCATTCATTCATTCATTCAGCAAACACTTGGAAGGTGCCTGTGCTCGATGCTCATTTGTACAGAGACAAACTAGGCATGATCCCTTGAGCCCTTTCACAGCCTAGCAGGAGAGAAAGGCAGAGAAACATTAAGGACAAAGAGGAGGTGTCGGAGACCTATGCTCAAAAGAATGTAAGACCCAAATGAGGCTCCAGCTCGTGAACTTGGGGCCTTGTGTGAGGACAGCTCTGGATTCAGGTGGGCCCCTACAGCCTTCCTCAAATTGACAAGGTCCCCCTTGATGGGGACAGGCAGCCGTCAGCTGGTCCTGACACTCCTGGTGTAAAATTCAGAAGTGACCATAGCACAGTGGTGGCACCTCCGGTTGCGTTCTGACTTACGAGCCGGACCTGCAAAAACATGTGGTGTGGAAGACAGTGAAGCCCATCAGCCCAGGGAAGCTCGTGCTGGAGCTGGGGAGCCACGCTTCTGGCACGCAGCTCTTTTTGGAAGGAGCTCAGGAGCCAACGGGAAGAATAGGTCCGAGTGGGTGAAGCCAGAGGTGCTGTGTGGTGGGTGCTGGTAGAAGTTAGGGGCCTCTGGACCCCTGGCCTGGGGGACTCACCAGCCACTGGGTGACCCCATCAGTGCAGGCCATGGGAAGGAGAATCTATGAGCTCAGCCTAAGTGCTGAACACTCGACAGAGTCTTAAGCCATGCAGGCAAACAGGCTTGGCCTCTGGGAGTGACAGATGGGATTAGGGGCTCCCCCTCACCTCACAGCTGCCTCCCCTCTGTGCCTTTGCAGACGAGGGGCTCTGGGACATCCTCATCAAAGACATCCCCAAGGAGGTGAGCTCCTACACCTTCAGCATGGACATCCTGAAGCCGGGCGTGAGCTATGACTTTCGGGTCATCGCAGTCAATGATTACGGCTTTGGCACCCCCAGCAGCCCCTCCCAGTCTGTGCCAGGTATGGCTTGTGGGGTGAGGAGTGGGGGAGCCCCATGGATGAGCCTGGTGACAAATGCCAGGTGGTAGGAGAAGAGGAGAGTCACCAGGGCACAGGAACAGTGGGGCAGCCCCCAAAATGGACGGTCCTCTCAGTTCCACAAAGCAGGTAGCTCTGGGCCAAGACCGGCATCAGCTCCTAAGTCCAGAGGAAGCTGAGGGCCTTGGAGCTTTGGGGTTTCTTTACCAGGACCCTGACAGCCTGGGTAGAGGCAGAACAGTGAACCCACAAGGAGAGTGTCCATGAGCTCACCACCCAGCTGGTTCAAAGGTACCAACTCATAAGACCCCCAGAACCAACAGGGTCAGTATCCTGTGGGGGAGAGGCTGGCCTCTTAGACCTAAGTGCACAGAGGTCAGGTGGGCTTGCTCCCCACCCCTCTGCCCCCTTCCTCCTCTCCTCATTCTTCCCGTCGAGCATGTCTTAGAGTCACAAAGGACTCTTGTGTCTACACCCATGACTCAAATCTAATCACTACCCACTTTAAACACTCAGGCTCCTTTCCCCAAGGCAGAAATACAACTCAGAATTTCTACCAGCTGAATGAGCACCAGGGACCCTGTCCCCTCTCTCCACCCACATACATTGCTCCTTTGCCCAGAAAGAAATTGTCTAAGACTAAAATCCAAGGGCCACCCCCTCCTTGGCAGCAGTGTAGTTAGTATTGGTGGGTACAGAAAGCACAGTACTGGGGGCTTTTCAGGAAGAGGATCCCTCCCTGGCAGAGGCCTTCTAAGACCCCCTGGCCCTGCCCTTCCCATCCCCCCTGCTTTCTGCTTGCAGGAGAAAAAAAACCAGTGCAAACTGAGCCTTGGGGAAAGCTCACCCAGGCCTCCATGGGGCGAGAAAGCACCTCTCCCCACACAGATTTGGGTCTGTTTATCAAGGCCTCCTCTAGGCAAGGGGGAGGGAGGTAGCTAGCATGCTGCTGCTGTCCCCATGTCCCTGGCAGACATAACAAATCAATCCTAGTATTCTTTTTCAATGAGTCCAAAAGCAACCTCAGAACCTTTCCTTGCTAGATAGATGAGGTGGCATAGGCCTGTAATCCTAGCGCTTGAAAGGCCGAGGCTGGAGGATCACTGGCTTCAAGGCCAGCCTGGAGTACATAGCAAGACCCTGTCTCCAACAAAATGAAACAAAAAACCAAAGAGAGTCCTCTAAGCAGGCTTTTGCCAATAGATCGGAGCTGGCCCTTCAGGTGAAACTGCCCTTTGAACCCTGGCATGAGTTCACATCTTTCAGAGGGCACAGATCCTGCGTGCCATAAACTGCACAAGCAAAGGGTAGGGCCCAGCTGGAGCAGGAGGTTTGGAGGCGGGAGGGACTGAGCACCCTGGCCCTGACACCTGCGTCCGTGTTCAGCCCAGAAAGCCAACCCCTTCTACGAGGAGTGGTGGTTCCTGGTGGTCATTGCCCTCGTGGGCCTCATCTTCATCCTGCTTCTGGTCTTTGTGCTCATCATCCGGGGGCAGAGCAAAAAGTACGCCAAGAAGACAGACTCCGGTGAGTAAGCCGGCACTTGGCCCTCTGGCTGGACTTGACTTTCGCAGGTCTCCCTAGGGCCAGGATGGAGGGTGGGCAGGTTGCTCTCCTAGCGATGTACCTGCCCAGCAGGGGCAGCATCGGGTTTCTACACATGATCCCAGTGTCTTATTTTAGTCTCAACTCTAACAAAAGGAATGGGGGTGGCCCAGCTAAGGGAGAGAATGGGGTGGGACGGGGGAGGCCCTGAGGTCGAAAGGGTGTCAGTTTTCCCCCCAGGGAGCAGTGCCAAGTCCGGAGGCCTAGGTCATGGGGAGATGATGAGCTTGGATGAAAGCAGTTTCCCAGCCCTGGAACTTAACAACCGGAGGCTGTCGGTCAAGAACTCCTTCTGCCGGAAGAATGGCCTGTACACCAGGTAGGAGCCTTCTGCATGGGCCAGAGGATGGGGGTGAGGGGCCAGGCCTCGGGGTCCAGCAGTGACAGCTCGAGGAGGATCTGGGCGAGGGCCGCAGAGCAGGCAGGGCCCACTTGGCCTTCCCTGTCCTGGGAGCACCATTTAAGCTCCAGGACTGGGGACGATCAGCAGAAAGGCATGGCAGGGCCCAGGGGCTGGCACTGGTGGCCCCCCACACCTGACCATACTCAGGACGCACCAGAAATTCACAGGGAGGTGGGTACTAGGATCTCTGCCAACAGCAGCCCAATCCCAATAACTTGGAAAAATTCTCGAGCCAACCTGGGGCTATTTGGAACCAGCTGGTGCAGTCATAGGTCTGCGGCCGGTCACGTGGCCCAGAGCTGAGCTGGGCCCAGGCAAGGCACACTGGCACCTATGCCTCAGTGCGAGGTCCCAGGAACTCCCTCGCGATTGCTTAGGCCCTCCCATCTAGGGCAGTGGGGAAACCCTCTCCCCGGGTCCTATTTATACCTGTTAGGGACACTCTCCTACCACCGCCTGCAGCCTCTGAAAGCTGCCAGCAAGGAGAGTTGGAGGCTGGTGCTGTCCGCCCAGCTTCTGTTTCTCCTGACTTCTCTCTAAGCCCAGCCCCGCCTAGGGCCTGCTCCCTGTGAACACAGAGGTAGGCTGGTGCGGGGTCCCATCGGACCCTCCGCTGATGAGATGTGACAGCTTTATGCTCCTGGGAGTTCAAGAGAGGTTAGGGGCTGCAGCCAGTAGGGCTCCTGTCTCTCCCTCAGCCCTGTTGACATTCCAGGCCCGTCGGAGGCAGGCAGGAGGGGAGCCAGCCTCTTTCAGGAGCTCACAAAGCTTCTCTCTGTCTCTGCCTTGGAGGGTGGAAACCGTGTGAGCACAGGGAGAGCAAGGGGAGGGGCTCACGGGCTCACATCCCTCGCCAAACCCAGCCTGCCAGAGAAAGGGCTGTTTGAGGCCGGGTGGCAGGCCCAGTAGGCCCAGCATGGCCGCAGCAGTCCCGCCAGGCTGGCTCCAGGGCCTGCCGCACGGAAAAAGGGAGCATTTCACCCATGGCTTCACCTTCCCCTGGCCCTCCCCGCCTTTCCAGCCCACAGTACATACACACTGAGGCCCATGTAACCCCTCCACCCCTGGGATACACAGAAATCTTGTTCATACCAAACTAACCTGACTCCAGAGGCCTGACGCTGGCCACAGTGATGATCTTCCCTGCAGCCCCAGGCCTATGGAACGTGGCACAAGAAGGAGGAGGAACCCTAAATGGAGGGGCCCTGCGCCCCCTGTTCCTCCAGCCCCACTGTCCTCTCCCTGGCTGGGCGAGGCAGCCCCATGTGAGGTCCCCTCTCAGCCCCACTGGCCCGCTCTCTGCAGGTCTCCTCCGAGGCCCAGCCCTGGAAGCCTCCACTACTCTGATGAGGATGTCACCAAGTATAACGACCTCATCCCGGCCGAAAGCAGCAGTCTGACTGAGAAGCCCTCGGAAATCTCAGACTCTCAGGTGAGGGGCAAAAGGGCCTGGACAGGCAGAGGAGCAGCACCCTGTGGAGCAGACAACAAAGGGAGACAGCTCTGGCGAGCGGGCCTACAAGTGCCCCGTCACAGAGCCTTTCTTCCTGCCTGCCTGCCTGTCAGCCTGCCTTCCTGCTTCCCTTCTTCCTTCTTTCCTTCCCTGTCTAGACTAAGGGGGCCCAAGATACTACCCAGAAGTCATTTCAAGATACTACCTAGCTGCCACCCTCCAAGTTCTCAAACTTCACCTCCAGGGCTAATGGGGTCTGGATCACATGAAGTCCCCCAAAGCATGGTCCCTTAAGCCTGCCAGAGTCGCTCCCTGCCTGGTTTCTCAGTAGCCTCAAAGGAGCATGCAGAAGGCAAGCAGAGACAGAGAGGACCTACACTGAGCCCTGGAGAACTGCTCAGCTCAGCTACTCAGGGCCCAGAGGAGCTCCAGACTCAGAAGGCCAAGGGCGCTGAGGATGGGAAGCAGTGTAGACTCACCAAGGTGTTATGCTTCACAACTTTGGACCTGCGTTTGGGTACTAGCTCTGCTGCCTCTAAGCTGGGACCACTTGTGTGTGTATACAAGGGAACCTCTCTGAGCCTCAGTTTCCCCACCTGTAGGTAGAACAGGCAGTGGTGGTCACAGACTCTTTCACAGGGCTGTGGGGAGAATTCTCTGAGGTTAGGCACAGAAGAGCTCAGCCCCGGTGCAGGCACGCAGCAATCATTCTAGAAATGTTGGCTTTTCTGTGAAGAGGGGGACAGTGCCTCTGGAAGACGGAGCTTTAGAGCTGCCACTGAGTCAGGCAGTGGCACTGTCTCTGGCTGTGAGGGCCTGGGCTGAGTACATTCTAGCCATGTGATGTTTCGGCCTCCCGCTCCTACCAGCCCAGCCTGCACCAAGCCTCGTGTTTCCCTAAGAAGGGGACATAAGACCATTGCATCCCATGCCTAGACCTCTCTGCCAAGTCCTGGGAGAAGGAGAGAAGGAAGAGGTGCCAGCAGGGAGCAGGGCTCTGGGCCGGGTAGCCGATGACAGGAAGCCTGGGATCCGGTTGTAGCCCACTGACCAGGGCCTCTCACTCACTGCTGTTTTGTTCAGCTGTGGGGTTAGTGATGGGCTCTGCAGAACTAAGACGACTCTACCTACCTCCACATCCCAGCTGCAGGGACAGAGACCCCAGCTTAGCCTGGATTACTCAGGGACTCCATGCGGGACAAAGCTACTCTGAGCTCATGTGACCTTTTTTTGAGTATTTAAAGCTGAGCAGCCACATACCATAGATCCTGGGGACTTATCCAGGTAGGTCATAAAGGCCTGGGTCCTTCCCCTGAAATCCCCAAAGATGCAACCAGCATTTAGATTCTAGACCCATTCATCGTAGACTTGAGAAAGATAAAGGGATTCCTCTGGCCTGGAGTTGCAGCTCTGGTCTCCTTTCGGCAACCAGTAGGAGGGACTTCCTGTGTGGCTCTATTTGGTGGCCCTGGACCTTCTGTTATTAGTCCACCCTCATGGGCCAGGCGCTGACCTTTAGGGAGCGGGCTCTCTGAGTGCAGAAGATATTGCCAAGAGTGTTGTGTCACCTCGCCTGCATCAATCTGGAGGAGCCTGCCAGGATACAGAGTAGCCCGATGACAGGACCATGTGGCCTTGACTACAGAAGTTGCTGGGAGAAGAGTCCTTGTGTTCAAGACCTTCTGGCTGAGAAGTTACCCCTAGGGTGGGCAGAGAGTGCCTGGAATCTGGAATCTTCCTGCTCAGCACGTGGTCTGGTTTGTGCACAGCAAGCCTATCACTTGCACACTGTTCCCATAGCAACCTGGGACCAATCACTCCCCAGGAGCACTAGCCTAGAAAGAGAAGGCTCCGGGCTCCGGAAGATACTTGTCACAGCAGAATGCTCATCCTCTTAGGATCGCTTGGCCCAGGCCAGTCTCCAGAGGCCTGCCCACAGAGCTGGGGACAGTTCAAGATTTGAGCGGGGACTCAGTAGGGTTGGATTAGGTTTATTTGCTCCAAAAGCTTAGTTTCAAGGCGGCAGGAGTGAGGGGCAGTTTTGATCATGGCTGCACTGCCTGTTGGACACTATTGAAGGTCCTGGAGAGTCTCCAGCAGTGCCTGGGACCTGGGCTCTCTGTACATAGTTATTAAAAGAAGGAAAGGCCATGAAGCTGACCAGCCAAAAATGACTCAAGACCAAGTACAGGTTTTCTGGGACAGAGAAACAATCCTGTGGTTACTGTTGCTTGGAGACAGGGTCTCATTATATTTCTCAGGCTAGCCTTTAACTCCTGGGCTCACGTGATCCTCCTGCTTCAGCCTCCCAAATGCTGGAACTATAGGCCGTGCCACATCTCTCAGCAGAACAGCGATTCATAATTATCAAGTTATTATTCCTTTGTCACCAACACCCAACGTCACACATTCAATGAGTCACCCTGATGTTGGTACCCTGTCCCCCTGGGGCTTCACTCAGGGTCCATTTCACTCAGGGTCCATTGGGCCTCAGAAGTTACAGTGACAATCCTCTGAGACAGGATTAGTGTCATCTTTGTGTACAGATGAGGAAACTGAGGCTCAGAGAGGTTACATGAGGTGGCTCAGGTCCAACAGGCAGCAGGTACAAGCCTGAGACACCAGCCCCCAGGTTTCAGAGCCAGACCCATGCAAGACCCCCAGCATATGTCCCTGGCACCCTTGTCCTCCTCCTCAGAGAGCTGCTGTGCAGGAGATGCTCATTTGAAAGGTAGCACATGGCTGTGGCTTGGCACCTGGCCCTACCCTGAACTCACCCCCTGCCCCTAGTGACCCTGTGGCTGCAGGGTCCCTGGCAGCCCTTCCTTCACAAGGGACAGGTGGGACTTTCTAGCCCAGGGCTGCTTGGAGGAGGACACTGAGGGAAATGAGCTGGCACTGGCAGGTCTGGCTCACCACTGCCTCTGGAAGAAGCACCAGGATGGTTTGGGTTGGTTCTCCCCACACTTGCTCTTGAGAACCATATACTTGGTGTCAGGGCCACCATAGCTAGTCCACGTTCCAGGAGGCTATCGCCAGAGCACATCTCAGAGATGGAAGAGGCTGGGAGACACCAAGGCCTCAGCATAGAAAGACACAGGTCACCCTCTTTTCTGCTATGTTCAGTACTCATTGTTAAAATGTTAAATTGAGCCATTTGTAATGGCCCACGTCCAGTACTCTGGGAGGCTGAGACAGGAGGATCGCAAGTTTAAGCCCAGCCTGGGCAACTTTGTGACTTAGTGAGACCTTGTCTCTAAATAAAAAGGGTTGGAGATGTAGCTCAGTGCAAAGACCCTGGGTTCAATCCCCAGTACTACAAAAAAAGAAAGTTGAATTGCTTGCATACCTGTTGGTAAATAGCCACCAACCTAAGCCCCTAAGGGTTTCAGGGGACTCCAGGAAGACAGCTCCATGATTCTGCAGCTATGGGATGTGTAGGGGAAGACAAGACATTGACTTGACCACCCTGCTTTCCTCTGTGCTTCTGCCCTGGACAGCCAGAAGCCTAGTGTCCATGTCTTCCCAAGGGGAAGCACGACCAACAGATGCATAGGGAGGGGCAGATGCTGACTGCTCCTCAAAGTGCATTTCCTTTTTCTTTCTTCTTTTTTTTTGGTCCGGGGGGGTGGGGTGGGGGTGGGGGCTGGGTATTGTGGAACCCATGTCCTTGCGAATGCTAAGCAAGTGCTCTACCACTGGCCACACTGTACCTCAGCATTCACATTCTGAGCTCACTCTTAGGACATAGAGGTGGTGGAGAAATGTCTTGCCTCCCAGGAGCAACCGTGGGCTGAAGGGGACAGACTAGGAGACAGGGCATGGGGCCTCTTCCAACACCTGGTTCCAAACACAAATTACCAGCCCCGCCACCACTCGCTGGGTTACAAGGCCACTGTGTCAGGAGTGCGGCGCATCCACCCCTGTGACTGTCACTTGGCTGGTGGTGGCTGCTGGCATCCCTAGATCTCTTGTCCCTGGGGATCCGCAGCCATTCTGCCTGCCTGTGCAGTCACTGCAGTCACTGGGTTGAAGCCCACCAACCCCCAGCTCTTCTGAGGATGACTTTTTCACATCCTCACATTTGCCTGCTTTATATTCTGAGTCAGACCACCCAAATCTCGATTTCCAAAGCTGGTGGAAATCTTCCCAGCTGATTTCCTGTGATATGGTAATAAACAGAACATCAATTTGACTTACAAACAAATACACGATATGGCTATGGGTGAAGGGCTAGAAAGTGAGGGGCTGGCTCTCCCCAAGGGCACAGTGGGGGAGTCCAGACCTGTGCCTCAAGGGACACAGAAGGGGGCTGCAGGCAGAAAGAAGCACACCCAAAGATTCAAGTGCCTGTGGCTTATTTGATGAAACTTCTAAAAATGCAGTATGGCTACATTCCAACTCCATTTTCAAAATAACAGCCCAAGTTTGGTAGGAAAAAAATATGTATATTTAGCACACAAATAAATCTCAATGAAGAAGAATGCCAAGCCCAAGGCATACATCCCCCAATCTTGATATCCGGTTCTTAGCAGCACCATGAATGAGCTCATTATGGTAGAATTAAGCCTATATGAAAAAATAAGAAACAAGAGAGATCGTATTTTACACACTTGAGTCCATGGTACACTCACTGGGAGCCAGGACAGGCTCTAAGGATTGCTGTGGAATGGCTCAACTTGCTCCTCAGTGTCCCTGATAAGGAGTGAGTCGGGACCCCCCCATGCCCACTCCCCCCACCCCTCAGCCCCGTCTCATCCACCCTGCAGACCTGCTATGCACCATGCACAGTTGGGCCCTGGGAGGAGTAAGTGCAGGCTTTGCCCTCCATGGGATTCATTCACTCATTCAAAATTCACTCATTCAAAATTCACTCACTCATTCATTCATTCATTCATTCCTTCCTTGATGCCCTTACTCCACAACTATTTGTCTGCACCAGGTACTGTCTGTGAGTGGTGGCTCTGGCAGTGAGCAAAACAGACTCTCTTTCACCACGCTATGACCTATTAGGGAAGACCGTGTGTATAAATACAGCGCATGTCCTTTCTCAGTAAATCTGGAACTGCAGTGACTGGCTTAGGGAGGAAAGCAGTGCCCAAAGGTCTTTCTGTTTCCCGAGCTGCAGGGCGGGAGGTATTATGAGGAATCCTGGGGGAAAGACTATTCTACCCCAAGGCACACAGAGGACAGCCTGGAGGAGGCGGCATGTGTTTGATGTGAACAGGGCCCACCGGGCACAGAAGGAGCAGTGGGCTTTGTGTCCCATTGGTGGTCCTGCCTGCAGTGCCCCTTTGAGCTATGTCTCTGATCTTGTAACTGAGTCGCTGCTTGTCCATCAGGTTAGGCCACCAGTCAATAGGTTCAGCTGAGGCCCTGTCTCCCTCTTCCCCTTGGCCTGACCCACATGGACTCTGGCAGCCCCAGCCTGTGCTAAAGGAAGAGAAGCACATTTCGGGGCAGACAGAGTCTAGGGAGGGGCGGGGAGGCAGAGCTACATATTGCACAGCTGCTCCATGCCACATGTTCTGAACGTTTCCCTTTAACCCGAAACCACCCGCCCTGAGAGTGAGATGATCCCTACCTTATAACCAGGGAAACTGAGGCACAGAGAGGTCAAACATCGTGCCCTTGGTCACAGAGTTCACAAGGGCAGATGTCTGGGGCTCAGTGTAGATCCCGCTGGTGCAGAGGACCGAGTCCACTGCAGCCTGGTGTCGCCCAGCTGCCCGGCATAAGAGGTAGTATAGGACGGAGGCCTTCCCTCAGCCCAAACCCACCCGGGGACCTCCCTCGAGGCCCTTGACCACAGGCATCTCTGACAGCGGAGGGGTGGTGTAAAGTCACAGGTAGCACGTGTGACCTTGTGTCCGAATTGACATTTTACGAGGAACATTCCTAGCTGGTTTGCAGCTGTTTTAGCTTAGGGATCCCAGAGCCCGGACAAAGTTGTTCCTCCAGGGGTCATTCAGTGAACTCCTTCAAAGATGCCTGGGAGACAGCACCTCAGCCCTGCAACTCTAATCCCCAAAAGACTGCAGCCCCTGCAGGAGGTGAGCCCAGGGTTAGGGCACCCAAGGGCCAGGGCCAGGCGGGCAGAGAGACCCTGGCACCACAGGTGAGGGAAGAGGCTCTGGCTTTGTGTCTCTGCAGGGCCTACCCAGGGTGGCCTCCCTGCCACCAGAGGCAACACAGTCCTGCCAGACTTCATGTGATTCAGCTGAATAAGAGGCCCTGCCCCGCCCCAGGTCTCAACACTGTCCCCAGGCTTTGCACTGCTCCCTCACTGGCTGAGTCTGCTGCTGGAGATGCAAAGCAAAGAGGCTTAGCTTTGTTCCTCTTTTTTGTCTCAGTCTTTTCTCTGGGGTCCTCCCTTCATTGGCCCCCTCCCCACGCCCACCCCCAAGCCAGGAGTCTGCACATCCCCTCCTCAGACCCCATAATTGCTGATTGAGTGGCTTTGAGGAGCTGTTAAGAGGCCCAGGAACTGAAGCAGTCGCTTGATGGCCTGGCTAGGACACCCCTGAATGGCCCCCTTTGTTCTGGGCCTGTTCCTGGGAAGCTGCGTTCAATTACCCAGCGCACAGAGAGTTGAAAGCTGCAATAGGAGCCCCTGGTTCCCCCTCACTCTCCCTTCTCACCCCACCCCCACCCTGAAAAGAAACAGATGTTCAGGGACAGGGGCCTGGTGCAGACACTGCCTTGGCAGCTTTGTGGAGCTGGAGGAGGGGCTCACCCAGACTCTCTAGCCCTGCCCTCCCAAGGGGCTCCGTTCTCTGACTCCCCATCAGGAATGCTGCCCCACAGAGAGCCTGGCACCCAGTGGGTGTGCAGCAGACAGTGGCTGCTGGTTGTGGTGATTTGGATGAATGGACTTTGGGACCTGGGCCTGCAGGAGAGCAGAGAGGCCCCACCCTGCCCCAAACCACACACCCAACTCTTGGTACAGAGAGGTTGGGGGCCAGAACTGGACCTTCTCCCCCTTTGCAGCAGTCTGAGCACTGAGTCAGCCTTGCAGCTCCCTGTCCCTTCTGATCCCTCCCTGGGATACTTCCCGCCTCTCCCTGCAGGTCTGCTCCCTCCCCCCAGAGCTGCCTCTCCCTCTCCTGAGCTCTTGCCTATGCTGGAACAGTAATCCACCCCTTTACAGTACACTGAGGTGCAGAGAGCCAGTGATGGGTCCCAACTCACCTCTCTGGCAAAGGCCAGAGCAGAAGAATGCTCAGTTCTCACTGCACAGACCTGTTCACTGCAGAGCAACCCACCGTGATAGGGGCTCTTCTCCAGGGCTGGGGCCTGGGATAGCTGAATGCCTAGACCCTCTGGAGAAGATCCTGGCCACTCTTCATGCCAGGTAGCGAATGGAGAGACCTAACCTGTAAGGAAGCTATTCAGTGCCCTCTTTCGGTCCCCACACTCTCAGACCCTTCTGCCCCCTGCCCTCCCTCAATGGCATCCTCCCACTAGCTGGGCCTCAGCTCTAGGGACCAGGTGCCATCTCAGCAGATGGAGCCCTCCCACCTGTGGGCCTCTTTTGTCCTCCCAGGCTGGCAGCTGGGCAGTGGGCAAAGAAAGGGGCTGTATTGTGCTTTCTTGCCTCCTGGGGCACAGGGCTGCGGGGCTTTCCATTATCTTGGGTAGCGGGCATTGCCTTTCTGGGGGAAGTCTCTGCTGGAGTGGGGATTGGAGAAATGGAGGAGAAGGAGAGGAGGGGCCAGGGAATATAAATTAGCAGATGGACTGGGGAATATTTAAGCCCCACTGGGATGGGGGAAGGGGAGCTCTCATTCCTACTTTATGGCCTCCAGGCAGAGGTGTAGGCATTAAGAGTATGCTTTGGAAAACCTGCAGAACTGAGCTGAAGTCTATCTAGACTACTGCCTGGAGCAAGAACTCACCCTTTTTGTGCTTGGGTTGTCTTCATTACTCAGGCTGTCTTAATATTCAGGCAGCATCTGTATTCAGGCAACATCATACTGGGGCAGTATCAATAATCAGAGAGCAATAGCATTCCCACAACATCAGTACTCAGAATCAGCAATCACAGAGCAATAGTAGCTATAGCACAGAAGTGTGAAAACTAATTACAGAAATGCAAGTCAGCAGTATCCATGTCATTACGATTCTGTACAGTGTAGCCTTGTCTCTTGAGGGTCTGGATGCTGCAGAAGACTGAGTTCCTGAGAAAAAGTTGTGCATTTCATTTTCCATGGCTTGGACCCTTGGGGCAAGATCACTGTTCCTGTTACTCCACCTCAAAGCAAGACACAATACATCATCCCGGACTCATTTGTGTTGGGCTAACTGGGTGTCCTTGCTTCATCTCTCACCCAAGTGTATCTTGCTTAGGTTGCTCTAACTGACTCACTACCCTAGGCAGGGGCATTAGTGGGCAGGGGTAAAGAAGGCAGAAATCAAGAAGCCTTCGTGAGGCCCTCTGAATGGCATTTCATGAAGTGTGCTGTTCACTGACATCCACCCTGTCTCTTCCAGAGCATTCCCATCTGTTGTCATCTTGGTTCTCAAAACACTGCTGGGAGCTTGGCGGGCGGGGGTGGGGGGGGTTGTGATATTTTTGGATCCATAATTCAGATTTTACTTTACAACCCAGCTTGGCTCTTGTCTCATACTGAACTTCCCAAGAGGCAGATGATGCATATTTCTAGGACACTGAAGTATCAAAAATATTTTAAGAATAATTTAATATTTTGTATTTCTGGGAAAAAGAAAAGCATCAAAGTTGTTATCATTTGAAAATTGGGAATGTTTGTTGGTATTTTTCATGCTTATTTTTTTGTTGAGTGTTACTTTTCTTTTGGATCATTCATAAGTAGGCACCCGCATTTTCCACTGCCTGGAGTTTCCGGAAGTCTCATCTGGTTCTAGCTTTGTCCCCTGTCATGAAGCAAGTCAGGCTGGACTCAAATTGAATGCAGTACATTGGGAAGAGCCTTGAAAACATTGCATTGTCAGAGAAGCCAGACACAAGTCACATATTATATAATTTCATTCATACAAAATATCCAAAATAGGTAAATCCCTGAAGACAGGAAAGATTTGTGGTTTGAGAGAGACAATGCTTTGTGAGTTCAGGGTTTCTGTCTGGGGTGATGAAAATATTTTGACCTAGAGAGAAGTGATGATTGCCCAACACTGAGAACATATTGGAAGCCACTGAGTTGTGTGCTTTAAAATGAATGATTTTATAGTATGTGAATTTATATTATGTAAACTTCACCTCCAATGGAAAAAAAAGAGATAAAACTCAGGTCACATCAGGTTCAGGTTCCAGTCACATCAGGTACAGTCACTCCCTTATCCAGGGTTTCACTTTCTGTGATTTCAGCTACCTGTGTTTATTCGTGATCCAAAAATATTCGATGAGAAATTCCAGAAATAAAGAGACCATAGTCACATAACTTTCTTTACAGTATATTGTTAAAATTGTACCATTTTATTATACTAGTATTCTTAGTCTCTTACTGTCTCTAATTTGTCACGTATACCAATGTATGGGGGAGAAAGATAGTATATAGAGGGGCCGGGAATTTAGCTCAGTGGCACCGCACCTGCCTCACAAGCGCAAAGTCCTGAGTTCGATCCCTGGTACCAAAAAAAAAAAAAGTTAGTGTATAGAGTTTTTGAACATCCCCTGGGATCTTAGCATAAGCCACTGTGGATAAGGAGGGACTACTGTATCTACCGGCTCTGAGCTAGCACTGTGGTAGACATTTCTCACTCAGGCTCTGCTCGGAAGGAAGCAGGAAGTAGCATCCAGAGCACTGTGCCCACTCAGCAGTGAGGGAGCTGACACGTGCGCACTTCAAGGGGCAGCACAGAGTTTGGAGCCAGTATGCTCTGGGCCTTCCAGCCCTGCCTGTACAGACCTGTCCCCATGAGGCCACTGACACCCCTGACTCTCTGTCCTCACAGGGAAGTGACAGTGAGTATGAGGTCGACCCGAACCCCCAGAAGGCCCACTCCTTTGTCAACCACTACATCAGTGACCCCACCTACTACAACTCCTGGCGGCGCCAGCAGAAAGGCATCTCGCGGGCCCAGGCATACAGCTACACAGAGAGCGACTCTGGTGAGCCAGACCACGCCACCATTGCCAACAGCAACAGCACCCAGCAGGGGAGCCTCTTTAGGCCCAAGGCCAGCCGGACTCCAACGCCCCAAAACCCCCCCAACCCCCCAAGTCAGCAAAGCACCCTCTACCGTCCCCCCAGCAGCCTTGCCCCGGGCTCCCGGGCTCCTATAGCAGGATTTTCATCATTTGTTTGACGTCAGAAGGGGAAGAAGAACGAACAAAACGACACCAAACTCCTCCTTTGCCACTTCCTCACCGCCTGCCAGAAAACAAAAACACCAAGAAACAAAGTCAATTTTTCACGTCCTGAGTTTATTTTTCCAGAGATTCCAGGGCCAGTAAAGCTGGCGCTAAGAAGGAGGAAGAAAAAGAAACACGAGAGGACGTGTGTGGCCAGCAGTGGGTGGGCTTTGAGATTGTGGTGTCCACCGCGATAGCAGAGGACTCAGTGGGTTGGGTCCTTGGAGACAGGGAGGAAGAGAAGCCAGAGGGCTGGGAGGCAGGGGTGGCTGCAGGGTGGAGAAGCTTTCGGGACATCTAGTCAACTGCCCCCTTCCCACGTGTGCTGGATCCTGGCCACTTCTGGCCATTCTTTTGCAAAAAGGATGGGTGTCCCAGAGGCAAAGCCAGCCTTCTCTCTTGCCCTTTCTCCTGGCAGGTGTCCCACGGCCTCGCCTAGCCCCCTTCCCTGCCTCATCAGCATCCACTGCTCACCTCCCTTGCTCAACTTCTCCACCAAGCCTCTGGTTTATTAAGAAAAAAAGAAAAGCAACTAAAGAGTGAGGAGCTGCTTAGCAACTTCCTTGTTCCTGGATATTTTTTAAATTGCGACTCCAAGGAAAAGGACTGGAGGACTAAGCAGAGTCCTCACACAGCCACGCAGCCAAACCCTGCCTCCCTTTGCTTGAGTTCAGTTTCGGAGCACAGAAGAGGGGTGCGTTCCGGGGAACGGAAGTGTAGGATGGCTGCCTAGCTCCAGCCTGGGGAGGACCAGGGTTAATGCCTTGCAGGAAGTCGAAAATGGAAGGATGGAGCTTTGACTATTCTTTCTTCTAGTCCAGGTAAAGGAGAGAAACGAGGATACCATCACAAGGAAATTCAGCTTGGCTAGGTTGGGGAGCTTGGTAGGTGAGGATCACTGTTGGGGTGCACACACCATTCTCCCCTGGACAAACACCGTCTAGCACTCCTGCACATGTGCACATGTCCGCTTCCAGGAAATGGGCTTGGGGATCCTCTCCCCACCTCCCCAACAGCACATCACTTTCAGGTCTGTCCCTCCACCTGTCCACCCAGAGCCTCCTAAGCACAGCACACAGGAGCTCAGAGTGGTGGCCTAGTCCCTTGTCCAGAGGCCAGAGCAGCCGCAGTCTGCCCAGAATTGAGTTTACAGAGTCAAAGGACACCCCAATCCCCAGTGATGTCTTCCAGGCTGTGATTGGCTGGGCCCAGCTGGGCCAGAGCTGGGAGCAAGCAGTAGCCCCCTGGGCGAACTGAACACAGCCTCTGAGATGCATGGCTAGCCGGGCCAGGAGGGGTGGATCATGTGGGACCTGGGGACAGGAAAAGCTAACCGGAAGCAAAGCTTTTACACACACACAATCTGCTCCAAGGAATGTTCTTTAAAAAGCTGCTTCTGATGGCCTGATCTTCCCATCAGCTTGAGACTTCACATGCAAGGGTTAGGGAGGAGCCTTTCGGACAGATTCCCTGGGCTGTCTGAGGCCCCTGGGGACTCCAGCCAGCCCTGTGAAGCTGGCCTGAGGCCCATGCACTGCTGGGGATGGATAAATGGCTGCCTCTCTTAGCCAGGGCCTGTCTAATTCCGTGCAGGGGCCCTTAGTGAGCAGGGTTCCCTGGCAGTGCCCAACATGAGCCCTGCAGCCCTGCCCTGGAGAAGGCAAGGCCCTGTTTAGGAGGATGAGAAGAGGCAGGGGAGCCCCAAGTGGGGAGTGCGTGGACAAGCCAAGGAGAGAGCCTGTACCCAGCCTACCTGCCCCAAATTAGCCATTGTGCTAATGGCAACTGGGGAGGGAAGTCAAGGTCAGGGCCCTAGAAAGGACAGAGCTTCCCAAGCTGTGTGGACTCCCCCAACACACTTGCCCCCTGGGAAATGTGAATGGGGAGATTCGACTCTGCTGCTGGATGCAGACAGTGACTTCTCCATAAGATTGGCAGGGAACCCCAGTCTTTCCCCCACAGCAGGACAAGGGGCTGCAGCTTCACCCCTCTGGAGAGTCTCAAAGACTTATCAGAAGCTGCTGTGGCCCCAGCCCCTGTGGCATCTGCATCTCCATGGCAGCACATCTGCAGCCTCGCTTGGAATCTCCCTGCTGCATTTTCTTTTTTTTCCTGCTCATCTGTTTTTTTAACAACTTCATCTTTTTTCTTCTCTGTGAAGTGTTTAACCATTTAAGGAAGTTCCCACTTTGCATTAGGGGATTATTTTAACCCAGGCCGGTGAGAGTTTGGGGGAGCAAGGAGGGGTGAGTAGAAACATTGTGTGTATGTGTGTATATATTGCACATGAGGCCAATTTTCTTTTGCCTTCAATGAGTCACCTGGTGCACTATGCTATCTCCTTCCCCCTTCCCACATACTCATTTACACCTGTGCTGACACCCTCATGCACACAGTGATGGTGCCCTTGTACACCTGTGCTCATGCACACACAGATATGCACACAACACACACCCATGTGTGTGTGTTAGTAAAGGGGCTCTTGCAGGTCATTCTGATGCCCCAGCTGTATCTCCCCAATTAGGCACATGTGGCCTGGGTGACGTGCACTTGGGGTGTATTGGAGATCTGTGACCTGAGGAAGTAAGAACACTACAAACCACAACTCCAAGAGGAGCCCAGGAAATCAGGCTGGGACCATGGTAAAAGTCCTCCTCTTAGTCAATACCTACCCACCTGCAGGGTTCCCTCCACTGCCCCAGCCACATCTGGGGACCCAGGAGTGTCTCCAGCTGTGGAACCTTAGGTTTTTTGAAGAAGACATCTTTTTGCCCCTGTTTACATATCTTCTGGGGCAGAGGGGGCTCCTAGCACCTCCTCCCAGACACCTGACCACATTAGAAGGGTCTTAGGGAACCTTCCAGGCCTTTGCTTCCCTGAGCCTGGACCCCTGGCTGTGTGGCTGTCTCAGAAGCAGGTTCACACCAGAACACACCTGGCCCTTTCGGTGTTGCCTCAGTGCCCTAAGGAAATCTGGTGGTGTACCCGAAAGCCCACGTTGGCACACCAGGCTCCTCTTTCCCCTCCTGACGGTGCCTCCTGGGTTCGCCGGAGCTCTGCGCCTAGACTGCCACATAAACCAAATAGCTGCTCTGGGTTCCGGAAGCACCTTCCTCCTAGGGCTCCAGCAAGTTTGCAGACCCAAGCTGCCTCCCCTCTGTCCCCCACTGCCACCCCCAAACTGACACTGCCATGAGTCAGAGGGAACAAGGCCACAGCAGGGCTGCCGTGTCCAGCACGTGCTTCTTGAGGCCTTCTGTCGCTGCCCGTGCCTCCTGAGCAGCCCTTCCAAAGGTGCCAGAGCCTCACCACAGGCCTCCCTGGCCAGGGACTTCCCTTACCAACCCAGAGAGCACAGGGAGCCCACACTGGGTGAGGTCAGCGCGCAGGAGGGCAGAAGGGGACCCTCTGAGCAGCTGCACCAGCTCGTGAGTGCCTCTGTACGGTCCTGTTCCGGGACGCCCGCCCTGCCCTGACCGCTGCCCCAAGCACAGGTGCACTCTCGGGAGCACCTGCTCTTCTCTGTTTCCATAAGAATAACCAAAAGCGTTGAAACATGTTACCTTTCCTCACCCATGCAGACTCCCCAAACAAAAATCAATACAAATCTTTATTTTTTTGATTTAAAAGATATAATGAGAAATTACGGGGAAAGTATTCATTATGGCAGGTGTCTATGTGTAAGAAAAATATATATATCTGTATGTCATATAGCTTGTTAGCAGGTTTATTTTTTAAATGAAAGGTTAAAAAAAAGAAACTGATTTGAAATATATACCATGAGAAGTCCCATGTCCTGTCAAATTGTTAGTATTTTATAAATAAACTTTTCTTTTAGAGTTCGGAAGCAAAGTTCTTTCTTTTCCTCCATGGAAGTGAAGAGGGACACCTATCGAAGTATTGTGTGCAACAAATCCATTCCCCAAACACTCATTTTTAGCTCTGTAATGCTTTTGCAGGGCTCCGTCCATCTGCCCTCTTAATTCATAGGCGGCAGGTGTCTGTGCCTTCAAGTAAAATGCATTATTTTATTTATTATGAATGTTTAGAATAAGAGCTTCTCAGATGCATTATGCAAGTGATAGTGACTAATAATAATATCAGCTGGGGATTTACCTCAGTGGTTCTGCTGCCCGCCTCATAAGCACAAGGTTCCGAGTTCGATCCCTGGTACCAAAAATAATAATAATAACAATAATAATAATAACATCAGTAGCTAACAGTTGTCTAACATTCACTCCGTGCCTGACACTGTTGTTGTCACTTTGCATTTTGTAACTCATGAAATCTTTATGACAGGAGAGCAGGCGGGACAGAGAGAGTGGGAGTGACTTGCCCTGGGGAAGCGGCAGAGCCAGGGTTTGTAAGAAAGCAGTCTGGCGATACAGATGGACGCGGCCTCTCAGATATTTTAAGGCAACCTTCTTGCCCATTTTCATTTTAACTTCTATAAAGCTAGCACCCTAGTGGTGATTTGGATGTCATGACAAAAGTCATGTGGTTTGGGGACTCTAACCCCACTGACTCACCCTGGTTTAGAGTTAGGGCCTAAATTGCTGGATTTATAAGTTCAATGGTGTTGCATTATTACCCTTCTCTCCCTTAAATTCAGTCCTATGAACTCAAAAGAGAAAAAGAGAAAGCCAAGCATGGTGGTGTTTGTCTGTGACCCTACCACTTGGGAGGCTGAGGGAAGAGGACTGCAAGTTCAAGGCCAGCCTGGGCTACGTAGTGAGACCCTGTCTCATAAACCAAAGCAAAGAGAGAGGAAGGGAAGGGAGGGGAAGACAATAGGATAGAGGCTTGGGGTGTAGCTCCGAGGTAGAGCACATGCTTAGCGTAAGTAAGGCTCTCAGTCTGGTCCCTACCACTACCCCTCTAAAACGCGTGTGGTATCACTCAATGAGTACACTTACTTCACAGTCTGCATTACTAATTAATGCACATGAGGCATTTATGCATAAAGAGGCTGCTCAACTAATCAAGATAAAATTAAAACAGGGCTGGGGATTTAGCTCAGTGGTTTCACCACCTGCTGCGCAAGCACAAGGACCCGAGTTCGATCCCCGGTACCAAAAAATAACAAAAACAAACAAACAAAAAATTAAATTAAAACAGGAGAAAAAGTATTTCTTAAATGCTTTTTTTTCTTTGGTACTGGGGATTGAACTCAGGACCTTGCACTTGCAATGCAGGTGCGGTGCCACTGAGCTAAATCCCCGGCCCTTACATGCTTTATTTTTACTTAAAACATAAATGAAATTCATTCACAATCTGCTGATGTTGGCCCATGGCACCATTTTTTTTTTTCAAGAAAGGCCTCCAAGGGCCTGCCTTGCAAGTGCAAGGACCTGAGTTCTATCTCCGGTACCAAAAAAAAAAAAAAAAAATGAATGGGCTCCAAGTATGGAGTTCTTTATTATCATTTCTTTTGGATAAATCACACTTATAATGTATCATATGTGCACTACAGTTTCTGTTTCTTTAAAGGTAGAACATAAGTGGACTCTCAAGTTACAACCTCTCATACAAACATACAAACAACTTGGGTTATGACTGTAATTTTAGTTTTAACTTATGACCAAAGTCTTGAGTTACAATCTGAATGCTGGCTGTCTGTGCTTCCAGATGGTCTCAGATACAGATTTAACCCTTAAAGAGTTCTGGAAGGAACATTACAACATCCTTTCCTGTGTGGAGTTAATTGAGAAATCCTGGGCCAATGTCTCTCTAAGGACACTGAGATCTGCCTGTATACAGGAGAGAGACTTTGAAGGCTGCATAGAGGAAGGAGCCTGAGCTTCAGTGACCAACTTGAGTTACAACCAGACCTCGCAAAACAAATTAAGTTTGTAAGTCAAGGGTCCACTATATAGGAATTAGCAGATTGCTATAGGAGCAGAATCCTAGGTTTTACTATCTTTCAAAGACTTTCTTTCTTCCCCATGACTACTTCAACACATTTTATTTTTTGCAACTTCCCTTCGCCAAAGCATTTGTTTTTCCAGAGCGTTCAACATAATTTTCAGAGAAATAACTGTTCTTTTCCACTCTTATTTTATCTGCTTACATCATAGTTTATTAAATTATGTAATTACTCTAAAAAATAGAACTGGTGTAAACAAGGTGAGGATAATTGACTCTTCGTAAACACACAACTCCATTTTGTAGGCACAGAAGTGTATAGGAGTGATGGAAACCAGGCTCATACCTTCAGCACTTGGGGTGCTAGGGGAGTCTGTATGTTATACCAAGGGAATACAGGGCATCCATTAAAGTGACTAGTTGGTTAAGAGGAGGTCAGATAAGAGAGCTTCTGCTTATATTACAGTGTAAACCATGTATACTGTACTTTATGACCAATTTTCAAGTTGATAAGGGGTTTTCAAGGGTAATTTTGACTACACATAATTTTCATCTTACACATACTTTGGAACCCTACCCCCACATTAGCAATAACTCCAGGCCCATTGCCTGAGGATATTTGGTTAAAGGATAATAATATGGAAGAGACTGTGTAGTCAGAAGAGTGGGCTGACTCCAGAATGACAAAAAGGACCTATCTGCTTTCCCAAGGGAATCAAGTGAACCCTGGTAGCAAGCCCTAGTCTACCACCACTGAGGTGACCCTAAAGAGCAAACATATGATGGGCTGGAAAGAAAGGCTTTGACAGTCTGGTTTAGAACTCAGGGGTAGTGCTTGCCTAGCATGCAAGAGGTCCTGGGTTCAGTTTCCAGTATCACAAAGGGAAGGAAGGTAGGAAGGAAGGGCTTTGACCACCACAAAGTGTGGCACATGCAGAAAGCATTTTGTTCCAGATGCGGGAGAAGCCACACAGTTTTTTGGGGGGTTTTTTTTGGTACTGGGGATGAAACTCAGGACCTTGTGTTTGCCAGGCAGGTGCAGTGCCACTGAGCTACATCCCTGGCCTGACACAATATTCTTTAATTCCAATCTTCTTCCTCACTTATTTTCAAATTCTTGGCTGGCTCCTCCCTAACCATGGCTTGTGGGTACGGACTTTGGCCATCTACAGCTCTGTGACCAGACAAATAGGTTAGAGAGAAAGTGATAATGCCTAGACTGAAAACAAACAGGATGGTGATCCTACTAAGAAGAGGATGGGGAAATGTTGTTTTCTGAAGCCAAAGAGGCTTAGTGTGAGATAACATGCTAGTCTAAACTCTGGAAGTACTAACATCCCCTTACCCCGGAAGGTAACCTTACCTGAGAAAACCCTGGGCATTGCTCAGAAATCTGCAGAGATTCTCAAAGCTCTCAGGGTTTCCAGATGGGAAAAAGCACTTTGAGTTGCCTAAGCTTACCGATAAATATCATGGAGTTTCCAAATGGTAATTCTCACTAATTCCAGCTTCCACTTGAAATTCAGGTCCGCCTCCACCAGTCTCCAGGAGTGGAATGGTGCAACTTCTGTCCTTTCCACCACCTCACGTATAGATCCAAGTCTAGGGAAGTAACTGATTAGAAGTGACCCCCAGAGGACCCTTCCCTGACCGCCCACCCCATCTCAGTTTCTTTTCTGCCTGAGGAAGAGCAAGCCCAAAACCACCAGAGCTGCTCTTTTTGTTTCCTTGATGCAAAGGACTCCAGTAACAAGGGTTGTCTGGAGTCTCCAGGTGAGAAAGTGGCTTCAGGGGTCTCTGGAGCTCATGGGCTGTGGAAGGGTATCTTAGTTACTTTCCCTGGTGGTGGATGGAATACCAGACACCCACAACTTTAAGGAGTAGAGGTTACTTTTGGCTCATGATTGGTAGAGTATTCAGTCTGCAAGCAGAAAGAGCATGGTAGAAGGGTCTGCAGAGAAAAGTTGCTCATACCACATCAGCAAGGCAACAGAGAGCAAAGAGAGAAGGCAGGAGGAAGGTAGACCCCTCCACACACCCACAGTGATCTGGCCCTTTCAACCATGCCCTGCCTCCTAACACATGTTCAGCTCTGAACTCTCTAGTGGATTAATCCACCTCCATGATCCAATCATCTTCCAAAAGCCCAACTTCTGAGCACATGAGCCTTTTAGGGGACATTCTAGAGCTAAACTCTAACAAGGGAGGTTTTGTTAAGGTGCAACGGAAGCAGGTAAGAGGAAATTAAAATACAAACCAGATTTTGCTGGAGACATACCTATCCAAAAACCTGATTCGTTGTTTATCAAAACTTCACATTTCACCAGGTTCACATCCCAACTTACATCAGATGTGGGGGCTGGGCCAACCCTCTACCCTTCATTCAACCTCAGAAAAGTGTGTAGGTGCCAGAAGGAGCTTGTGTGCTAACATCATTTCTAAGCCGTGCCCCACTCTGCATGGGGAAAGGATTATTTCTATTGTGTGTGGATAAAATGACATTCAGAGAAAATCGCCCAAGAGCTGCTGGCTCTGGGAACAATTCACCTCCATCATTCCTAACTTCCACTCACTCATCAAGTCACATTCTACCCCTCCCTGGGATTCTTCCTAGGTGGAAAAAGTACCTGTGGACAACTCCTGAATCTTAGAACTTTGCAGGTGTCTGGGCAACAGGAAGCTAGGCCAGCCAATCAAACTTTACCAGTCAAGCTGGCAAGCAATGGCGCTGCAGCTGAGGCTCAGCTGAGGAGAGAGTTTCAAAGAGACTGTTCCCGCATTGTGGGTGAAGCAGTTGGGAAGCTACAGTTGTATTCCAAGTCCCAGGGTTGGTGATAGCTAGGTGGCATTACCACCTCAGGGTCCAACATGGCCAGTGAGGGAAAGGTTGTTGGAACCTTGAAGAGAGAGAAAGGCAGAGGGAGGGAGACAGAAAGGGCCAGTGAAGGCAGGGAGGAGCACTGGGAGGCCAGAG